ATACCCCATTAGGAATTAACCCGGTGAATTGGAAGTTGAAATTTTAAAGTGGTGGTCAAATGAAAAGTTTTTCCCCATGAAATTTAAAAGGTAAAAATAGCCTATGGAAAAACTAAACAAGCATTTTAAACGTTCTTGGATTCTTGGAATAATAAACAATAGTATTCTTGGTTGATGGTTGTATTTAGTGGTAGTAGTAGTAGTAGTAGTAGTAGTAGTAGATGTAGTTAGTAGTAGTTGGTTAATTGTTGGTTGCCTGCACCCCATTGCTATCCCCAGATTCTCGCCGTATAAGGCTGCTATGAAGATGGAAGGTTCAGCCAGTACAAGTGAAGTACTACCTATGAATTTATGGAGATGAGTATTCCGTGGATAAACTTTGGTGTAAATTGTTTGTAAATTGTTTGTTACGTAGTAGTCATTGGACTAGCGGAGTGCATAGATCTTCCATCTGGGGAAGACCGTATAGACGAGTAGTAGTACATACTAGAACAGATACACAGACTAGTTTCAGATAGTCATAGTCTGTAGCACATACTACACTTATATCTAGCTTAATACTTATAGTTCTCCAGTGTCAAAGTCTCAGTGAACTAACAGTCTACAGATGCTCATTTTCCTAAATGGAACATCTTTCCATTAAATTCCGAATGCCCAATCATATACACGTATACCTATTAGATCCATAAGATCAACATCAACCAACAACCAACAATTAAAAGATAACCCACAACTTACAAATTCAAAACGTCATACCCAATCATAAAAGATACGTATTTTAAAGTAATTATATTGTGAGGAATAATGATATCACAGATCACTAGGACTCCTTCAGATCATCATTTTCCGTTACAATTCGAAAGCTTTGAAATGACCGATCGGTGTAATGTCCAAACATTACGTACTTACTACTTATGATTCTTTACGCGTTTGTTTTAACCCCATAGTTAACTTTTTCCACAGTAATAATCATACATTCAATATATAATACAGTGTATACCCACAACATTTTAATTAGTACCATGTTTTTAATCATACTGATCTTCACTTGTATTTATGGATCAAACATTTCCATAATGAATTGTTGATTCTATGATGATGATATAATCTAATGATACAACCAATAAGCTTATAATCACTTCTTTTTAAACTCAATTGAACCTTCTTTAACCTTCTTCTCTAAATTCTCAACATGATTGAAAAACCAAACTGAATAAATCTCATAAAAACACATTGTAATACATAAATTAATTCCCAATACTAATTTCCATCCCATTGAAAGACAATCATCATAAGTATACTTATCAAAATCTGAATTTGATAAGCCAGAAGTTAAATTTAATCGATCAGTTATTTGATTCCCACAAGTTTCCACATATAAATCACAAATTAATTTAATCAAGAACGAAAGTATTGCAATTGTTGGTATTATAAATGATCTTGTTATATTGACATAACCTCTTTTTTGTAATCCATTTGATCCAAAGATTAATAATAATAAACCTATGATTGTTTTAAATAATATATTGGGGATGGATTCATAATCAATGTACATTATAGATTATCTTTATGTTCTGGTGATATTGATGTATCAAATCATGGGTATTAAAGTTAAAGGGTCCTTGACTAAAATTATACGACTGAAAACTCGCGATGAAACTTTCGACCAACCAAAGAACCAAAGTACTCAGCATAACTCTAAGTAACTAAACCACTTATTGCACAATTTCTTAAATAACATAAAAAATAATTGAATAAACTATAACTCTACCAAATAAACAAACGCTTGACCACTATTCCTTAAAAATATTTGGTACTATGACTCTATACGTAATTACAAAAAAAGCAAGCTGATGTAATCACATAGTACATCGCTGAGTAAGCATTATACCTAAAAATAGCAAATAACTATGGAAATTTATATTAAAATATCAAAAAAAAAACATATATCTTAATATAATAAATTATAAAGAAGATCATAGAGCTCGTGGATTATTCTCATCTTTATTTTGAAATTTTCATCTAGGTTTCAATGGTTTATTTCTACGTTTTTAGTACTTTACCTGTAATATATCTGTCCCAATACTTAAAGTCAAAAGTTAATGGTTAACGTCATAGAGTTACTGTACTTGGATAATTATTATATACCGGGTACTAATACGGTTTATGTTTGGAAAGACCAAGGGACATATATTTCATGACTTATGATGTATTGTACATGTTAAAACGTTATTCTGTTTGTTTTATATTTGTTCATATTTGTTTTATGATTATGATTCAATAACCCATAATGATTTTAAATTTCTTGATTCTTTAATTGGTTTTAAAATTAATAAAGTTATAATTAATAACGCAATACTTAATACTAATTTAACTTTATCAAAACTTGAAGTTAATTTATCAAATTGACTTGATGGATAAATTCTTGTACAAAAAACATCTAATCCATATGAACAAATTATTGAAGTTGATTCTAAATTTGTTGGTATGGAAATTAGGTTTGAACTCCCCAAGATTTGTCTATGATGAGAAATAACAAAATTATCATCAATATTTAAAATTGGATCATATGGTAATAAACCTTCAGATTTTTCATCTGTTGTTAATTCCCTACCTGATATTCTTCTTGAATTTAATAAAAATTTTGGTAAATATAAAATTTGTCCATTTTGTAAAGATAAAATTATTGATTTTGTAGAAATTCCAAATCTTGTTTTGGAATAAATCATTGAATTAATTTTAAATGGTAATATAAATGATTTTGTTGAAATTTTTGGTAATCTCTTACTTTCAAATGATGATAATAAAATTTGATTTTGTTTTGTTGATGATGATGGAGAAAATTTTTCATTTGAATTTAATGATTCAAATAAATCAATAACAACAATTTTTTGTTCAGGATAAGGTAATTCACTCCAATAAGAATAAATAACCCAATGTTCTCCAAATACCAAATTTACTTTTTCATCTAAATGAATATATTCATCATGATACGTTGTATGCATCAATTCACCAGTAATAGTATCAATAATATGAATATATAATGTTTTAGTAGATTTATTTAATACTGCAAATGATGCTAAATTTGGATATAAATATTTATATAAAACTGAACGATCACCCAAGACAATACCAACATTTGCGATTTTTTCATTTGGATCCTTAGAGGAGAATTCAATGATTTCTTCATCATTATTTGTTTCAAATTTCCATGTTGTTGAAATTTTTTGTTTTTGAATTTTTAAACCTTGGATTTTATGAGAATCATGTTTCACTAGGTATTTAGTTTCATTTGATTGGGTGTTTGATTCTGAAAGGATTAAATTAAATTCATTTTCAATTTCCAAAAAGAATGAATCATCTTGTAAATATTGAATCTTTTCAGGTTTAACAATAATACTTTCAGAGATCAATTCACCAGTATATGGATTAATTTCAAATTTTGGACCTGATTTTGTGAATACATATAATTTTGAATTATTTATATTTTCTACATGTAAAATATCTTTCTTCCCAGTATTGAATCTCCAAACTGTTTCACCATTCAATGTGTTTAGTGCAATAATTTGACCATTTTGGGTACCCAAGATTAATAATTTTTTAAAACCAAAATATTCACTTTGTTCCACGGTTTTAAAATTTTTCCAAAATTCAGATTGGAAAACTAAAGGTAATGAATCCCATAAATCATTATATAATTTTTTCAATTCTTTAAAATGTTTATTTAATCTAAATCCATAAGCTTCTAAAATATTTAAATTTTCTTCATAAATCAATTCATTCTTGGATAGACTTGTTTCAATTTCAAAATCAACAATAGTATGACAAACAATTTGTGATAATGAAGAATCTCTTTCCCATAGTTTTTGGTTATTCAGCCAATATGAATAAGATGAATTTTGATATTTAAATAATGTATAAACATTTGTAACACCATCAGTTGTTGTTATTATATTTTGAATATCTTCATATGGTAATTTAGAACCAATGAAATAACTTGAAATTTCATCACCTGAAAATGAATCAATGATGTTAATATGAAATTCTGTATATAATACGAAAACATCATTTAAAAATTTTAAATCATATTTATGAACATTTGGAATTTCAAATAATTTATTATGATTTAATAAATTTATGATTTCAATATTATGATTATTTTCCACTGTTATTAATTGATCATTATTAATTGGTATAAATTTATCAAATTTTAAATTAATTGGGTTTGGTTTTGAAACTTCCCCCGTAGTTGGGTTAAAAATTAATGAATAATATTTTATAGTTTCATAAATTAGTTTTGAACCATGAAAATCACGAATTGAACTCCATGAAATTTGTAAAACATTTGTTGTTAGCGATTCACCATTATAAAAAGCATAATGAGTATTTTCTGTATCCAATTCTTTAAATAATATTAAAAATTTATCATTATTAAATTTACTAAATTTTAAATCATCAGATTTTGAAATTGATGAAAGATTTTGGAATTCTCCATTTGAAATTTTCACAATTGATACATCACCATTAATGAAAACAACAACCAATGAATCATCATTCAATGAATATAACCCTTGTATTTCTTTACCAATAAATGTAACAACATCTTTAATCAAGAATCCATCTTTATTATCCCAAAGTTGAATAATTGATCTATTAACATAATTCAATCCAGTGATCAAGCCATCATCAACTTCAATCAAACTTTGTTTAGCATCACTCACCAAATCATTGAATTGAACTCTCCATCTAACATCACCATTTTCAAGACCAGCAAGTATATTCTCCTGGGTTAATAAATTTAATATTTGATTTTTTGGAAGGATATTTGAAGAATCTAATGGACCAATTTGACGTAGTTTCCAGTCTGTGTTGAAAGCTTCATCACTAAACACGGCAAACACGGTGGTTATTAAGCACCAGAGTGTTATGAGTTGTGATTTCATTGGTTGTGAATTGACGTTGTTTTGTTGTTGATTGTTTTGGTGTTGACGGGTTCACGATTTATAATTTTTGTTTTTCTTTGCCTTCAAAAATCAAGATCTCAAAACTTCATGAAAAACTACAAACACTACAAAAAATCAATTTTTCAATGCTTTTATTTTATTTGTTTATTTACTTATAAATACTATGCTATCTTAAATACTCTCTTTATGATCTTCTCTTTCATCTAAAGTCTCTTCAATTTGTTTCTTCAATATCTCTTGATTATCTTCAATCTGTCTTTTTTGTAATTCTTCTAATTTTTCAAACCATCTATATTTAGGAATAAACCTTACAACATAATCAGTATCTCTTCCCAAAGATTCCCAAGGATCATTCAATTCCCAAACTTCCAAAAAATCCAAGTTTGTCTCTAGGTTATTATCATCAGGTAATGTTAAATTTGGTCTATCAAATTCAGGATTTATAAATTGAGAATTATTTAAACCCAAGAATTCATTCATACCAGGAGTTTTCAAATTTTTCAAAACTTCCAGGTTACGTTCCTTATTTAATTGTCTAATTTGTTTATAAACTTGATGAAATTGAGGATTTTGTGTTATAAAACTTGAAGATTCTTCTTGATTTAATTGAGATTCAGTTTCTTCAACCCAATCATCAACTTTTTCACTCCATTCTTTAAAACTCATTGGTTTATAATCTAATGGACCAAACCAAAAATTTGGTTTCTCACCTCTGGCAATAGCCTGATTTCTTATTGATTTAGCTTCCTCGTACCATGGATCATAAGGTATGATTAATCTTGAAATTTCTAAACCAGAATTAAAAATTAAGTAACTTCCAGTCACCGTAGAGAAAATCTTTGAAATTCTTGATATTAATGAAGTTTGTCTCCATATTATTCTTGTATGTCTAAACATTGTAAGTCCCAACAAAGTTTGTAATGCAGTTAATCCATAAATACCTGGTAAATAATCTGAAGCTGGTACTAAAGGACCCCATAGTTTTAAACCAACACTAGGTCTTGTATAGAATATGGTTTTATTTGAATCTGAACTGGGATTCTGAGAGCCCTGTGTGTCTTTATTCTTGTCACTGTTTGGTGGTATAAACAATCCCATCTTTAACAATAATCTTTTATGGTAATTAACAAATACTAGTAATATTGATCTTTTGCAACCGTTTATTTAAACTTCTATTATTCCATTGAACATGAAAATCTACGTTGCTTATGTTAGTGATTATCTAATACTAATACATGGTGTTCGCGAATTCATTATTATTCTTTTATACTTGATAACCAGATTTAAATTATTCTCATCAAAGATACAAAGGGCTATTTCTACAGGATGTTCTGTTGATCATACGGAGGATTTACTTATGTTTTATGGAGAGAAAGGAGAAAGTGACATTGGTATTATGCTCAAATTGAAGACTAGAACTGGTGTTTTGGGCCATATATGAGTTAATTATCACAAAACCAAATTTAGAGACATTTTCAAGAACACAAATATGAGTTGATTTATTTTGAGAAGGGACTATTGTGGTTTTTTTGATATTATGCTCATTTTATTGCTGTGTGGCTAGCTATATATTGAGAAGCTTGTTTTTATTTTTTTGAGAGATATATTGATTATATTGAGTTAATATTGAAATCAAGTATAAATAAAGGATTAAATTTCCATAATTTTATCAAGGATTCATTTCAGGTTACATTACAGAAATATATTTAGAGATAATTTTACAATATGACTGAACGATTAGACGTTATATCAGATTCTTCATCACAAAGAAATGGATCTCCATCAACTTCAACAATTAAGAATGAACATCAAGAACATCAAGAACATGAACATCAAGATAGATATGTTAAATCTCCATTACAAAATGAATTAACAAATATTGATTCTTACCAGGCTAGTATTCCTTCATCATCACATCATGAAGATGTTTCAAGTGATGAAGTTCAAAAATTAAATGAAAAAAATAATGAAGAAACTTTAATTAAATCTTTATCAACTGAATCTACTTCATCAACTATAGTTAATGATGATGATGATAATCAAAGTATTTGGGATTTGAAAAAAGCTATTTTATTATGTATCATAACTTCATTTTCCGGGTTTATATTTGGTTGGGATGTTGGTACAATTGGTGGTATAACAAATATGGAATCATTTAAAAATAAATTTGGTAATGTTGAAAACAATGGTGTTAGAGAATTTAGTTCAATTATTATTGGATTAATTATTTCAATTTTTAATATTGGTTGTGCAATTGGTGGATTATCATTATCTAAAATTGGTGATTCATATGGTAGGAAAATTGGTTTATTTTTTTCAATTTTCATTTATATTATTGGATTAATTATTTTAATTACAAGTACCAAAAGTGGTTCATGGTTACAAATTTTCTTTGGAAGAATTATTACAGGTTTAGCTGTGGGAAGTACAAGTGTCTTGACACCAATGTTTATTAGTGAAAATGCACCATTGAAAATTAGAGGTGCAATGGTTGTTTTGTATCAATTGATGATTACATTAGGTATCTTGATGGGTAATATTGTTAATTTTATTTGTAAACGTTCATATCAAGGTCAACTGAATAATGATTCTGAATGGATGATTCCAATTGGTCTTTGTTTTGTTTGGAGTGCATTTATTGTTGTTGGGATTAGTGCAATGCCAGAATCACCAATTTATTTAATAAATATTAAAAATGATGTTGACCAGGCAAGATTAAGTATTGCAAAATTAAATAATACACATGTTGATGATCCAAAAGTTTCAAAACAAGTTGAAAGTATTGTTTTGAATCATGAACGTACCAAAAGAGAAGTTGGTGATGTTCAATGGAATGAATTTTTAATTGGTAAACCAAAATTATTATTAAGATTAGTTATTGGTATGGTTATAATGTTTTGTCAACAATTTTCTGGTGCAAATTATTTTTTCTATTATGGTACAACTTTATTTAATAGTGTGGGTATCGAGGATTCATATATTACATCAATAATTTTGGGAGGTGTTAATTTTATTTCAACATTTGGAGGGATTTATTTTGTTGAAAGATTTGGTCGTAAGGCATGTTTACTTGTTGGATCTATTGGTATGGGATTATGTATGGCTATTTATTCATCATTAGGTTCATTTGTATTAAATTCAAATGCTAATGGTGAACCAAACTTCGCAGTAGGGATTGTTATGATTTTATTTACATGTGTTTATATTTTTTTCTTTGCAACTACATGGGGTCCAGTTTCATTTGTTGTTGTATCAGAATTATTCCCAGTTAGAGTTCGTAATACATCAATGAGTATTTCAACAAGTATTAATTGGATATCAAATTTTTTAATTTCATTATTTACACCATATGTTGTTGTTAAAATTGGATTTAAATTAGGTTATGTATTTGTTGTTTCATTAATTTTTAGTGGGATTTTTGTATTATGGATGGTTCCTGAGACTAAAGGATTAAATATTGAAGATTTTGATGAATTGTATCAAAATGGTTCAAGAAGAAGAACTAAAGAGGGAATTCAACAAGAACAAGAAGAATCAACATCAAATGTTTAGAATAAAAAGGGTGTGTAGTATGTACATTGTCTTGTCTCTTGGTTATTAGAATTAAAGTTAAAGAATGAATGATTATTATGCTTGTCTGTTTATTTTTGTAGTTTTGTAGTAAATTAATATTTATGTAATGGAGATTTCGGTATATGTTTTGAATTTGATTTGAATCACCGTGTGTTATTTATGTAATTTATAATTTTCTTAACGCGTATGTGTTTTGTTTTTAATTTCATAAGCGGTTAAGTTGTTAATAATAAGTACGGTATCTCCATAAACAAGACATCAAATATCAAATATTAAGAACAAAGCGCTGGTAAGTAATCAAGTAATCAAGACTCTTGATAAGATTGATATAAGGATTGTATGTTGTATGGTTATATTAATGGTTATATAGGTTATTTACTACATTTGATTGAATTAGTTAATAAATATATTTCATTAATCATTATAAAGGTATTGAATAACCTTTTCCTTTTCCTTCTGCTTCCTTTCTCCTTCTCCTGTTCTTGTCTCTTCCTCTTCTTGTTTTTGTCTCTTGTTGTTGTTGTGGTAGTTGTGATTAACCGCCCTGTTTATTCCAATTCAAAACTCATTATACTTATACGTCTTCTTATACTTCTTGTAATACATAGTGCTTAATCATAGGGGTATTGTAAGGGTATTGTAGGTATCAAAAAAATCTATTCAATTGATTTAAAGCTTTTTCATCATAATCAATTTTAAATTTATTAAAATTTAAATTTTTTATAGGTGGTAATTGAACTTGATAATTTGTTTGATAATCTCTTGGATTTCTTGGATCTTTTGAATGTGGTGTTGATAATGGTAATGGTTGTTGTTGCTGTTGTTGTATAGGTTGTATAGGTTGTTGTTGTAAGGGTATTTGTTGTGGGATAGATGATTGTGGTAATTTTATTTGAATTGGAAGACTTGGTGATATAGATCTAAATGATTTATAAATTGGTGATGTTATTGGAGATTTTGTTTTGATTATTGGTGATGTTGAATCTGTTGATGATGTTGATTGATTTCTTGATGAATTTGGTGATGATGATGTTGAAGTTGTTGATGTTGTTGGATTATCTAGGAATGCATGTTGTGGATAAATATTCTTTGGAATTTTAATATCTTTTAATAATGGATCATTTGATGGTGTTAAATTCATAAATTTTAAATTTGTAAAATCCTTTGTAGTTGTATAAGAAATTAAATGTAATTTTTCATTATTTAAAGTAGTCAAACTGAAAGATTGTTTAATTAATCCATTTGATTTATATTTAAAATCTGTTAAATTATGTTCATCACCACCATTTTGAACTTCCATTTCTCTATAAGTTAAAAAAGCACCTGTAACTCTTGAAGCACTCCAACTTCTACCATCAGTCCATCTTCTCATTTTGGCTTCTTTTTCATTGAAAATATAAATTGAACCAGGTTTAATTAATTCTCTTTCAGAATCTTTTAAACGTCTTGTTATTTTAGGAATAAGTTTTTGTCTTGAAGCTTCTAAAAGAATTAAAGCATCATTTGGAGTTAATACAGCACCATGATAAGATTCCATTTTGATATAACGCGTACAATCAACAATCAACAATCAACTACATCACTACTTGAACTAAAATACACGGAAATCAAGAGTTTATAAGCTTAATTTAATACCAAGCATTAAAAGAGCAAATAATTTAATATGTAAACAGTTGAAATAATTTTATAAGCATTTAACTGTGGGTGGTTAATAAGTGTGTTTAAAGATCTGTGGTTAAAAGGGGTATAAAACTATTTTAGGTTATCAGTCCGTAATGTCCTTAAGTAAGTGAAAAATTGAATACCACAAATTATACGAGTTTAATAACCTTTTTGGCTGATTGTTTTAATGGTTATATAAGTTTAAAGGTCAAAGCGGAATGGTGATCTAATTAGGAAATATTTTTGGTGTGCGAATTTGTGCGATTTGTTCGATTTGCTCATCTCTTTATAATCTTGGCCCAGTATAAGTTTAAAGTTCTGGGGCTTAGAATGTATGCTATAACGGTCTCTCACCGATAAGTCAGATACGTACAATGTGGTGAATCGTGATACTTGATTTGAGTAGTTGTATAGAATAGTTGTGTTATTATATATATCCATCATTGTATCCTATCAATTCCACCTATGTAATTGTACGACATTTCTTTATTCTTATCACGGATTTAAAAAAATAAGCTTAAAATTTAAAATTTATTCGGTGAATGAAAATCTCAAAAGAAATTTTTTGTAACAAATTTTAATTTCCTAAAACAATTCAAAATCCGTAATTTTAAATTTAAAGTTTTGGTGACCGCGATTATGTCAGTCCTTATGTCATCGCATTCCATTACAATTCCGATGATGTAATTACTGAGTAATGTTGTATGAGCCCTAATCATGTGATGTCATGTGATAATTTGTATTTGTGATTTACCCGGTGATGATGATATTGTCTTTCTAAATTGTCAAAATTCAAATGTTACTTTATCGTGTCGTATAGTAAACAATGAAATATTAATAATTCAATACACATCAATCACAATGAATTACAATAACATACCCTATGGCCAACCACAACAACAACAACAATTCCAACAACATCAACCTTCTTATACTCAACAACAATATCAAAATCAATTAAATCATCGTTTAAATCAAAGAAATTTATCTCAACAACAACAAACAAGACCTCATCAAATCCCAACCCCTTCAACTATACCTACTCAAATACCTAATCCTTATCAACAGCAACAGCAACAGAAATTATCCCATCAATTACCTCAACAACAACCTCAACAACAACAACATGGTGTAGGTTTACAAAATTTACAACAAAAAAATTTATCAAATCCTTCTTCAGCATCATCAAATAATCAATTTATATTAGCTGCTCAAACTATAACTAAAATTCAAGAAAATCCTAAATATTGGTCTGAAAAATTATCAAATGAAGGAGCATCAATAACAAAAGATACATTATTTTATGAACAATTAATTAAAAGAGATTTAATTAATAAATCTTTAAATAATAAATTAAATTTAAATAATTCAAATAAGGAAACTTTGAATAAATTATTAAAAAATTTAAAATATTATAATGATTTAAAAATTTCCCGGATGAAAACTATTAATTTATCAATGAATTCTAAATATACTAAAACTATTTGGGGTGAAGGTTACCAGGGGTATGGTAATGGTTTCACTGATGGATTAACAAAATTAATCTTACCAAAAGATAGGAAAAAACCATCAAGATTAAAAGATTTAAATATTTCAAAACAAAGATTAATTCAACAATCTCAAGTACAAGATGAATTTATTCCAATTAGATTAGAATTTGAAAATGAAAAAGATCGTTTTAAATTAAGAGATACTTTTCTTTGGAATTTAAATGAAAAATGTATAACTTTGGAACAATTAGTTTCAATAATAATGGAAGATTATAAAATTTATAATCCGTTATTATCAGATACTATATTATCTTCTATAAAGGAACAAATTAATGATTATCAAAATTTTAAATTTCAAAATAAATTTGGTTATGATTTAAGAATCTTGATAAAATTAGATATTATAATTGGTAATAATCAATTAATTGATCAATTTGAATGGGATTTATCAAACTCTTTAAATTCACCTGAAGATTTTGCACAAGAATTAATCATGGATTTATCATTACCTGGAGAATTTGCTACTGCTATATCTCATTCAATAAGAGAACAATGTCAATTATATATTAAAGCTCTGTATTTGATTGGTTATGATTTTAAAGGTGGGTTTATAGATGAAGATGAAATTAAATCAAATTTACAAAAAATTTTAACTCATAAAGAAACCTTAAGATCAAAATTAAATTTATCACAATTTACTCCACAATTATTAGAAATTTCTAATTTAGAATTAGAAAAATTAGATAAAGATCGTGAAAGAGATTCAAGACGTAAAAGAAGACAAGGTAGAACCGGAAGACGTGGTGGTCCAATATTACCAGATTTAAAAGATGTTCCAAGAACTTTTAGAACCCCTGTTTTCTCAACGGTATTACCTGGTGGGATTGATGTTTTTGATAATGTTGAAAGTTATCATATTGAAACTGAAACTATAAATAAACCAATTAATCAAGAATCTTATCCAGTGGGTGGAATTCCTGCAACTACAACTGGTGGTGGTTTAAATAAACCTATTGATTTGGGGACACCGGGGAAAAGAAGAAAAGTTGTTTATAATCATATTCCTGGAGAATCATGTATTGTTAGTATTAAACTGAATCATTGAAAACACTGTGTTTTGAAATAGAATAATATAATTTTTGATGTCTTTTGATTGTATTTGATCTTTTGTGGCTTATAAAAATTCGCGAATTGTTTTCTTTTAAATTTAGTGCGCCTCTAAAAATTAAAGGGACAGTTTTTAAAATTAAAGATAAACAAGAACGAGAATTTAATTAGGAAAACTAGGAAAACTAGGAAATCACATTCTTTTATTTGAATTTATATTGAGTTTATTATTGTTTATTGTTATATTGTTAAGGTTGATTAAAGATGAGTCAAGCTAAAGATGTATGTATTATAGTCCAGGGTTTGTTTAATTAGTGGCGGAATTGAAGGAAGTAATATGAACCCTTTTTCCACCAACTGATTAATACAAAAATCAAGAGAACTAGATAACTAACTATCTCTTTATAGAACGTTGAAGATTCATTATTATCCTCATTTGAAGATCGTAATAGTATTGAAGGATTAGAAAATGTTGATGTGGAAATTGATAATAAATTAAATGATTCTGATGATCGATTAAATTTAGAACATGAAGAACAGGAACAAGAACAAGGGGAAAGATCAGAAATAGGAATAGGTTCTTCTACTGAACAGATTAATAGAGCTGATGAATCGTTTAATGAACCTCAAATTCAAACTATACAACAACAACCATCACAGGGAGATAATTTAAGTTTTAATTTTAATAGTTTGAAAAATAATTTTAATTTCTTAGATAATTTTTTCAATACTCAACAATATCAAAGACTTATTGGTGGTAATGGTAATAATGGTTCTTCATCTTCACAATCAGGTCCAAATTCAAATGATGGTGTTTTTAATAACTTATCTGCAAAACCTGATACTCAACCAATCATTGATTCTGATAAACCTCCAACTTATGAAGAAGCTGCAGCAGATTCAACACCTCCTTATTGGGAAGCAAGTGTTCTTGCCCAAGGTTATACAGATGAAATATTTGTTGATGGATTACCTGTTGGTAATATAGTTAATTTTTTATGGAATTTAATGGTTTCAACTTCATTTCAATTTGTTGGGTTCTTGTTAACTTATATCTTACATACTTCACATGCTGCCAAACAAGGTTCAAGAGCTGGTTTAGGTTTTACATTTATAAGTTATGGATATTATATGTTACCTTTAAATTCATCACCATTAAATGATTCTTCAAAGAAAATTTCCAAAATTGAACCAATGAATCCAAATGAATATAATGAAATTGATTCAAATTATCAAGTAACAGGACCAATTGATGAATTCCATAGTGATTTAACCAAAGGTGAACAACACCATAATGTTTCTGATAATATGGATACAAATTCAAATGGATCATTTATTGCATATTTAGTTATTATATTTGGAGTTTTCATAATCATAAAAGCATTAATCAATTATCATAGAGCTAAACAAATGGAGAAAGTTATATTACAACCACCAACTAATTTACCAGTTGTTGAAGAGGTATAATAAGATATTTACATGGCATTATATATTGATTACTGATCATTTGGGGGTTATTTTTTCTTTGGATATTTTTTTGGATATAGGTTAAAACATAGGGTACATAAACAAGCATTAAGAATCAAGGCATTAAGCATATTATATATTATTAAATTAATGATTTTTCACGTGAATAACTTGTAATTAATATTGTAATTGTTCATAATGGCTATGGTAATTCCTTACATAATTTTTCTTTCTCTTTTTCGCGAATTTTTTTGATTCTTTCAACTTTTTTTAAAATGTGGTTGATTTTTTATAGACACCAACAAAACAAAATTAACAAAATTATCAAGAAACATAATCAATTTGATTCAACTTTTGATTCTTTTGGATTTCAATTTATAATCTTGGAAAGTCATTGGGATTACTGCTTACTGGATCAAGGATTCTTCTGCTTGCTTTACTAGAGAAATTGTGGAAGTGTTTTGATTGTTTGTTAGATTTGGTTCATTGAGACATTAGCGGTAAGAAAAGATACAAGTTTCATAAATACAATGGCTACAACAAAATCTTATGGTGTTACACCACCCATTTCATTAGCAGGTCCAACACCAGCAGAAAATGTTTTGAATGATCAATTAATTCAAGAATTGAAAAAACAAGGAAATTTTGAATCTGAATCTGAAACTAAAAAAAGAATTGAAGTGCTACAATTATTACAAAATTTAGCAACAAATTTTGTTTATAAAGTTAGTAAAAATAAAAATATGAGTGAAGGTATGGCAAAAGATGCAGGTGGTAAGATTTTTACATATGGTTCTTATAGATTAGGAGTTTATGGACCAGGTTCAGATATTGATACATTAGTTGTTGTTCCTAAACATGTTACAAGAGATGATTTTTTCACTGTTTTCGATGAATTATTAAGAACAAGATCTGAATTAGAAGAAATTGCACCTGTACCAGATGCTTTTGTTCCTATAATAAAAGTTAAAATTAGTGGGATTGAAATTGATTTAATTTATGCAAAATTAGATTTACCACAAGTTCCAATAAATTTAACATTAGGTGATAAAAATTTATTAAGAAATTTAGATGAAAAAGATTTAAGATCATTAAATGGTACAAGAGTTACAGATGAAATTTTACAATTGGTCCCCAAGCCAGTGGTTTTCAAATTATCTTTAAGAGCAATAAAATTATGGGCACAAAGAAGAGCAATTTATGCAAATATATTTGGATTCCCAGGTGGTGTTGCATGGGCAATGTTAGTTGCACGTATATGTCAATTATATCCAAATGCTGTGAGTTCAGTTATTGTATCAAAATTTTTCCATATCTTAACACAATGGAATTGGCCTCAACCTGTCTTGTTAAAACCAATTGAAGATGGTCCTTTACAAGTTCGTGTTTGGAATCCAAGAGTTTATCCACAAGATCGTCAACATCGTATGCCTGTTATTACACCAGCATATCCTTCTATGTGTGCAACTCATAATATTACTGCATCAACTCAAAAAGTTATATTAAATGAATTACAAAGAGGTTCATTAATTATGAATGATATTATAAGTCATAAAAAACAATGGGAAGATTTATTTGTCAAACATGATTTTTTTTATAAATATAAATTTTATCTTAATATTATTGCATTCACTAGAGGTGATGATGAACAACATTTAAAATGGAGTGGATTAGTTGAATCAAAATTAAGATTATTAGTTCAAAAATTAGAAAATTTCCAAGGTATAAATTTAGCACATCCTTATGTTAAAACATTTGAAAAATCATATTTATATTCATCTGATGAAGAATTAAGAGAAATTGAATTAAATTTTGGTAATTTTAGTAAAGAATCAAATTTAAAAAAATTCAAAGAAATTACCGAGGAAAACAAGGAAGATCCAATACCTGAAGGTTCCAAAATTATACATTTCACATCATTATATATTGGATTAGATATAACTGTCTCAGGTGAAGATAAAAAATTTGATATTCATGTTCCATGTAATGATTTTTTCACATTATGTCGAGGATTCCCAGATTATAATGATTCATTAATTTATGGATTAAATATTAAACATGTTAAATTATATGATTTACCAAGTTTTGTTTATGGTGAGGGGGAAACAAGACCTGAAAAACCAAATAAAAAGAGGAAGGGGGATAAAAATGGTAAAAATAATAAAAAACCTAAAAATGTATCAAATAATTCTACTGATCAATTGGTTAAAGAAGCTGTTGAAACTGTGGAAAATGTGCCAGTTGTATGAACCTCTTCTCTTTCAAGAACATTTATCAATTGTATTAGCTTATAATATTGTGTAATTTAAAGATGTATAGAAATATAAAAAATGAAAATGAAAATAATGAAATAGTTTATATCTCTGTGTCCCTTACCGAATCTATAATTTTTTTAGTAAATAAAATAAATTTAGTTTTAGTTTTATTTCATAGCGGTTAATTCAGAAACAATAAAAGAAAGAAAGAATACTAGTTTTTCATAAAGAATAATATTCACAAATGATATGACAGTCAAACGAAAGATTTCATTGGATAATGGCTTAGAAAACATCAAACAAGAACAATCCAAAAGACAGAAAGTTGATGGTGATGATGATGATGATTTCCAATTTGATAAAGATCAAGCATACAACTCAATCCTAGAAAAAATCAAGAAAAGAGAATTAGGATATAAAATTACCAAAAAATCATTCAATATTTATTATGAAGATTTTATCAAGAGAGAATCAAAACCATTTGAAGCAAAATTCCAATCAAAAGATAGTTTTTTAAAAAGTTCATATATATCAAAACAAGGTTCATTTCAAGGATTAAAACCTAGATCTGAAAGAACTAAATTAGGTACATTATGGAGTAGTTTTGAAAAAGAAGTATTTTTTGAATATTTATCAAGATATGGCCCCAAGCAACCTGAAAAAATTAAAGAAAGATTACCAAATAAATCTATTATTGAAGTGGAAATTTATATTGATTTATTACAAAGAAACCTGAATTATTATAAGTCACATAAATCAAGGTTTTTCAACTTGATCAAGTATGAAGATATCCCAATTGCTTGGGAAATTGATGAATTAACTATATCAATTGAAGAACAAAATGTTTTAAATAATGAAGTTTATACATCTCAAACACAATTTGATAAATTAAGAGATCAAGAGAGTTTAAAATTAACATTATCCACAAATGATGAAAATGAATTGATTAATACATCACAATTAAATTCTATAGCATCCTTTTATCATATGAATCATTTATATGAATATCCTTTATCATCAAATGATGAAGAAATTGAACCAAATTTAGGTGATTCATACCAATTAATCAAAACAATAATAACAAACATGACAAAACTTTTAATCAAAACAATAATCCAAGATAAAATTTATCAAAATTCTAAAAAAATTGAAATCTCCACACAAGGTGATGAATTAATAATCCCAGTTAATTTAACAGATATTATCCAAGCATTTCAATTAAATTTCCCTAAAAGGGTCGTGGGATTAAGAGAATATATGAAAAATTTACATAATAGATTAGAATTTGATATTGAAGTTGAATATTCAAAACAAAAAAAATTCCAGGATGTTATACCTATCCCCAAAACTTTTGAAAGTTTTAGGATTAATCATGAATTAGATATTACAGAGGAGGAGGAAGAGGAACTTTTACTAGATGTTCCAGAAGGTGAAGAAGAAGATGGGGATGGGTTTATTATTGATTCAATGGAAGACCTTGATAATAAATTAGCACTCAAATTATTTTATAAATCAGATTATGAAATAAATTTACAAGATTTGGAGAGAAGTAAATTTGAAAATGAAAAATTATTATATGAATGGGATTCACAAAAATCAATTGAAATTTTTAATAAAAATTTTGATCATTGGTTGGAAAAGGAATTTAATTCTCAAAAATTTGAAACCAGAATCAAAAGACCTAAAGTAAAACCAAATTTAAATTCAATGATTATTAAAAAACAAGAATATTTTAAAAACTTGGTGGAGTTTGAAGATCCTGATATAGATGAAATATTTAACCAGATTGATGAAGAACTAGAACCCTCTGAACAAGAAGAACCTCAAGATGATGAAATAACAAAAGAAATGTTGATATTATATAACCTATCATTTGATTAAACCTACATATATGTATTAAATATTATGTATTATTTGTAATGACTATAAAAACAATTATAAAACAGTATGATATGAATGTAGCAATGATATGAATAGTTATGTATATGGATGGTATGGATGGTGTTTAGCGACTAGCGCTAATTATTTGATTGTTTATTTGATTTAGCTAAAGCTAAATTTTTTTTTGATTATATTTTGCGTTAGCAAAATATCTTATTCAATTAAATAGCTAACGCTATTTAATTACCAAAACTTAAAACAACCTATTTTTAAAAACCCTAGCCACTTGTTTAACCAATTTCCAACCATTATCCTCCCTAACAGCATCCCCATTCTCTTGTAATCTTCTTAGCAAATAATCTTTAGTCTCAACAGGAGGACCCCAAGGAACATATTTAATAATATTCTTAACTTTATGATTTTGAATTAAATTAAATGTAACATCATCACACATACCTAATAATTGACCCAAGACAACATTTGATTTAACTATATCTGATTTTGATTGGGATAATAAATCACATGCTATATGTGATGATTTTGAATTATGAGAAGCGACAACGAGGTGGCCTAGTGTTGCTGAGGATTGGTTTTTTTCTAGGTCTGATAAAACGTATTTTATACCTTGGTCATAACATTGATCTGTATCTAATTTGGTATCATGAATAACTGAACGATCTGATTCGGAATGGATATAAGCACCTCTAACTAATTTTAAACCAACTCTGTAATTACCGGCTTGGGCAAGTGATTCTTCTAATTTGATTTGTGGGAATGATTGTTTTAAATACATTTGAATTGTACCGACAACGTTAACGAATCCTGATGGTTTATTGAATTTTTGGAATAGGTTTCTTTGTAATTTGTAGACACCTTGTTGTAAATCAAATTTTTCTGCATCAATAACTGTTACGAAAAATGGTGATTTTCTTTCAGGATATAATTTAGATAATTCATTGTTTAGTCTGACAACTTCTTCAGTAATAATTTCACAATTTTTATTCAATTGTTGGAATTGTTCAGACCATTCAGGTTTTTCAAAATTTAATAAAACTTGAGCCGGATTTGAAATTAATGCACTTGGTTTAATAACAATATAACCTGGTGGAATTTCATTAATATTTGGTTCTTGTGTCAAAACTCTAAGGATTTGTGGTTTCAAGATAGTTTCAATTGAATTCATAGTTTCTTCAACGATATAATTTATATCAATGTTTTTTGTACCTTCAGAATCTTCAATTGTTAAACTTAACATCATGTTATTAATACCTCTTTTTGATAATTCTTCACCTGTTTTGATAACTTCTGAAGGGGTTGAACCACCAACGTATAATTTACCAATAAAGAAATCTAGGATTGGAGTTGGTATAATTGGGAATAATTTAATAACCAAGTTTAAAATTGGTTTATTTAGGGTACATAAACCAATAGCACCATATGAAAATAACATTTTGTTTGAAAGGGAATCCAAATATGTTTTTTGTGGGTTTAAAGTTTGCTTGTTTGGTAATATAGTGTAATCATTTTGACTTGATTTATTAACAGTGTTTATAGTTGATGGAGTAGTAGTTGTTGTTGATTTATTTGATTGAGAAGTGTTTATGAATCTTATTAGTCTTGATCTAGGAAGTGGTAGTCTTGATCTGAACATGGTTACCTATGTGTATGTATATTAAGTATATAAGAGTATATAAAATCAGATTATAGGAATATCAAATATTTATATTTATTCAAATTTAATTCAAAATTATTTCAATTGATATCAACGGTCAACGGTCATTAAATAAATTTTGAATTTGTGCCGATTGTAAATAATTGAAAAATCAAGCGAGCGATGAGCTAGACAGGAACTAGACAGGAACTAGACAGGAGCGATATCGAGTGTCTAGGCAGAACAACTAATAGTTAGGCAGGGAGACTGGTAAAACTTAGGCAGAACACTCACTAGACTTAGGCAGACACTAGACAGACACATAAGCAATGATACATAGACATGATAAGTAATTGATAAGATTCAAAAGAAATACTGATATAATACATTGATAATTTCATAGTATCAACTAACAATTGTATGAGTTGTACAACTTGTGTTATAATAGAGTAATAGTATAATCAGGTGAGAATAATATAATATAGTCAGACGATAATACAATCAATCCATAGTTAACACTTCGCTTATTCTTATACTATACTACAATACTACCATACTATACAATACAATGCCTTACTACTATACTACTATATAACAAATAACAAATAGCACTAGTAATACTAATAATACTATACTTTCACTATAATACAATAATATAGTAATACAATAATAATCTATTCAATCTATTAAATATTTATTACTCATGTATATTAGAATTTCATTTCTATCTCATTACCATATATTCCATTACTATGTAATTATTGAATATTTCCCATCGCTTATTATTCACTTTTATAATTTCTTCTTTTATATTCGCTTGTTGCTAACCCGGAAATAATAAGCGGATACAATAAATAACAACACTCGCTTATAATTGACTACTTTAATATTCTTATTTTATTAGTGTCAAAAGACTTCAAGTGTTGATCTAGAAATAAATAAAGAAATAAAGAAAAGTTGTATTGAGATATTGGTTTATTGGTTATTGGTTATATTGATATTTCTTATAGGTGTTATAGGTAATAGTCACAGGTTATACTTTACTGCTTAGGTTATTGGTTATTTGGTTATCCCTCATTCTCATAGATTATACATTATACACTATATGATCATAAGACCATAAATCATACAATATCATCACACCACATCACAACATGCCCCCGAAGAAAAGAGCTAAAATATATCAAAGAACTTTCATAGGTTGTTGGACTTGTAGAAGAAGAAAAATTAAATGTGATGCTCAAAGACCTCATTGTCAACGTTGTACAAAATCTAAATTAACTTGTGAAGGTTATGATGTTAAATTAAATTGGAGTAATCCATTAATCTTAAAGAATAATGAAATGATTAATTATGAAATTGATGATAATGATGAATCTTCTACTTTCCAAAGATCAAATATTAAATTATGTAAATGGAATTATTATAAATATTATCAAGATATTGATGATGATTTAGAAGAATTAAATGAAATTATTGGGAAGAAGGGACCTTTTACATTGTTTAGATATAAAGATAATGAAGAGGAGGAGGATGTTGATCGTATAGATCAACATCATACTATTAATACCAATCAAAAGAATAATAATAATATCACTACTACAAGTAATAGTATACCTATTCATAAAAAATTAATAAAATTCATTAAAATTTCAATTTTTTTCAAAAATTTATCATCAATTACAATACCAAATTTATCATTACCTTCATATCAACCAACTCATTCAAATTATGATATAATAAAAGATACTGATGACTTATTAAGTATACCCAAGGAAATTATATCACATTTCCAAAAAATAAGGAATGTCATGGGGAAAATATTTATGACACAGGATGAGGATATTATTAATATTATAAGTGATTTGATTAAACATTCATTAAGTGAATTTATAATAACACAATCCCCAATTAATCAATTATTAATATTAAATTACATATTAATTTCAAAATTATTAACAAAAGATAATAACTTAGATGAATTGAAAAACATATATAATAAATCTCAATCAATATTCCAAAAAATCCAACCACAACAATCAAATACTTGGTACTTAAACTTAATATTAATAATAATGATCAATTCAACACTGGGGATTTATAACCCATCCATATTCAAACACCATCCCACCTCAAACATCAACACAATAATAACAAATCATTACAACCACTTAAAATCAATAAATCATTTATTAAACCACGCTCAATTCTCAATAGACCCACAATTCTCCCAAATTTATGAAGATATAACTCAAGATTATAACCTATTAAAGCATCCATCAAGTTTTAAACATCATCATTCAAATAATGGTTATGGTTTCATACAAATTCATTCCCAAGAGACACCACATGATGAAATCATCAAAATCCCTAAAATTATTGATGAAGATGATGATGATGATTTACCACCTCCTACTATTGTTATTAATTTCCAACAAGAGGAAGAAACACCAGACTCCGAGGATCAAGAATTACAAGATGATAATAGTAAACCTTTATTTCAATTTGAGGATTATGAAACCCCGGGGAAAGTGTTTGGAGTTTCTAAAGGATTAGTATTGGTTTTTCAAGAATTGGTTAAATTAATTAATCATAAGAAATTTTTTAGTAAGTTAGGGAGAGGTATAAGTAGGAATTTTCCAAGAGTTTTAGCAGATTTTGAAGATTTATTAATTAAATCAAACACCATGGTTAAAGGGGTGTTAGACCAGGGGTTTTATCAAGTTTTGATTATACTTTTTTATAAATTAATTTTAAATTATCCTAAAGTGCTATTACTTGAAAATTTTAAAATTTTAGAAAAGTATCAAAAACAAATGGGGATTTTTTGGTTTATAAAAAATTTATTTGATAAAGATTTAAATTTTGAAAAAAATGTTTTGGAAGTTGAGGAGGATGAGGATGAAATATGGGGGAATAATTGGGAATGTAAACAATTAATTTTAGAAATGAATGATGATGATTGGGATGAATTTTTAGAAAAAAGAGGGATACAAGGTGTTTTTATATTATGAATATAGAAAACCAAATATAAAACAATAAAAACGTCTTATTCTATTATATACTGTAGGGTTGGTTGGAGTCTATAAACTATTAAAAATTTTCTTATACCAAGGTTTTGATTCATTATTTGGTTCAATTTCTAAATCTTGTCTACGACCTTCATCAAGATCCAATGTCTCCAAATCAACAGGTCTCCATTGTTTTTTCAAAATACAAATACTTAAATAAAGTATTATACTAAAAGGTATCAAAATATAAGAATCAATAAATTCATCAACTTTAAATGGTTTTATAGAAGTCCACCCCTGGACAAGAGTTAAAAAAATAGTTGCACCGAGGCCAAACCATGTTATCCATGGATAAAATTGGGATTTATATGGTATGGTACTTATATCATAACCTTGTAACTTCCATGCTTTACGAACTCTAAGATGTGTAAATGAAATAATCCCCCAAACCATGAAAACGGCAACACCTGAAATATTAACAATATAATTATATGCCTTGGAAGCACCTGTAGAAACATTCATTAATGAAATTAAACCCAACAGGTTCATCAACGTTATAGCATAAATTGGAACACCTCTTTTATCTTTCCAACCCAGGAACCTTGGGGCTAATTTTTCTGTTGCTAAATTTGTTAAAGTTCTTGAACCCATATAAATTGAACTATTAACTGCACTTATACATGTCACAAGGACAAATGCATTAACTAAATGTGTACCATTACTCCAACCGGCTCTAACAAGGGCAATACCAATAGGAGATTTTAATGCACCTGTATCTGATGTTAACAATGGATCATTTGATGAGACTGTTGCACCATAAAACACGGCAATTGCAATATAAACAAATAGGATACGAATAGTGGTTTGTCTAACAGCACGAGGGATGGCAATTGATGGATTTTTTGATTCATTTGCTGTAATGGCAACTGCTTCTGTTCCGGAATAAAAAGTTGAAAAATAAACAAAAACAGTGGCAATACCTCTAAATCCATGAGTCAACGCTCCAGGATCATTCCAATAATGAAACCCAAATGCAGGTCTATTTTTAATACCACCTGATATATAAATAATGGAAAAAATATAATAAACACATAATCCAATAATTTTAAAAAGGGCTAACCAATATTCAGATTCTCCAAATGCCTCCACACCCAAGATTTGAAAAATTTGAAAAGCAAACCAAAAAATTAAAATATATCCATAAATTGGTATTTTTTCATCAGTATCCCAAAATGACATTATCGAAGAAATTGCATTATATTCATTACTCAAAACGCAAAACCAAATAATAACATATAGATACCCCTGTACAGCACTCAAAGCATCACTATGGAATCTCCTAGCCAATGTAGTAAACCCATTCCCCGCTGGATAAACACTAATCATCTCACCAATAGAAGTCATCATTGAATATGCAATAATCCCAACAATTAATACAGCTATAAGCATAGCTAATGGACCACCTTTTGTTAAACTTTGTCCTGCACCTAATAAGATACCAGGTCCAATGATCCCAGCAAGGGCAATTAATGATAAATGACGATTTTTCAATGCTCTTTTGGAACCTGTTGATGAATCAAATTTTAAGTTTGTTGATTGGGATGATAATGATTCTGGATCTTGGTCTGTCAATTCTTCGGTTAAATAAGGGCCATTTTTTAAATCATTGGAATTATTTGTGGGTTGTTCTAATGATGAGTATGGATTGTTTTGTTGTATGGGTTGATTGTTTTGAGATCTATTAAAGAGCCCCATTGTGGTTTGTGTTTGTGGTTTTGGATTGAGTCTTTGGTGTGAGCTTTGTTGGTTTAAATTTGGTTTGGATTTGGATATATTTGCTTTTATATAAAAAGTTTTTTTTTCAATTGCGTATTGCGTATTGCAGTAAAGATATTGTGGCACGGGAAAGGTGACAGTTATGATATAACTAGTTGATTAACGTCTTGTAGTTATTGAAACAATAAGTTTGAGATTGATTCCATGGAAAGTTATTTTGTCTGAAATCTGATGTAAAATTTTCAAGAGATCTAGTTTTATTTCTTGTTTTGATTTTTTGTCTATCGGTCAGCTCTATGATTTTCAATCAGCCTTATCTGATATCTGATAAACTTTAAATCTATTAAGACACAACGACCGGTGAACAAGCTTGTAATTTGATCAAATTATTCAATAAATATCAACATTTAATAAGTAACTAGAATATATATTGATCTTATTGTCTCTTTTTTATAACCTGAGCCACTTGCAACGTCTTCAACTATTAATCAAGCCACAGTTTGACACAATTTTGAGGTCCGATTATGTAAGATGCTATGTAATGATAATACTATTTAGGACGTTTATATTCTTTAACTTTTAGTGATGATATAGTGATTTTATTAGTTAAATAGTATACAAAGTGCTTAAAGATCATTGTGAGCTAGTTGATAATTGATTTAAACAATTTATAATTTTTTACATTTTTTGAGAAAAAGTTTTTTAAAAGTAAAATTAAAATTATTGAGATACATTTTATTCTTGAAATTGAAATTTCAAAATTTAAAGCTTCGAATTTTGTAAAATAAAGTAGCTCATAATAATCTTCATTCTTTAAAACTAATATAACCAGCTTATAATTACTATCATCTAATACAAAACTTTCGTTTAAATTGAATTTCAAAAAAATAATTATGCTGCCTCTACCAGTAATCACAAAACGCGGTAATGCAGCAAAATTCCAAAAGCAAGAAAAAGCTCTTATGGCCAAGTTGGTAAGGCGCTACACTAGTAATGTAGCGATCCTCAGTTCGACTCTGAGTGAGAGCAATTTCCCTTCTTTTTTGCTGCTCATCCGGAATTTTTCCTTTTTTTTTGAAGAATATTCACTTAAATTAGGTATATATTGATTGGTGATCCTTTTTTATTATTGCTAAGTCAATTGGGGGTTTATTTTTGTAAAATTGGACTTGTGTTGTTAAAATGTATGTCTTGATGGTAAACCCGATATACTCATTCACATCAAAACCAAACAGCTAATAATTAATTGAAAAACAGTTATTGGGAATGAAAATTTCAGGGGTTTGAACTATATTTATATTCTATCAAATTTATTCATCATTGCTGATTGAAAATTTCAAAAATAAAATTAAAGTTTTTGATATACCTGTATGAATTTAGTAATTTTGGAATTAGCACGTAACAAAGTTTCCTGTTTTGGTATCAAGGGTATCAATATGTTTTTAAAATTAGTTACTACAAATATTTTGATTCAGTCTAGTTGTTATCTATTATTGTAAATATATATAATTCTTTTTTTAATGAGGAGACTTCTAATGTTCTGATCTTTTACGTAATTGAAAAACTGGATATAATGGATATAATTCATCTTTTGAAGGAATTTCCACAAATGAGTTTTCAGTGATTTTTTTAAAAGATTCAGATAATTCATTTGATACGGTTTTAGTATTAATATCAATTGATCTTAATAAATTATCTTCAGATTCAACAGATGCAATGATTTGATTATTTGATGAAGTTATTGAAATGATTTTAGAATCTAATTCTATTATTTTATCTAATGAAATTTTATTTGATTCTAATTTTAATAAAAATACAACATTTGTTGCTTCAACTAAAACTGCAATTATGTTTGGTAACCCTGGAATTGTAATTATATCAGAAATACAAGTTTCTTGTAAATCATTATTTTCATTTTGAAATCTTGAAGGAGCTAAATGAGATTCATTTATATATGGTTCAACAATTTCACTAATATTAAATTTATCTAATAATTGATTTGATTCTTTTGACCAATCCCATAAAAATATATAATCATCACCACCACCACTAATTAATAAATCTTCATTCCATGAAGGTATTAATAATTTAGAAACAAATTGTTCATGACCAAATAACCAATGTTTAACAATAAAAGATTGAGGAAATTTAGAAATTTTAATATGTTCATCACGATCAGCAGTGAAAATAAATTGTTCATCATTTTTTTTACCAATTAATACATCTGTTAACATAGAAACATGACCCAAGATTGGTTCAGCTTCTGAATTAACCACTCTAGCTTCTTGTGTATCAACTTTAGTACTATAAACATCACCAAATTTATCACCTAATAAGATTTCAGAATCATCATATGAAGTTGTAATTGATGAAGGTCTTTTTGGGAATGGTTGTCTTTTAATTAATTTTAAAATATTTTCATTATTAGATAAATCAATTTCAAAAATAACAACAGATTTATCAGAATCTGTAGTACCAATTAAGTATTTTCCATTTCTTGAAAATTTTAAAGTTCTAATATAATTATAAATAGTTGGAGCACCTGGACCTGGAGTTGGTATTTTTGGTTCACCATCATTGTTTTTATTTTTACTCTTCTTCTTCTTCTTTTTAGGTGGTTCTTCACTTGATTCAGGTGTACCTTCTTCAGCAGCTTTTGCAGCTTTTTCTTCTAATTCTTGTTGTTTTAAAATTTTTTGTCTTTCTTGTTCTTTAAGTATTTTTTCTTTAATTGATTCTGTATTATCAGCTTCATCTGTCCATTGACCAATTCTTTCACCACTTGAGATTTTGAAAACTTGGATATGGTTTTTTGTTGCTGTGCATAGCAAGTCACCAGCGTTGTTAACTGCCACTATTTGGAATGGATGCTTCATCTTTGAACTGTTGATCTATGATAATAACAAATTCCTATAAATCTGAGCTCATCGCATCGTTAATTAATTAACCAAAAGTTTTTTTTTTTCAAAATAAAATTTGATTACGTAAGAATCATGTGACCTGGGATTGAATTTATATACTAAATTGATTATAATTGTTAAATTTAATGGTAAAAGAGAGATTTTAAATAGTGGAATGTAGTATTAACCATGTTTAGAATCAACCTATATACTTATTTACCAATATTTCCCCTTTTCCCCCGAGAAACCTCATGTTTTCATTGTAATTGTGTCAAAATGCGATGAGTATAAAACTTTTTTATCACCTTGAAAAATAAAAAAATTAATGAAACTTAAATTTTATCAAAACCACCAAAACCAACTAGAACCAACCAAATTTAAAAGGTTCATGGAGTCATATATAATATAGAAATCACATTCATTTACAACTCTTTACAATCATCAACTCATAAGCCCCAAAAAAACACAGACCTTTCTTTTAATTCTTGCATATTAAATTATATCAACTCCTTGCCCCAGATCACCATATAACCATGTCTGATTTCACACACCCTCTTATTAATAATGGATGGTTTAAAGAAGTATCCGATGAATTATTCCCAGGTCAAGCTTTAGAATTAAAAGTTAAAAAAATATTACATACTGAAAAATCTGAATTTCAAGATGTAAGTACAAAGTTTTTCATATAGTCGTGTGATATTGAGTGGAATACTAACAATAATAGATTCTTGTTTTTGAAAGTACAGATTATGGTAATGTCTTAGTATTAGACGGTATTATTCAAGTCTCTGAAAGAGATGAATTTGCATATCAAGAAATGATTACACATTTACCAATTTTTTCTCATAAAGATCCTAAATCAGTTTTAGTTATTGGTGGTGGAGATGGTGGTGTTTTAAGAGAAGTTTTAAAACATGACTATATTGAAAAAATCGTATTAGTGGAAATTGATGAAACTGTTATCCAACTAAGTAAAAAATACTTGAAAGGAATGGCTATTGCTTTTGAAAATCCAAAAATTGAAGTTAAATTATGTGATGGATTTAAATATTTACTAGAATTAGGTCAAGAATCAATTGAAAATAAATTTGATATTATAATTACAGATTCTTCAGACCCAGAAGGTCCTGCTGCTGCTTTTTTCCAACAACAATATTTTAAATTATTATATAATTCATTAAATTCAAAAGGGATAGTTATAACTCAAGCATCAGAAAATGTTTGGTTAAAAATTGAGTTACTAAAAAATTTGAAAAATACTATAAATCAAGTTTTCCCAATTGTTAAATATTCTTACACCACAGTACCAACTTATACATCAGGTCAATTAGGTTTAATGATTGCATCGAAAGATCCTAATGCAAAATTAAATATCCCTGAACGTTCATTATCTGAATTAAAAGAAGAAGAATTATTTAAATATTATAATAAAGAAATTCATAAAGCTAGTTTTATTTTACCAAATTGGGCTAAAAATTATTTAGATCAATAAAAAGAAAGAGAATTATTTGCATTAAAATATAGATTATAAATTTCATATACATACATATAAATACTGTACATATAAACAACCTAATGTTATTACTGATTGTTTTTTGAATCATTATTCACACTAGAATTAGTAGCTGTAGAATTTCCATTCTGATTTTGATTTTGATTTTGATTTTGATTTTGTCTACTATTGGTTGAGCTTAAGCGATTTGAACGATTTCTATTCCTAATAACATTCTTTGGTTTAAACTTCCCCATTGGATATAATTTTTTATCGAATTTCATTCTTTGCTTAACTTCAAATGAAACATCTTGTTGAGGACTTGCAGGAATTAATTTTTCAACTTTTTTCTTACCTTTAGTGGTACTTGAACCATCATTAGCAGATTCTTTATTATTATTAGTTTGATTATTGGTCTTTTCTGGCTGATCAATTGATTTGGGGGTTTGAGTTGAAGTTCCTGATTTTTCGGTTGATGTTTGTTTTGAAGGCATTTTCTATCACTAGAAAAAAGGATTAAAAAATTACCGACAAATTATAGAGCAATAAGGAAAGCCAATTCGAATAAAAGCCATTGAAGTTTATAGTTCAAGTGTATTCATATTTATAAATTTTCAATTCATATGAGCTTTAGTCCTTTGATGAGAATCATATTTTTGAAATTTTTGTCAAAGAGAGAATATTATACTTCATTTAGTAAAATTTCAAATCAATTAATTTATGATAAGCCCCAACTTAATCTTTCGCTAAAACACGTAACAATTTCATAAACAACAAAACCAGGTTTATCCAAATATATCATCAATAGCACTCTTCTTCTTCTTTTTTTTTAATTTATCAACTTTCCCATTATTTTTCCCACTTATTTTCTCTTTAGTCTTTAAACCTTTTGAAACCTTCAAATCACCTAACTCATTCTCCTTCTTCTTCTTCTTTTTAGGTAATTCTTGATTTGAGCTTTTTCTTTTCTTCTCAACCTCATTATGAATTTGTTCAACTGTACCAACTTCTTCACCCAATTCCTCACCTAATTCCTCACCAACATCATCACCATAACCAAACCCCCTATCAACCACATCACCCTTATCCAAACTTCCAACCTCATTCCTCACTTTTTTATTCTCCTTATCACGTATCCCATCAATCATACCTAATTCATGATAAATTTTCCCCAAAATACCAATAAGTGTTAACCCTAAAGTAATAAATTGTCCTAATGCCACAATCCCATTGAAAGATCTATAAGCACTTTTACACAATTTGAAATATAAATGTCTTGCAATGCTTAATAATTTGGTTTTGGTAGTTTGATTAAAAATTTTATTGTATGAATGTATTAATGATATTAATTTTGTTAGATATCTTTTCAATTGATTTAAATGTTTCCACCATGTTGTTACTCTATGTTGATTTTTATTTCTGTGAAAAATGAGTTTTAATAATCCGTATTCATGTTCAAGATTATCAAGTGATTCTTTGGGTATTATATTAGTTTTAACCATGTTTTGTTTAACTTCATCAATTACGAGATTCAAAGATCAAATAATTTTGTGCCAGTACTTTATATTTTTTTTTTCTAACAAATTATGATTCGGAAATATGCAACTGATCAAGTATCGGAAATATGTATTTACTACAACGTTTTGATAGATAATCTTAATAATCTTTTAATTTGAATATAAAATAATCTTAACCTTTTTTTTCTTGTTTCTCTCATATATAATATTTGTTTTTTTTCACATCAATTTAATTTCATCTTATTTTTTGAAATTCCTCATTTCACAACACGTATTAGCAACAAAATATCTCACTTTCATAAAAATAGTAATAATAGTACGTAATAATCAGCAACAACAACCTTTAGGTTCATCATAATATAATCTTTTATCAATCAAAGCAACTTTAAAAATCTTTTAACCTCACTTTATTTGTTTGCAAAAGCACCTGAATAAGTTAATGACCAAGTTAATGATAAACCACCATCTAAATATTCTTTATTGAAATTATCAGCTGAAAAGAAATTCCATGCAGTATCTGGATCAAAAAATGCTGCATCTAAATAAACAAGACCTCTCCATCCACCTTCAACATTTGGTGCAATATCTTTTAATTTTTGATCCCATTCTTCTTTAGTGAATTTTGGACCTCTAATAAATGAACTAACTGAAGTAACAGGAATAACTTGAATACCATGAATATATTCAGTATTTGTACCGAAATAAGTTGTATAATCAACTTTATTTTCAAATAAGATACCAGTAACTTTATTAGCAATGAAATCTTTTGGTTGATTCTTGTTATCATCAGCTAATAAGAAATAACTATTAATTGAATGTTTCAAAACACCCAAGATAATATCACTTCTATTTTTTAAATTTTCATCACCAACAACATCACCCCAAAGTTTTAAAGCATAATAAGCATTATAATCTTCTGATGTAGATTCTTGATCTTTACCATCACCAGAAGCGAAAACACCTTTAGCCCAAGAATGACCATTATACCAATCAAAAGCTCTAAAAGCTGGGAAATATTGATCATCATCTGTTGGTGTAGCATAATCTCTTGCTAAATCATTAATGAAATCTTTAACTGAATCAATCCAATTACCACCTTTTTCACCATCAATTTTTGCAGCGATTGCACTTGCAAAAACATGATAACCATAATGGAAATGATGATCATTATAATAAGCATTACCGAAATCACCATCTCTATCAGCAGTGGAAACAAGACCTTTCCAAGTTGTATCATAAGCTAATGGATATTGTTGTTCATTCTTAGAAAATCTTTCAATAGCTTTCTTCAATTTTGGTAATAATTTTTCAGTTAAACCATCATCTTTAATAACATAATGAGTAACATATAAAACCAATGCATATTTAGCTAAAGCTTTACCAGCATAATACATTGAATCAAGATCTGATTTTTTTTCAACATCTTCATCAACATCACTATTAGCAGCATTTTTAATCTTATTTAAAACATCATCTGAATATGATAATGAAGCACCTTCAATAGACGAATAAGGATCAAGACCAATGTTTGATGGGATATCAACACTAAATTTCAACTCATTTGTTAAATAAGCTGTAGCTGTACCTTTTGTAATGGTATCTAATTTTAAATCAGTTTTAGCACCATCCAATTCAGAGGTTAAAGTATCAACATGATGAGGTAATGCGAAAATTAAACCATTACCAGAATTTGATTCACCAGAAACATCATATTTCAAAGAATAATTACCCTTTTTATCAGAAACTGAACCATTTGTAATATTAGCACCTGTTTGATAAGCACCTGCTGCTTCATCATAAGTACCGGAATCACCTTTAGCAAGTTGGAAAATTGCACCATTAACAGAATTATTACCTTCGATATGATTACCATCTTTTTGACCTAATTCTAATGATTGACCATCTGGAATTGTAACATATAAAACCCATTTAGAATCATCATTTAATTCAATTTTATACTTGTTGATACCTGATCTTGGTGAAGTATCACCTTGGAAACTTCTAAATCCAACAGAACTTGATAATTTTGGAATTAAATTGTTATAAACACCAGTAACAAAACCTTGACCTTGAACTACTGGAAAAACTAAATCACCTTGAGATTTACTTTTTAATTTAGCTTCAGCTGATAAATGTTTAATATTTTGTAAAGATAATGAAGGAGTATCATCAAAATCAGTTGAACCGAAAACAAAAGATTTAATACCTAAAGGACCAAAGAAAAATCTAACAGCATTAGCAGTAGCATCACCTGTAACAATACTACTTTTTTGAACTTGATGAACAGCAAATCCATGATAATCATCATCTTTCGAAAACCAAATAGAATAAGGCTGAGTCCAAATTGGATTATTTTGATTTTCTAATAATAAATTTGTATAAAATTTGTTTGTACCAACTGGTTTATTATCATTATCAACTGGTGGTTTAATATCATGTTCTTTTTTTTGAAATTGAGATAATGGTTCATTAGTAGAAATTGGTTGACCAAATAAATCATCTTTAGCATAAATTGGACCTGAATTTGAACCGAATGGTTGTTGTTGAGATTGAGATTGAGATTGAGTAGACATTTTTTTAAATCTAGATATAAAATTGTTAATTTTTGAATGTCTTTTAGGTGGAATAGGTGGTGGTTGATTTTGTTGTTGTCCTTGTTGTTGATCTTGTTGTTGACGTGGAGGCAATTGTGGAGCCCCACCACCAGCTTGACCTGGTATAGGCATTGGAGCACGGTCATACATACTTATAAATAGTTTGAGTTGTGTTTTTGTTGTTGTTTGTTTGCAATGTAAAGAGGAAGTTTGAATAGAATAAGAGAATAAACCAAAGATGACTTAGGATTACTCACAATAAACTGATGTAGAGAAAAGGAAAAGAAAAGCAAAAGAAGAAGAAGAATGCAAAAACACAGGAATCACCCCAACTATTTATATGTCTTTTGACCTTTTGTTGATATGCAATGTTATAAAATTGTATTTGTGTAACTTGGAAATTGGATATAATTAAAGTACACAAAACCACAAAACCACAAAAACTAAATGTATGAGCAAATGCGTAATGACATGCAAAGGACTCAATTCTGAATGAATGTGATGCACAAAGATTGACCTAAGAGAATCAAAATGGCAACTTTTAAGAGAATCAATTGATCAATTGATTTCTTGTTGATATTATTTTGACACAATTAACCTTTAGAGAATGTACCACAGATCAGCAAATAATATTGAAAATAATATTGAACACAGCGGTTAACAGCGGTAAGTCAATGAATATAATAAACAAATGAATAAAGCAAAGACTAATACTTTTGAGTTGAACTAAATCTAATTCTTTGTAATAATCAATTTTAAGATCATCAAAAGATTTTACTTTGACACGAATTTCATAATTTAGTGCAAAATCAACAACTTAATACATACATAAACATCCAAACACCATACCACTTTTACCATAACAACCAGTAAAACTTAACTATATTGTAAATTAATCAATTATTAACTTTTGTGTCAAATTATGAAATTAAGGGGTACTGCACCAAACTAAACTTATGCCAATCAAAACCACACGTTCTTAATCAAAAGCATACAATTAGGACACAGACCAATAAAGAACTCAGCCTAAGTGCATATTAATAGCTTAATTAATGGGGAACTTGTTCTTGTTAATTAACTAAAGCCACGATTTAGATCTTATTATTGTAAATCTATAGAATTCCATGGAGAATAACTATATTTGCCACCGATATTCTCACAATAAACCAAGATCGTAAACTTTACTTAAACGAGTAGATCATGATGGCGTATCTCATTAAGGAGATCTAGATGATCTAATATCTAATATCCCTTTGAATACCGGATATATGACAAATGTAATACAACTCTAAGGTTATAGTTTGAATTTTACATAAACTTATATGCTATTCTATGTACATTCTCATGACTTTCTATATACATGACCACTATTCATCATCTTCATCAAATTGTTCATCAAGTTGTTCATCTTGATCAATTTGTTCCTTATATTCCTTTTTCTCTAAATTAACAGTATCCCAAACATTCTTTGGTTTTTCACGAAGTAAATCAATACTTGAATATTCAAACAATTTATAACCAAATCCTTGATTATTCATTATTTTTTCATTTCCATATAATGGTGAAAGTATCTTCATTTGTGGTTCATTTCTTTGTTTTTCCATCATTTCTTTCATAAATTCCAATACTAAATATTTATTAAATTTAATTGCATCATATCCAGCAAATCTTTCAGCTTCTCCAATCTTTGTTGATGGTTTACCTTCACCCAAAACTCTTCTATTAATTATAACTTCACTTACTTTATATTTCCTATTCTCTTTATAAAATTCCCTTGTTTGGAATTTCAAATGACATTTAGTAACTGTACTTAATCGCTCTTTACCATTAACTTCTGTAACTTTTTTCCTCCATTTAGCAAATATTTTCCTTGTTAAAGCTTCATCATGCATAATATAAGTACGTTTCTCAATTAAACCTTCTTCATCCCATTGTTGATTATATTTTTCAACCATTGGTTCGAAAAATCTTTCTAACCAATCTTGGAAAAGATCATCCCTTTCACCATATTGTAAATGCATCCCACCAATATATGCCTTAAATACAGCAGAATGTAATGGATCATCATCTCTTAATCCTTTTTGATTAGGTTTTAAAATTTTCCAAAGTTCATATTGTTTTGATAATTCAATTAAATTTTTTTCATTATAAATCTTTTCAAATATATAATCCTTACGTTCATCACTTTTGAAATATTTATTTAAGAATAATAAATCATAAACAAATTGTTTTATAGTTGCATTACCTCTCCATTCAATAGTTTGATATGAATATGGTTTTCCTTTTAATTCTGTATAATCTGATGAAAAATCAAAAATTTTAGCTAATATGGAATCATCATCAATAGGTAATAAAGCTGGTAATATAAAACCATTATAATTTTGTTCACCTTTTGCTAATAAAAAATTTCTATTAATATCAGATATCTTAGTAATTTCTTCATTTGTTAATTTTGTCTCTTTTAAATGTGCATAACTATTAAATCTATAATTTATTAAGATTTTTGATTGAAGGAAAGGTCTTGTTGAGATGGGGGTAATTTTGGGAAGGATATTAAGTGTCTGATTCCGTATCCTTATCATCTTGAAACAACAAATAGATCTTTTTATGGATCAACTCTATGTTTTGATATTTCTGATTATAAGATCTTTATGTATGCTTTAAAAATTTGTGAAGTGAACTTAGTTGGTGCCATATTTTCGCGACGTATATAAACTTGAAAATAAATTTTTGAAAAACAGGGGGTTGTACTATAAACATTTCAAATTTTAAGGAAATACTTTAAGTATGATTTAAGATATTCCAAAATTCAAAGTACAAGGATCGTTTGTTTGTAATTTCATCATAGTGAAGTATTTTATCTTTATATCCTTTTATTTTTATCACAATTAATACACCGATTGGTTCTATGGTTTCAATATATGCTTATAAGTGTTATTTGACCAAACAGATATTAAATCACCAATTATAACATCATGATTAACTTTTAAGTACATTCATTTTGGGAAAATAGATGATTACTATAAGTCAAGTCATGATTCATATATTTAATTCACATTATTTCAATTCTCAAAAGGTATAGTTTCAGTAGTATAAAAATAACGTCTATTATGTCTATATACTATATATCATAGACCTATGTCGATTTTATCTTCCTCTCAACATGGGAATACTAGCCATAATCAACTCTTTAATATATTCATTAACTATCTTCAAATCATCTTTATAATTTAGATATAATCCACCAATATAAGATTCAAAAATATCTGCATGATTTTTATGATCAATTTTTTTACCTAATAAATTATCTCTTTTGATCTTTGGATAAATCATATTTACTAATCCATAAGCATTTGACCATTCTGCCATAATTGAATTACTTTGAAGTTCTCCAAGATAAGATTTGGGTACTTTTTTGGAATTAAATTCATAATAATGAATATTATACTCCTTTGTTTCATCATCTTGGAAAACTATATTAGAATCATAACCTTGACTCTTCAATGATTCAGTTTGTACCATTGGTTTCATCATATTTATTAAAGAATCTGAAAAAAAAGCATCACCTAACCATTCTAATTTAGATGAACCATCAGGTAATTCATCTGGTTGAACTAATTCTAATGAAAAATCGAAAACTTGTCTATATATAGCATCATTTGTGATTAATGGTAATGGTGGAATGATATAATCTCCACATTTAACTGGATCAGTGCTTAATAATGATCTTGATAAATTGAAATTTTCATCTGTTGATTGTTGAATGTTTGGAGATTTTATTGTTTGATGAATGTATCGTTGATTTGTATGGAGACTTCTTGAAAATGAATGGATGTTCTTCAGAAAGGGTGGTCGTACTATGAATATGGGTTTAGCTAATAACATCTGGAAATGATCTTGATATCTTGAATTGAGAACCCGAACCGCTTTAATTGCAGGTGATGCTGATGTTGATGTTTATGATTTGATTTTGTTTCGTATATAAAGTGTCAAAAGCGCGAGAATTTTGTGACATGTCAGAAATTAGAAGCTACTAAAATCAATGTACTACAACATGAAGAAATACTCTACATCAATTCTATTAATAAGTTAATTACAAGACATCCACCGACACAGTAGGCGGTAAAGCTTTGATATAATAAACAACTTTAGGTCTATTATTAACCATCGCATCATATGCAGCTGCATGTTTAGCCTTGTGTAAGTTAATATGTGCACCAAATCCAATAATTTCATTATTAACAATACATTGAACATCATAAGTATTATGGTTTGGATCATCATCCATTGGTGGACAAAAAATCACTTTGAAAATAGGTTTAAACCCCACAGGTAATAAACCATCAAGTTTTGACATTGAAGTATTAAAATCATTTTCTGATATTGTATAACCAATTTTTTCTTGAATGTTATTTGAAATTAAAAATTTCTGACGAATTTCTTTTATTTTTAAATCTTTTAAAAGTTGTCTATATTCATCTGCCATTGGTTTATCATATTTTAATCTAATATTTGCTATAGTGATTTCTTCTTCAATAACTTTAGATATTAATTCTTTTATGAAAAATTCAATTGATTCTTGACTAACAACCTTTTCTTCAAGTAATCCACCTATATAAGAACCAAAAGGTCTGTTGCTAAAACTTGGCTTATCCTTTAAATATTCATCTAATCCATTGAAATATATTTCACCAAATTTTCTTGTTAACGCACCCGATATATGTTCACGAGCATATATCAATACAGATTTCTGTTGTAATGGAAACCAAGTTATCAAATACTCGGTTAAAATCAATTTATACTTGTTTTTACCTTTCAATCGTATATAATCACGATAAGATTCTTCTTGAGGTGTAATATCTTTCTTTAAATTAAAGAAAACAGCTGATAAAATATCATTATTCTCAATCACAGGAAGTTGGGGAAGATTCCCCACCAATGGAACACTTTTCCTTGTGGAAAGTATCTTTTTCACATTATTGATTATCTCTGATTCTGGAAAAGCTGATTGGATGCCTTCAGTATTAATATACCTGACATTTATCAGTCTTTTTGAGGTTTGTTTAAAAGCACCACAAAACATCACAAAGAGCCCCAAATTTTCACCAAAAAACACACAATTGAACCTGAAAATCAAACACCAACCAATATCAGCAGTCTCAATACTCAATACCTTCCTAAAACAACCATAACTAAAACAGTTTGAAGAAATTTGACGTATCAAAATATTTAAAACTGACTTACTTAATCAAAAATGATTGCATTGTTCGCGAAAATTCCGGGATTTTTATTATTATGGATTTCAATTCTTCTCGTACCTTGAAACTCGAAACTTGAAATCCTTGAAAGATCTTATTCAGTTGGACAAGTTTGATTGAATATTTTGTTTGATTTGCTTACAAAATGACGTCTTTGATTGAACTACAGAGAGATCGTGAGTTTTTCTGCTTGTTGAGGGGCTTGTCTTGTTGATCAGGGATTTTATTATGGATCCCTCTCTGAGACTGATATGCGTCCCATCTAAATTAAGATCAGTACATGAATACTAACAATGTAAATTCTTAAGGATTGTTGAATTTGATCAAAGGAGTTAATACTGCTAATGGATACAAGATACTGGTGCTTGATGAAACTACTGAAGAACTTGTTTTCAGTGTATTGGAGAGAAATGAAGTTTTGAATATGGTTACTGGTGAGTAGATAGTGATGATGATTTATTGCTGGATAAATACTAACCATGTTCAGCCATTGAAAGAATAGATCAAAAGAGAAATAATCAGTTCTCTATAGAAGCTGTCTATCTATTAGAGCCAACCCCATTCATTATCAATTGTTTATTAACAGATTTTACAAATATACCGACTAGGTATAAAGGTGCACATATTTTCTTTTTACCAGGTTTAACAAATGATTTATCAAATAAATTAAAAGCAAATATTCATTTCCAAAAAAATTTGAAAACTTTCCAAGAATTCTATTTGAACATTTATCCAAAAGAATCAAATGCTTTCACTACAAAGACCTTAAATTCAATTCAATTATATTATAATCCACAATGTCATGATTTAGTAACCAAAACCATTGTTAACACCGCAAGATCATTAGTTGATCTTTGTGTAATGACTGGTGAATATCCAATCATTAGATATTATTCCCCAAATGAAAATGATGGTTATTTCAATGCATCGGTATTACCACAAATGATTGCTACAGAATTACAAGAACAATTGGATGAATATACAAGAAAACATCCAGATTTCCCACCAACTTCAACAAGACAAAGATCTATATTCATAATAACAGATCGTACTATTGATTTATTTGCACCTTTATTACATGAATTCACTTATCAAGCTATGGCTTATGATATAAAGTCCAAACAAATTCAAAATGATGTTTATCATTATGAAGCTGAAGATGAAACTGGTCAAAAAGATGCAAAAGAATCAAAATTAGATGAAAAAGATCCAGAATGGATTCAATTAAGACATTTACATATTATTGATGCTCAAAAATTATCAAGTACAAGAATTGAAGAATTTTTGTCTAAAAATTCAATGCTTGTTGATAGATCCAAAATTCAAAATACTTCAGATATTTTACATGCAGTGGCACATTTAAAAGGTTTTGATGAAGAAAGAAGAATTATTTCATTACATAAAATTTTGTTGGAAAGTTTATTATTAGAAAATGGTGAAAGAAAATTAGCAGAGTTAGCAGAATTTGAACAAAATGTCGTGAATTTTGGTGTTGATATTGATGGTGAACGTGTTAAAAACCTTGCTGATCAATTAATTGAGAATTTAGCTCAAGATTTCTATACTTTCCCTGAAAAATTAAGAACTATTGTACTTTATGGTCTTTATAGAGGTGGGTTAATCGAGGAAGATTATATTAAGTTATTTAACTTTTTGGGAATTAACCAATTACATGAAATCACGTATAATTTAGAATTAATTAAAAATTTTGAAACAATTGGGTTTAAACTAGTTAAACCAAATTTAAAATCAAAATCAATCTTTAAAAGGGAATTCTTACATGAATCAATATCAGAAAATTCTTATAATACATCAAGATTTAGACCAAGTATGAATTCTATAATTACAAATGTCTTATCAAATACATTAGATGATATTAGATTCCCATATATTAAAGATAAACCAATAGATCTTGAAAATGATATATCAAGAACAAATTCCACATCAACTGCATCATTGAAAAACCCAAAACATAAAGCATCATGGGCCAAAACAAATACACAATTTAAACCACCAAGACAAAGAATTTTTTATTTTATAGCTGGTGGCGCAACTTATTCAGAAATTAGAACTGCATATGAATTATCAAATAAATTTGAAAAAGATGTTATAATTGGTAGTGATGATTTAATAACACCAATTCAATTCATTGGAGAAGTTAAAAAATTATCATTATCAAGACCTGATTTGAAATTATATATTGATTGGAAAAATTCAAAACCTATTGAAGCACCAAAATATTTATTAGATAATTATTCTGAAAAAAATCCAAAAACTGCTCATAATAGTGCAAATTCAAATATTCGTCAACAACAATCTGTTAATAATGGGAAATCAAATTCAAATAATGCATCAACTCAAGAACCTGAAAAGGAAAAGAAACGTTCAAAATTCAAATTATTTTCTAAAAAATCTAAAGATTAATGGGTTTTTAGATTTAAGTATTGTTCATTAGTATTCATTATATAGAAACATTTAATTAATATTTTTTAATAGTTTAATATGGTTGTAGTGTTCTATTTTGTTGTGATGATTGTTGATTTCTTGAATTATTTTGATTATTTGTAACTGATCCATCATCACCATAATTTATAGCTGTTGAATTATTTGGTTGTAATTGTTGTGCTTGATTTTGTTGATAAACTTGATTAAAATCAAATCCAACATTTGGGAACCCCCATGGATTTGGGAATCCTTGTTGTTGTTGATTATTTTGTTGTTTTGAAAATGTATTAAACCATTGTGTTGGGTTTGCAAACATATTAGGATTGAATGGCATTGCACCTGGAATTGGTGGAGGGAATGCAAATCCCCATGGTGGCATTGGAGTTGGAGCTTGAGAAGGAGTTGGAGCTGAAGGAATTGCAGGAGGTTGAGTTGTAGGAGGTGGTGGGATTTGATTCATTTGACCACCCCATGGTGATGAAATTGTTCCTTGATTTGGTGATTGAGATCCCCCAGTGGTTTGTGCTAATAAGTTTTGTAATGTTGGTGAAGGTGAAGCTTGGAAGCCAGGTATTGAACTTGCATTTGAACCTGATGAAGTTGGTGGTAATATCCCACCGTAGACTTGTTTTAAATACGGTATACTTGGACTTTGTGAAGATTTGGTTTGGGATTGATCATCGTTTATACTATAATCATCATCATCATGTTCGTCATCATCATCATAAAACGACTCTGTAGTGGGTTTATTATGTTTTGATTTCTTTTCTTGTTTAACATTTTGTTGTTGATTCTCTGATTCTTCAGTATCACGATCTTTTCTTGGTTTATACTTCTCGTAATAAGCATCTTGTAAATCCTTGATAGGAGTAACGAGCTTATGCCTTCTTCTAGTATCAATCTTATCAACTCTCCCACTTTTCAAATATTTCCCATATTCTTTTGTCTTTTGGAAATCATCTCTTAATTTCTTCTCTATTCTTAACCGTATGAAATCAGGATCTTTTGAATCCTTATTAGATTCCAATATCTTGTCTCTGAGCTCTATCACCTTGAGTGATTGTACTCTATCTTCTTCAACCATAATCATCTATAATTATATTCCCTTGTAATGTGTAATCACTTTGAGTTTCCAAAATATTGAGTTAAATCACTCTTTACTTAAATCTCATATGGAAAAAAATATTCGGTATACACAACACCATACAATAACGCGAAATATTAAATTAATTTATATAGGCGTAATTTGAAACATCTTATGAATCATAATTCATGGATATGATACGAATTACAAAAGAATAACTACAATTTAAATTTTGCACTATTTTCTGATTTTTTTGTATTTTTTCTTGTAAAATATAAACCTATTTATACATAAAATGTAACCATTACCATTTTTTCCTATTATAAATCATTAACAATTTTGTAATATATTTAATTTAAAATATAAAAAAAAGCTTGTTATACTTTAATTTATACTGTTGTTGTCAAGTTTCTTTATGACCATCATCATCTTTTATCACCACTTTACAACTCTTCATCTATCTCTTTAATAAAAACCAAAAACATATTCTTTAAAAAACACTAATTAAAAACAAATTTATAAGACGTTATATAAAACATTCTTAAAATTTCATTTGATGTGGTTTATCACCATTTTTCAATGAGAATGAAGAAGCTAAGTATTCTTTTAATAATGGAGTCTTTTTAATTTCAGCTAATAATTGTTTATCAACAGATCTTTGATCAGTAACTCTTTCTTCTTTGATTTCTTTTTTTGGTTGTTCTTCACCAAAGAATTTTGATTCAGATTTTGATTGTTTTGATGATTTTTCTCTAGCAAAGTATTCAACATCAAATTTTGAAACATCAACTGAAGAAACATCAACTTTAGTTGAAGTAGCAATAACATAACGAGCATTAACACGACGTAATGGAACACCGTTAACTTTGAATGGACCTGAAACTAATAAAGTGTTATCTTTTAAGTTTTTTAAGTAAACAACTCTTTTACCTCTGAATCTACCAGCTAATAAGATTAAAACAGTACCTGGAACTAATGAAGCTCTTAATTTTTGAGGACGAGCAGTTTTTCTGGTGTTTTTTGGAACTGGAGCATCTTCAGCTTGATACCATTTTGGGGCTTGAGTAGCAGACATCTTTGTTATATGTTTTTGTTGATGATAAATTTGGTTTATATGGTGGTAAACTAATTTAAAATTTCACAATATAATCAGAATATAGATAATAGTGATGTTTGATGATAATTTTGAAAAAAACCTGTAGTGTGTATACACAACACAAAAAAAAAAGTCCATACAACCCGCGAATTTTAAATTTCTCAATGTGTGTATTATGTAATCCCGTACCAATTTTCAAAATTTGCCACAAAAATTTGTTGCGCTTTACCAAAAATCCAATACTAAAAAAAGTGTTGCGCGGTTTCAAAGGACACAAAGTAAAAAAACACGGGGGAGAAACCGGTGTGTGGGTGTATTATAGTGCAAAAAATGTGTGACTGTTGATGATGTATGGATGTTGGAAAAGTCACGTGTAAATAATGAAATATCATGTGATTATTATCAGTTAAACCCTCTAATAATTATACCAAATTTATTTAATTCACCTTTATAATTCCAAACATTAATAACTGGTAAAAATTCCACTGAAATATTTGAATCTTCAACTATGAAAATATATTCAGGTCTTGTATAAATGGTATAATGTAAATCTTTATCAAATTTTAAATCATCAATTGAATTTAAAGTTAATGTTGAAACAAAATTTTGTTCATTACCATAGTATAAAGAATCTTGAATTGATAAATTCTTAGTCAAACTTTCATTTATTTCGTCTAATTCTTCATCATCACTATCATCTTCATATAAATTAATTAATTTCTTGTAAACAAGTCCACCCCATTCAACATTTGCACTTTTTGGTAATTCTTTAACTTGAACAATTAATAATGAATTTGAAGGATTTGAATATTCAGAATTTTCATCACAATAATTTTCCCATATTTGAGAAACACTAGATACTAAATTTGATGATTTAACAAATGAAACCATAGATAATTGATTAACACAACCAATAACTTGTTTAACATTATCAAAATGTTGTAATGAAAGTAAAGCTTGTTCTAAATCATCAGATTTTGTTAATTCCATTGTTGATGGAATCAATGGAATTTGACCACTTATCGTAGCGATTAAATTTTCATCAATTATACTTTGTGAATATGGTCCAATGTTTGCAGGAGCCCAATAACTTCTACCTTGGACATGTAATCCTGTCTTCTTTGAATTATCTAATAAAACTATTACTGATAATTGTAAATATGATCCTTTTGGTAATATAGTTTCCACACAAACTCTTGATGGAGGTAATGGATTAGGGAAATTTTGAACATAAATGTTATTAATTTGTTGGAAATTGTTCATATTTGATATTAATAATGTTGAATGTTGGATATGTGATGAGTTAACATTATTTTCATTAAGGATGTTGTTTAAGTTTTGGAACACATCAGTTACTTGTTCATCAACAGTTGATTTATCACTTGTTATATTTGAAATGAATAATTTATTATCTATTTTATAAATTGATTGTCTAGGTGAGTTAATAAATTTAAGATCATCTTTAATTTCATCAGCGTTTGGAAGATCTGTTGATAATGAATCATAAATTTCTTGGAAAGATTCTTTCAATACTTTGTTATTTCCAGGTAAGAATTTTGACCAATTTACACCTTTTTCTTTTACACTATGATATTCTCCATCTTCTTCAGTCTTTTCAACAACTTCAACAACAGGATTCAAATAAGCAACTTGGTCATTTGATACAATTTTTTCAAAACTTGTTAATTTTAATTTTTTAATGAAAAATGGGGCATCAAGTACTAAAGTTTCAAATTCACCACCTTCACCACAAATATGAACTTCGAATCTTGAATTTAATTTCAACAAAATTGGAAACATTTCTTTTAAACTCTTACCCAAATGTGATTCATCAAGTCCCACAGCTGCAACTTTAATGATACGAGCATCCATTGAAGATTCCACCATTTCAGTCATTAATTCTAATTGATCTCTTTGCCAAAGGAAAGCCAATGAAGTCAGTCCTAATCTTTGACATACATTTTCCACTCTTGTTCTTTGATATGAAGATAAGATAGCACCAACACTTACAGCTTCAACATCAGGATGTTCAATTTGAACTTTTTGTAATAAACAATATAAATCTTCAATTTCATCTTCTAAAGTTAATTTATAATCCAATTGTTGATTAACAGATTTCCCCTTGATATCACCTCTATACATGGGTACCCCAATTATGTCTGAATATAATGTAAGAGCATCATGACCCACAGTTTGAAACATAAAACTATCCAGTTCTTGAACTTTATGATCAGCTGGTCTTAGATTAGCCAATGCAATCAATTCATGACCTTGTGAAAGACAGTGAAGGATATTGAAACATGAGTCTTTACCACCAGAGACTAAAGCAACAACCTTCATTATAGTAATACCTGATTAACTTATGATTATAGGGAAAACCAATAAGCTCATCGCTTAATTACATACAATGTGAATCGGTCTTTTGGCTAAATTAAAATTTATTTACGCGCGAATTCGTTTTACAAAATAATAACAAAAAGAAAAACAAAAATTAAGCGCTGAGATCAAATTGATAAAGTAAACAATTGAATTTGAGATCGGTTTTATTAACTTTCTTTTGTAGACGATTGAGCAATTTCTCTTTGTTAATCATGGTAGACATCTATATATTCTCCAAGGACTTTTAAGATCTAAAGGAAATACTCGCCCCAGGCAGCCAAAGAGTCAATTCCTAACTTTACCATTGGTCTGGTTTTGGTGGCTTCTGCAAGTGAGCAAATAAATTCTAGATTGTAAAGGGAAAGACAAAACCATGGAAGTTTGGAAATATACCCTTCTTTGAACCCTTTATAATGGTAAAAGTCCGCTCTTTAAAACAGAAGACCCTTGAGATTTAAGGTTATCCATCATTCATCATTCATTGTCATTGTTGATCTTATTGATCTTAGTCATTCCTTCATAGTAAACAATGAGATTCCGTCATATAACACCAGTGATATTGGGATCTATACTCATATTCTCTGGAGTATCACAAGGTCTAGTCATTATTGATAGTATTCTTGCCACACAATGTATCTATTATCTAAAAGATTTCGATTGGGGGTGTGGTACCAAAGGTCAAAGTCATGCTGCCTATATGTGTCGTTGTCCTAATATTGATTGGGTTGGTTCAGTGACAAATTGTATTGAAAGTCAAAGTGATGATAGAGGTTATAAAGATCATGCTTTAGCTCATGTAAGGACCCGTTGTTCACAAAAGGCTATGATTGATTATCCTGTTGATGTCTTGAAAGCATATCAACAAAATGCTACGAAATATATTCAAGAACCAACTGAATATGATTTTGATCATACTTTACATCATCCAATTTCTGTTAACTCAACTTCATTTGAATTCTATAGAAGATCTTTTAATCATATTTATGCTCAAGTTATAAGATCACAAGCTTATCAATGGGGGTATATATTTTTTTGGACATTTGTTATCATGTTGGGTACAATATTAAATTTTTCTAAACATTTCTTGATTTCATATGCAAATGGTTCAAAATCAAAATTTACCAACAATTTCATAAATAAATTAAGATATAAACTCACGGTTCCAAATTTAATTCATAAATCACAAATTAGAATTCTAGGATGGCCAATTCAAATCCCAACAACTTTACAATCATTTGTCATTTCAATGTTTATAATTTATATGATTTTAGCTACAACAACAGGTTATTCAATTGATTTACCAAATGAATATCAAAAGACAAGATTAAATCAAATCCAAGATCTTATAGGTTATAGAACTGCATTTGGTGCATTTGCATTAATGCCACCAACTTTTTTATTTGGTATTAGAAATAATCCATTCATAAAATTAACTGGATCTTCTATTTCAACTTTTTTAACATATCATAAATGGTGTGCAAGAGGTCTTGTTTTACAAGGTTTTATTCATTCAGTTGTTTGGACAGATTATGCTATAAGAGAAGGTGGTTATGCAATGTGGGCAATGGATGATTATTGGATTTGGGGGATTGTTGGTACTATAGTTACCGTGTTAATGTTATTTCAAAGTTCCAATTTATTTAGAGAATTATCATATGAATTTTTCCTATTAGTTCATAAAACTTTTGGTATTTTATTAATTATTTCAATGTGGTATCATTGTAATACACTTGGTTGGATGGCATGGTTATATACATGTATTGTTATATGGGGGTATGATCGAATTTTAAGATTTTTATCAATTTTATGGACAGGTGGTGTTAAAAAAGCTAAGATTACAAGTTTAAATGAAAGATTAGTTCGTATTGTTATCCCTAAACCATTTGGACCAAATGATTATTATTTCCCAGGATGTTTTTATTGTATTTATTTCTTAAATTTTAAATTAAGATTTTGGCAATCCCATCCATTTTCAGTTATGAAATCTAAAAGATCAAATGAAGAAGATTGTTATGCAATAGTTTTCAAAACTCATAAAGGTATCACAGGTAAAATTCAAAAATTATTATTAGAAAATGCTAAAAAATCATTAGTTGTTGATATTATGACTGAAGGACCATATGGTCATCATATTCCATTAAGACAACATGATCAATATGTTTTCGTTACAGGTGGTGTTGGATTTTCACCATGTTATTCACAAGCTATTGATATAATTGAAAAAGATCAATTTAGAAATCAATCTAAAATTATAAAATTCATTTGGGTTGTGGAAAATTTAGAATATTTTGAAATTTTCAAACCAGATATGGAATATTTAATTCAACATGGTGTTGATTTACAAATCATTATAACAAATACAAATAAATTAGGAAAAGAAGATTCACCAGATTATACATCAATTGAATTAGAAGAAAAACCAAGTGATGAATTATATAAAATTATTGAATTGAATGCAAGACCTAAGATCTCAGATATTGTTAATCAAATAGATTTATCAATATCAACAAATTTTATAACAAGTGGACCAAGAGGATTTATTGATGATATGAGAAGTTCAGTTTCTGAATTAATTAAAGATTCAAAAGTTAGAATTGATTATCATGAAGAATCATTTTCAATGTAATGACCATAACTTATACAACATATACAGCATATACAACATATACAACATATACTATTTATACATAAGCATATAGAGATTATTGTACATAATTACAAAATTTATTTATAACATTTATTATTACCTTATACAGTAGTCCACTTTGTTCCGTTATATAACATATTAACCAATAAAACAAAACCTCGATTAACAATGTATTATATCAATTCGTAATCGTACCGGTAATTATGGAATGCCATATGATTACTTTAAAGTTTGCTTTTACAAACCATTGCACATACTTGCTCAGTACTAAGTTATATATGAAAAGGGGTTGTCATGTTCTAATTGTTCGACTAAACTTTGTATTGCCACGAATAAAATGTATGATTGCTTTAATGGAATCAAAAAAGTATATAAGGAGATCTTATTGTCTCAGGTTTGACCTTTGATATTGTTTGTCACTTCTCTATACTCAATTGAGATTATACTGTAACACAAAACATATTACACAATGGGATTATCAAAATCAGCTTCATTACCAACTCAATACTCTTTAGACTATGTTAAATTTGATTCCTCCGCAAAGAAAGGAAATCAAGAATCACCAGCTAAGATTGAATTTAAAGATTTAAGTAAAGGTACTTTTGTTATTGTTGGTACACCAGCTGCTTTTTCACCACCATGTTCAGAACAACATTTACCAGGATATTTAACTTATTTGAAAGATTTCACTTCAAAAGGTGCTAAAGTCATTGTATTGAGTAAAGATAATTTATTTGCCAATTATGCATGGGCACAAAAATTCAATGTTTCTGATCAACAAGATTCAATTATCTTTGCAAGTGATACAAATTTGAAATTTTCTAAAGATCATGATCTTTCTACAACTGAATTTGATCCATTAGGTGAAGTTGCTAGTAGATATGCTTTGGTTGTCAAAGATGGTGTTATTACTTATATTGGTAAAGAAAAGGAAATTACTGAAGTTACCGTTTCAAGTGCTGAAAAGGTTTTAGCTGAATTATAATGAGTTTATGTTTAGTGCTCAATTGGATTGAGTGTATGAATGAATGGATTGAATAGTATTTTGCTTGTAGATGCTAGGTAGGTAGTACGTTAGCCCTTCTGGGATCCCTTTTGATTCCTGTATGATAAAGATCGCCAGCATTGATACACAGCGCAAGTACTGAGTCACTCGATTGCCAGCCTAGATTGAAGGGAATGTTAGCTAAACAGACCATACTTAGTCTGCCTAGAACATACCCAATCTCTCCTTCTAAACACATTCATTTCCTCTACTTACCAGTCTATCGTCCTTCAGTGATCTCTTTAAAATTCTCTTGATTTCTCTTTCAAATATTTAAATAACCTCAATTAAGCGCCCTGTTGCTCCAACCGCCCGCCCAGTTTGTCACTAAAAATTGGAAAGCCAGAAACCACCAAATTGAAAGCGTCAACAAAGAGCACATTCCAACAAGATCAACTGAGATCATTGAGATCAACCGTTGGGAATAGAAAAGGAATTGAAGGTATCACAAGCTGAAGAAGATATATCACAATGTCTCTGCCTGTTGCTGAAGAGAATCCATGGGCTGAGGAACTTTCACAGAGAGAAGTTGATATTGAGAACGAGAATCAAGCGCCAATAGTGGATAATAATCAGAATAAGATACTGAATTCTCCAGAAATAACATCACAAGATTCGTCTCAAACAGAATCAAAAACTTCTCCAAGGATGATTACACCTAAACAACATAAAAATAAAGTCAAATCATCAAGTTCAAGCCCCAAAAAATTTGGTAAAAATCTATTACCTGCTGCTCAATTATCATCATCTCAACAACATCAAAGTCAAAGATTACAAAGATCACCTTCTAGAAAAGTATCACGTATTAAAGGTAATTCCAAAGATCTTATATTTGGTGTTTGTATAGTGAATTTCCATCATCTTCGAGGTCCAGAAATTGAATATACCAAGTTTCATGATGATTCAACAAATGATTTTTCAATAATATGGCCTCATTTACCATTTCAAGCTTTACCAGATGGTGCTCATTCATTTGAAGAAACTTTTTCATATTTTACATTATATTATAATGAAAATGGTAACACTCAAACAATAGATCAAGATTCTACTACATTATTTGCTATATCTTGTGTTCGTCAAATAAGGACTGAAGAATTATTAGAAAAAGATGAAGATATAACAAGATCAAGTGTTCAAAAGGCTGTTGTGGTAATTTTAAGACAACCCATATTTGGACAAATTAAAGAAAAATTAAGCATTGTAACAAATTCATTTTTTGAACAAAAAAATTTTAATGATAAATTAATTGTGGATTTACTGTATGATAATTTACAAACCATATATAATGAAGGAACTTCCTCATCTTATATAGATGAAATGGATTTTTATTCAGGTATTTCACTAAGATCATTAATTAAAGATTTTAAAAAAGATGTACTTGTTATATTAAAAGCTATGATTTTAGAGAAAAAGATTGCATTTTATGGTTCAAATCCAACAAAATTGTGTCAAACAGAATTTGCATTTATAAGTCTTTTACCAAATTTAATTAATAATCTTTTGGATTCTTCATCACCTGAATTAGATAATTATTCTTCAAATGTTAAGATGACTACAAGTTTCCAAACAAGTGATCGTAATTCTGTTTTAGATTTTGCCGGGTTCCCACTACAAATATTTGGTAAGAATGGAGTATTCGCTCCATTTGCTCCATTACAACAGTTTGAAGATTTGAAAAAAGTTAAACATTATATTATGGGTACATCAAATGCACTTATATTAAATCAAAAATCTAAATTAGCTGATGTTTTAATAAATATTGATAACTCTACAGTGGAAATTATTGATCAAGAATTAAATCAACCATTAACTTTAACAAATTATGATAAAAAATGGTTATCAATAATTATAAATAATGTTACATCATCATGGAATGATTCATATTCTGGTTATATAGGAAGTGATGATTATATTAGATGGCAATTTGAAGATTATTTAATTGGATTATTATCAAGTGTTAAATATGATAATTTTATTAAAAAATTTGATGGATCACCACCATCAGAAGTAATTAACAAAGATTTTGATATAAATCAATTAAAAAATTTCAATCTTGGATTTATTGAAATTTGGAAAAAGACATCAAATTATAAATTATTTAATAAATTTACTGATGATAATATTTTTGACGTTTTTGAACCAAAACATATTTATGTTGATGAAAATAAATCACTTAGTGAAAAATTTCAACAATTTAAATTAGATAATTCTAAAAAATTTGAAGATTATAAAAAAGGATTTTTAAATAAAGATACAAGTATTCCAAAAGAGAAAGAAAAAGAATCAAAAGATAAGGAAAAAGATTTAATTAATAATGACAATAATAATAATAATAATAATGGTAATAATAATGACTCAAATAAGAAATTAAATTCTCCTGGGAAAATATGGAGTTGGTATAGCAGAAAAAAAGAATCAAAAGATGCAGAATGATACAAAAGAATGAACCTTAATAATAAAACCCAGTGCTACGATATACATATATATATAATTCAATTCATAATCATATATTCAATTAATCATAATATAGATTTAATTTTCATGCTATAATCCCACCAAAATCTTTGTAACTTGGTAATACCGTTATAGGTAACCTACAAACAAAATCAGTCCCACTTAAATTTTCTTTCCCTAATTTTAAAGAACCAGTATCATCATTATGTAATTCTGTTAAAAATTCATCATCACTTAAAATAAATTTTAATGATAAACACCATTTAATTTCAAATATATTTGTTTTGAATTGTGGTGTTGATGATAATGGAATATTTATTGAAATTGGTAAATGAGATGTTTGAAATGTTGAAAAAGATTCTTTATGATGAGGAATTATCCTTGGTAAAGTTTTTGTTAAATCTATATCTGCTGAGAATGAATCTCTTATTAATTCAATACTTTCTAATGAGATTAAGACACCTGTTGTTTTTAAATCTTTGTTTTGTAAATCTAATGTAAGTTTAATCTCTTCACCTATTGTATAAAAAGGTTTTGAAAAAGTTAGAGTTGTTATACTTTGACCATTTCTTGCAATGATGAATTGTGATTGAATTTTAGAAATTTGTTTTTCAAAATTATAACCTTCTTTTATTATACTGATTGGTTTGGAATCATTTATGATGGAATTTGAATTATTATTAACTAATTCTATGAAATTTGAAATTATTTGTTTATTATTAAGATTTTGGAATTCATCAAAATTAAAATCTGATTCCTGATTGAAATTTTCATCATTTTCAATTAAATTTTCAATCTTATTTAAAAATTTTTCCTTTTTATTTGATTGTGATAATTTTGGTTTTGTTAATATGATTTTTTTAATTGATTTAAAACTTGATCTTCTTCCATTTGATGATTCCACAATTTCATTTAATGATTTATCAGATGGTAAAAGAATAAATTTATCTAAATTTGAAGTTGGTTGATATCCATCTTCATCAAATTTAGGATATATTTTCAATGGGAAATGAATATTTAAAGGTTTGGGTATTTGTTTGTTTAATGAAGCACCAACGATAAAATGATAATTAATCTTAATTGAAGATCCATTATATGATGGTGGTAATGTATGTGGTAATTTACATTTAAAATAAAATGTTTTAACATCACCAGGTTTTAAATTTAATTCACTAAATAATAAAGATTGTGATGTTGAAAAAAATGGAATTAATTTTTCTAATTCTTGTTTTTTTGAATCAGCTTCAGCTTCTAATTCATCAGTTGTTGTATTGAAAAAATTCCCAATCCCATGAGCAACAGATCCAAAAATTCCTTCATTTTGTGTTTTGGATAATTCTAAACCTTCTAATCCACCAATTTTACCTGCCACAGCAGCTTTATTTCTAAAATCTTTTAATTTTTCACGATCAATAACTTCTTCATCATAAGTAAAAAACCCAGATAATTGAATATAACCTATAAGCAAATCAATTGATTTATTTCTTAACTTGGGTTTCTGTTCAGCTTGTTGTTCAGCTTCTTCAAGGAATAGAGATCTTGCAGCATTTGATAATTGCATTGAGACTCTTTTCCCAAACCATCCATTTTCTTCATTAGATTCTCCTTGCTGTTGGATATCACCATCAGAAGTTTCTGATTGTCGTACTGGAGCATCTTCAGGAATTGTACCATTATTTGAATCTTCTTGTTGTTGTTGTTGTTTCTCACCAAGGTGTCTAAACCTTACAATTGCAGATACCTCTTCATCAGCAAACACAGGACTATCCTCATAAACCACCTCTACCCTGACATTCTTCAAGAGCAATTGATTATGGATCTGATGAGTCAACATTCTCCAGCACCTTTCCTGTGATCTTTGAACTTCAAATCTTATCAATATTTCTCCATGTTTATTATTTGACAAGTTTCTATGTATTGACATTTTGAGAACCGAGGGCCTAAGATTTGTGCACGTGACTGAAATTTGAATTCCGAGAAAATTAAAAAAAAAAAATTAACCGCTATCAAACAAATTAACATTTCAAAAGTTGATCAAACGACCTTTTTGGTTATGATTTATAAGGCATTGACTAAGGGTTGGGTGATTTGAAGATAGGGAGAGAGGATGTCCAGTGCTAGTGTGATTCACAGGATCAAGGAGTTTGATCAGAAAGTGCTTGATAAAAAGTTATTCTTGGGAATTTATCCCATAGTGTTTATAATAGGTTTATCTATACGGGTTTTATTATCAGATGAATTACTTTCAAAATTAAGATCTTCATATTGGGTTTCTGAAAATAATATATTCAATTATGTATTTGCAAATCATGGGATTAAAGTGTTTACAACATTATTTATAATTTTGTTTATATCGAAAATTACACTATCAGAATTGAAAACTTATAGATCACCAAGTTTATTACCTAGTGGGATTGAAACATCTAATGATTTTAGAACAAGAAGACTCATTACAAGAAATTTCAAGACTAGTATAGGTCATGGTATTAGATATGGTATAATATATTTTGGATTGATTGCATTATTTACATTGAAAAATTATGGTTCAACTTCAACAGGTGGTGAATGTAAACCAATTGATTTAAAGAGATCTTTAATAATAACTTCATGTTCATCAGATGAAAAATGGGTACCTGGAACGTTAAATATTTCAGGACATTATTTATTCATAGTTACACTAAGTTTATCACTTATATTTGAATTAAAATTATTATTAGATTATAATATTGATTGGATTGAACAAACTATAGATGAAGAAGATGATGGCTTAGGGTTCTCAACTGAATTGAAAGCTAGTATTCATATCATTGGATGGTGTTCTATTATTACTTTACTAACTATTTTAGCATGGGTTGGTGTGCTTTCAGTAACGGCAATTTTTTATCATACATTGATTGAAAAAATAATTGGTTTAACTCTAGGTTATGTTATCCCAGTTATTAACTATATCTTTATTGTAAAATTCTTTGAATCATATGTATAAGTTGAATTGGAGTTGTTTAATGTATAATGGAATAAATTGTCCCTTAAAGCCACATAGCTGACAAATTTGACAGGTACCTTATTAAGCTTTAATGTACGTAATTACAACCGCGTAATAGACCTAAAGAACCACACCTTTTTCAACAACAACAACAATCACAAATGATTAATACGTATCCTATTTACCCATTGTAGTATAACAAGACCAACGGAGACCACGCTCTTAAGTGTATTCTGTGACCGATCAAAGCATCTTCAAGCATTATTTCGAGGATCCACTGCACTTTTCTCATCGTTCAAACTTTCACTTAAACACCCTTAAAAGCTTGATAGAAACGATTATAAAGTAGTGAAAAACAGCTTCCCATACAAACCATACACGTAGAAACCAATTAAATCATCAAATAACTCCTAATTCACCATCTTCCCTTCCAAAATTCCCCTTTGATTGTTCATTTCCCTTTGTTAAATCTCATCGGGTCTTCGCAGATCAAAAAGTGTCCCAAAGCAGAAGCCCCAAAGTGTTTTTTTTCGCATCAAGAAATCTAATTTTAATTTATACCCAGAGATGAAATTACGAAAAATTTAAATTTATATCGTGTTTTTGGTAAAAGTTGTTGAGTGATCAATATATAAAGGGTTTGAATCCTTCAATATTCATTTGATAGACTTGTTAATACCCTTGGTGTTCAATTCTTAAGGTTCAGATAATTCTTGGTTAAGGATTTCCATTTGGTTAAATAATAGAGTTTAAATAAACAAACCAACAGGGGTCCACTCCTTATTTCAATCGTTCATCAACGCATCAACACCACACATCTACAAATCCCCTTCCATTACAAAACATCATGATCACAATACTCGATGCTGAAACACAATTCAGACAATTCATCGATTCAAAATCATTCTTATTTATATATCCAATAATTTTTTTAATTGGTGTTATTATAAATCTTATATTACCACAAAAATTATTTGAATATTTAAGAGATAATTCATCAATTGTATCTTCTGATAATTTCATAAATACTCATTTTGCATATAAGGGGAATCATATATTTGCTATATTATTCACTGGTGTCTTTATTATAAATATCTTACAAGAATTTAAATCTCATCAAACTCAAATCCATCAATCTAATAATAATAATAATAAATTACAAAATGAAAAATCAAAAGATGAAGAACTTGTTCGATTATCATGGCAAAAATTTAAAAACTTTACAATCAAATTCACTTTAAAAATATTCATTTTATTTTTATTATTCTATATAATTGATCATATCTTTATATTAACTGGTGGAAGTTGTATAATTGACAAGGCAGTAACAAACATCTTGGCCAAATCAAGTAAATCCTTAGAACAATGCACAGAATATAACGGAACATGGGTAAAATTGAATCAAGGTTTTTGTTTAATAACACCAGAACAAATTAGTCGTAAGATTGCATCTGCACAAATTTGTTATAAATATGGTGAATGGGAAGGTGGATTTGATATTTCTGGACATTTTTGTTTCATAACTACATTAAGTTTAATACTTTGGTATGAATTAAAAGAATTAAATGAAAGTTATTTTGAAAATGATTTAGAAAATGATTTAGAATCTCAAAAAATTGGGGTTGAAGATGGTTCATGGTTTAAATTTACTGTTACAAATGTTGTTAGATGGATTGTATTAGGTTGTTTAATCTTATGGATTGAATTATTATTAGTTACTGCAATTTTTTATCATACTACATTGGAAAAATTATTAGGTTTAATTCTTGGTTATGTTGGACCTTTTATTTTTTATCATTTATTACCAAATATTCCATTTTTACATAGTTTTATTTATTAAATTGAAGTTCAGTTCAAGTTAGGTTATATATAATATCATTAATTCATTAAAAAGTTAATACTATACTGAAACATTTCTTTCATGAAGATTCTAAACTTGTAATAACATCACGTATTCTTTTCTCAAATGTCTTTATATCACCTTTTAAAACATTTGAAATTCTTAATTTTTCACTTTCTGTGAATCCAGATTCAATAAAACATGATTCAATTTGATCAAATGATAAATTTAAAATAACCAAAGTTTCAATATCATGAATTTTTAATCTAAATTTTAATACATCTAATGCTAAATCTTTTTCCATATTTTTAATATTATTACCCCAATCATTTCGTATTCTTTCCACAATTTGATGTTTATAACTAATCTTACTTAAATCATCTCTTAATTTACAACAAAATTCATATAATTTATAATCACTAAGATCATCATAATCTTCAACCAGTTGTTCTAATTTTAAATAAATAGGTATAGTATGTTTAAAAATTTTCCATTTTAAAGTTTTAACATTTTTTTCAAGTATTAAATAATGTGGTGTTTCAAATTTAGATTCTGTTTCATTAAAAATTTCAATCCTTATACCAAGTAATTCTCTTTTGATACCCTTAGAAGGATCTGATACAGGGAAGGCAGTTATACCAAACATTCTATAGATATTTTCCAAAAGAATTTGATCCAATTTTGCTTGTTTTTGTTGAGCATGAGATACCTGAGATGTAACGGCATGGTTTGTATTCTTTTGATTTGTTTGTTGTTGTGTGAAATATTTACTTATTGAACTATCAAAATGTTCATGTCTTGCAGGTTCAGGTATTATATATTCTTCTTGAAATTTTTTTTGTCTTTTGGTCAAAGATTTTGAGGGTGGTGAATCAGGTTTTTCATGAGTTACTGATTTGTTTAATAGTGATTGTAGCTGAGTCATGTTGGCCAACAAGGGTTTCTTCTTTTTGATTTTTTCCATTTCCTTCATTAAATCGACTTTTTGGGTATTAAGTTGTGATACTGGAGAAAAAGAGTTAACAAAAGCCATTCCCATATAAACTAGGACCTATTTTACTCACTTTCATGTTCCAGAGACGCGATATCCGCCTCATAATCCTCTACTGATGCCATCTTCAAGCAATTAATCGACAATTGTTCAGAAGATTCCAAAAAAGAAGAAAAAAGTGTATATTATATAGAAAATCCATGAAAGCGTATAGATAAAAAAAGTAAACAAACATTCGCGACGCCAAATATAAAAACCAAACAAACATCACCAAAATAAATAAATAAAACCTCCAAAAGTTCAATAATCAGCTTCATCAATAGCATGGGCCATCCAGATCATGTCACCACTATCGATGGTATTCACTTCTGAGTTCGATGGACTGGTGGTGGTATTCAGATAATACATGGCAACTTGAGCCAACTGTGCAGCAGTGATTGGTTCCCCAACTAAATTTGCGAGATAAGCTTCATGGAAAGTATTGGCTATAAAACCTGAAAGACGTGTGGCAAGTGAATGTCCACTTGATTGCAAAACGGATCTATCACCAGCTAGTGGCCCAGGACGAAGGATGAAAAGTTGACCAAAACCAAGTTTTTTCAAATCATCTTCAAGTTGTTTTTTGATTCTAAAATATGGGAAAAATGTTGATAAAGCACTATTATTCATACTTGTGATTATAATAAATGTTTTAACATGATTCAGCTTAGCGGCTTTAGCCAATTCAAGATTTAAATCATGGTCAATGGCATGTTGTTCTTTCAATCCTCTAGCAGCACTTTTGGTTGTACCTAAACTGGAGAAGACAATGTCAATCAGTGGAATTTCAGAAATAATTTGAGCCCATTTAGCGGTGTCTGTTTCAACTATAGGAATGATTTTATCAGTGTCATATTCAATGACAAGCTCTCTTCTGGTAAGGACATAAACTTTGTGAACGTTGGCTGATTCTGTTGCAGACTTGAGAAATTCTGATCCAACTAAACCGGTACCACCTAACACCAAAAGGGTATGACTTGGCTCTTCATATTCAGTTAATGGCTCATCTATGTGGTTCATGTTGTGTTATTAACAGCAGTTGGAATTTCTGGTATGATAGTGATGTTGCTCAAGCGCTTTGAGTTTAGAAGTAGTTGAGTAATTTGAAGCAGTTTTTAAGGTTTTTGGAAATTGTGTTTTTTGTGGACAAGTAAATAAAGAAAGTTACAAAAATTACAAAAAATGATCTCAGATCTATTTCTACAGAAACAGGAAAACGATTATTACGGAATGATTTTTTCTTTTTTTCATTTTTTCGTCTTTGTGTTTTTGTGTCTTTGTGGTTTTGTGGTTCAACAATTCCGTTTTGGTCCTGGTCCCACTTTATAATGAATTTTTATAAAATGATTCTTGACATTTATGTGACAACATGATCTTGCAGTCTACAACTCAATATTGTTTAACTACTATCTACATTAAATTGCTACTTTACTATGTCCATTTTAGAACCATCTACCCATACAAATATCCCAGATCATACAAATACCAAAAATCAAGAATCCACCAATGATGTTGAAATCAAATGTACTATTGCATTAGATACATTTGAAGATACCCTTCCATTAGCTGCTGAAGATCCTGAACCAAGAGAAACTGAAGACGGTGAAGCTTATGATCCATTGCATCAAAAATTAAGAGCTGAAAACTTTGCATTAGCTCAAACTGGTTCAAATATATTAATTGTCGGTGCTACAGGTTTAGTTGGTTCAAGACTTGTAAAATTCATTAAAAGAGTTAAAGCTGATAATCAAGTCATTTTTGTTTTAGCTCGTCGTGCTTTTGTTCAAGAATGTCCAGGTGTTATTGTTAACATTGTTGATTCTGCTTTGTGGGGTGAAGAAATTGCCAAAATTCCAAACTTAACAACTGTTTATTGTGCACTTGGTGCTAGACCTCCAAATGGTGGCTATTTATCAGAAGCTTCTATACCAGTTAATGAGTATTATTCAGTCAACCACAATATTGTTCATCAAGTTGGATTTGCTGCTAAACGTGCTGGTGCCAAAAGATTCATCTATACAAGTAATCACTCCGTTCAATCCCCAATTGCCAGAATTTTTGATAGAAGAACCAAGATGAGAAGAGAAATTGAAAACGATCTTATAAGCTTAGACTTTGATAATGTTACCATATTAAGACCAGGTCCTTTAGTTGGTATGAGATTAAAAGCTGGTAGTTTAACTGGTATTAACTGGCAAAGTCTTCCAGAAGGACTTATGATTTTATCTGCTTTACCAGTCTACTTCATCCATCCATATACCCCATTGGCAATCGTTAATTTTGGTACTAGTGTTGGTAAAACAGGTGCCATGTTATTAAAAGCTGAATCAACTAACAAGGTTAATTACATTTATCTTTGTCAAGTTATCCTTGGTGCTGCTGCTTACAATGCTTTTAAATCTGAAAGATTGATGGTGTCATTATATAAATTTTTAGAACAATTTACAACTGATGAAGAAGAACCCGTGAATGAAGAACAGCCAGCAAATGAAGAGGAAGTCAATGAAGAATTAGGTAATAATGTTAACGGATCGGATGAAACTCAACAATAGATCAGTCATTTATCACAAGAAATGGGAATTTTAAAAAGTATTGTGAAGTGTTTTTAGTAAGGTTATCATGAAGTTTTTTTACAATAAAATATGAAGTCATCTCATATGAGTAATTCAATAAATGCCAAACTTTTATTGTTTTTATACATATAGTAATTATGTAGATTATCACGATCGAGAGGAGATCAGCCTTTGAAAATCATACCGTGTCGTATGTGCTTGAGTTTCTATTTGTATAATAGACATTTTATATCACAAGGAATGTTATTTGACAAGGATAGCTTTTTTAGCTGTTTTGTGCATCGAGTCTTCAAATATGTTTCATTGATATCCTAAAATATGTTAGTAAATTAGCCAGTTCTGAGGGCTTTCATTATTAATTTTAAAGTAAAAAAATGATCGTTTGGTTCCCTCCAGTAAGTTCTGAGTATCCCTAAATTTTTATGAAAATAATAAAATAATCCCATTTACATTTGTATTCCACGCTCATTCGTTCAATAATAACTATAGAAATAAACTTGATTTGTTTTTTTTTAAAAAAATAAAAGTACAATATTGGTTGATTTTTGCCAAATAAAAAGAATAAAAAATAAAACCCTAAATCTTCAAAATAATATAAGAAAAAAACACATAGCTTTTCTTTAATTGATTGTAAACCTCCTTCTTATAATAATACAGAACTCAAAACTATTTTTTTCCAATCTTGAAAGAAGTTATAAAACTTAGTATCTACCTGGGGATCTGTCTCTGTTGAAACCTCTGTCACCACCAAAGTCTCTACCTTCATCTCTTGATCTGTAACCACCATCGAAACCACCACGGCCACCTCTGAAACCACCACGATCACCAAAACCACCACGGCCTCTGAATCCACCTCTGAAACCACCACGGTCACCAAAACCACCACGACCTCTGAAACCACCTCTGAAACCACCACGGTCACCGAAACCACCACGGCCTCTGAAACCACCTCTGAAACCACCACGATCACCGAAACCACCACGGCCTCTGAAACCACCTCTGAAACCACCAGTACGGATTGGTGGTGGGTTTAAATCTTTTTCTAAACCTAATGGAGAACCTCTGAAGTCAGCACCATTTAATTTAGCAATAGCATCAGCTGATTGTTCTTCAGTTGGGAATTCTAAAACACCGGTACCATCGTTATCTCTGGTGTGAACGTTAGCATAAGTAACTTCGAAACCTTGATCGACAACGAAATCTTTCAAATCTTGCCATTGAGCACCTTCAGCAATACCAGTAACTAAAACTCTGTGTCTTTCTCTTCTAGCTCTTGAGAATTGAATTTCAATTGGAGCATCAATGAATTGTTTACCGTTTAATTCTTCAACGGCTCTTTTAGCATCATCAGCGATGTTGTATTCAACGAAGGCGAAACCGTTGTTGATAACAATTTCTTTAACTTCACCAATTGGACCAAAGAAATCTTTGATTTCTTCTTCTTTGACTGGAAAACAACTTAGTTAATAACATGTTCTTTTTTGCAAAAATTTTCAAAAATAAACTCATTCTCAATAAGATCAATGTCTCAAGGAAATTATTATTCAAAACGATTTCTCATCTCACCAGATTTTTGCATTCTAATTCATCTTTTCTCTTCAACACACCCCCTTAGAAAGTGCGCGCTAATGATGAAGCGATGTTTAGAAGCTCAAAACCCCCAGTTAAAAGATCCCGCTGTGTGGAAAAAAGTACTTACTGTCAAATGGAAGAGGTCTGATAAATAATCTAACGTCTGATAATGGAGCTTCACTCATTTTGTATGTTTTGTTGTTGTTCAATGGTTAAAAGATCTAAAAAGTTTAAAAGTGGCGATAGTTCTGCTTTTATTTCAAAATCTGGGAAATAAATTTTGCACTGCACAGTTTTGAAAAATGAAAATCATCTGCGCGAACCATAACAAGAAAATACCCGGGGCTTCGAACCAGTATAAGTTTTGAACTTTTATATGGTGATGCTGGGAAATTAATCAGTTGGTAATCTTGGGGATAATCACGGAGATTTCATATTGAAGCTAGTGATTGGACTCATTCAACCCACAATTAACTAGACTAGACAAAAGGAATAATCATCATGGGTCATTTAATCACAATTGCCACCTGTAATTTAAATCAATGGGCTTTAGATTTTGAAGGTAACAGGGACAGAATCTTGAAGAGTATCAAAATTGCAAAAGAAAGAGGTGCTACCTTAAGAGTAGGGCCTGAACTTGAAATCACCGGTTATGGATGTCTTGATCATTTCTTAGAAACAGATTTATACCTCCATTCATGGGAAATGTATGCTTCTATTTTACAAAATAAGGAAACTTATGGGATCTTATTAGATATTGGCCTTCCTATTATTCATAAAAATGTCAAATACAATTGTCGTGTATTATCATATGATGGTAAAATATTGCTCATCAGACCAAAGATATGGCTAGCAAATGATGGTAATTATAGAGAAATGAGATTTTTCACACCATGGCAACGCCCAAGATATGTTGAAAACTTTGTCTTACCAAGATTAATTCAAACCATTACAGGTCAAGAATCTGTTGATTTTGGAGATGCTGTTATTTCAACTTTAGATACTGTCATTGGTGCTGAAACTTGTGAAGAATTATTCACTCCAAATGCTCCACATATCGGTATGACATTGGATGGTGTTGAAATCATTACAAATTCATCAGGTTCTCACCATGAATTACGTAAATTACATACAAGAATGAATTTAATTAGAGAAGCAACTGCTAAAGCCGGTGGTATTTATTTATATGCAAACCAAAAAGGTTGTGATGGTGATAGATTATATTACGATGGCTGTGCTTCAATTGTTGTCAATGGTGAATTAGTTGCACAAGGTAAACAATTTTCTTTAGAAGATGTTGAAGTTGTCTCAGCTACTGTTGACTTAGAAGACGTTCGTAGCTACAGATCACAAATATCAAGGGGATTACAAGCTACTCATACAGAAGCTTATAAAAGAGTCAAGGTCCCAGTTGAATTATCACCAACCTCGTTAAGTTTTAATCCTAAAATTGTTCCATCAAAACCAAAAGAAATATTTTATCATTCACCAGAAGAAGAAATTGCATTAGGTCCAGCTTGCTGGTTATGGGATTACGTTAGAAGATGTAACGGTGCTGGGTTTTTCTTACCATTGAGTGGTGGTATCGATTCATGTGCTACCGCTGTTATTGTTCATTCAATGTGTAGATTAGTTGCACAAGCAGCCAAAGATGGAAATCAACAAGTCATTGCAGATGCTAAAAGAGTTGCAAACGTTAAAGATGAAGAAGCTGAAACTTGGTCACCGACAGATCCTGTTGATTTTGCCTCAAGAATTTTCCACACAAGTTACATGGGTACTAAAAATTCTTCAATTGAAACAAGAACAAGAGCTAAAGAATTAAGTGATAAGATTGGCTCATATCATGTTGATTTGAACATGGATACATTAGTTACTGCTGTTGTTAGTGTTTTTGAAGTTGCAACTGGTAAAAAACCAGTTTTCAAAGTCTTTGGTGGTTCACAAACTGAAAATTTGGCTTTACAAAACATTCAAGCTAGATTACGTATGGTTTTAGCATATTTATTTGCACAATTATTACCTTGGGTTAGAGGTCGTCAAACTGGTGGGTTATTAGTTTTGGGTAGTGCCAATGTTGATGAATGTTTAAGAGGTTATTTAACCAAATACGATTGTTCAAGTGCTGATATAAATCCAATCGGTGGTATTTCTAAAACAGATTTGAAAAAATTTATTGATTATGCTAGAGCTGAATTTGAAATTCCAGTTTTGAAAGAATTTTTGGAAGCTACACCAACTGCAGAATTAGAACCAATAACAAAAGAATACGTTCAATCTGATGAAGCTGATATGGGAATGACTTACGAAGAATTATCAGTTTTTGGTAGATTAAGAAAAGTTCAAAAATGTGGTCCATATTCAATGTTCCTCAAGCTTTATCATGAATGGACACCAAGATTAACACCAAGACAAGTTGCTGAAAAAGTGAAGAAATTCTTCTTCTTTTATGCGATCAATAGACATAAACAAACTGTTTTAACACCAAGTTATCATGCTGAACAATATTCACCAGATGATAATAGATTTGATTTACGTCCATTCTTAATCAATCCAAGATTTAATTGGGCTTCAAAGAAGATTGATGAGATTGTTGAACAATCAGAAAAGGGAACTACTGAAGAATTAGAAGAATTAACAGTTGAATAGAATTAATTCTCCCAAATTTTTGACGTATATAAACTAGTTTATAAATTATTTTTTAGAACCCCATGTACTCTTTATAATCACTTGTCTATTATCATTTCTTCTCCAAAAGTCTATAATTGTTATGGCTGTTTTGGATGGCGTATCTTCTTGCAAGAAATGTCCAGTATCTTGGAAAACCACGAGTTGATATTTACCTTGCATTTGTCCAATCATTAATTCTTTATCTAAATTATCTGTCCCTGCTAAAATCAACAATTTTGAAGTTGATAAATCAACAAACTTTTTTGATAATCCAGTGAACCAATCATGCCAATAATCTTCGGTTTTATGAAGATCCATTATCCATTCAAATTTCCCAGTTTTGACATTCTTTTTGAAATATGAGGGTATTGATATCAACGCAGATTCTCTATTTTTTACATGTCCAAGTTTTATATGCCAGCTGATCGCATCTTCAAGTGTATTGAAAGTCTTTGGCAAGTTTTTTAAATAAGTCCCCATAGAATCGAGCGCGTATATAGCAATATCCTCAACTATATCAAACATACCAACACCTTTAATACCAGCATCTTCAAGTTGTGCAAAAGCATTCGTTACAATAGATCCACCCAGACTATGACCAAAAGCAAAAATTGAGTTTTTAAGAGTGTGACGTTTTATGAGCTCCTTAAGAACCCATATAAAATCATCTGTGAAGGCTTTTAGAGAAAAATCATTTGGGTTTGAAACGATTTCTGTTTGTCCATGACCTCTAGCATCGAATGAGAAAACACCAGCCACTGGATCATCATTTGATCGATTTTCTTTGGACATTTGTTCTCTAATAGTACGCGATAGTAGAGCGAAACTTAAACCTGAAGATCCAGCACCATGATGGAATATAAAGACTGGAGATTTATCGTTTTTTGGTGGTGTGAAATATGTGTTGAATTGATTACCTTTATCATCGGTATAAACCTCATTGAGATCATAGAATTCAGACCATTTTGGATAGACAGTGCTTTCGGTAGTATTAGTACATAATCAATGGGTCAAATATCAAACAACATACTCATCTTTAACCACTTCATTGAGATTATCTGAAGGACTGGGTTTAGTGAACACTTGCTCACCAGATTCTTCACTTTCTTCACTAAAATCAAATCCTAAAGCTTTCTCTGCATCTTTGAGCTTTCTTTGAAACAGTTTACGTTGAAAATCACTCATATTGAACACTATTTTAAAGATCAATGGCTGAATCTATCTCCTCTAGTTCCTGTTGTTCATCAAAAGATGGTGTGTTTTAGGAATATCAGCTTATACGCCAAAATCAGTCCAGCGTCTGCCCGAACCGCTTATCGTACCGCCCATACCAGATTTAGCTAAACAAAATTCAAATACTATTGAATCTTGATTAATTTCTTCACATATTTGAGTTCTCCCAATTGATACCAGTGATGATTATAAGGATGATAGATATAAATGTGATCATAGGCTAAACCGTTGTTGCAAACTGATGTGGCTGTAATATTGGTATTTGATTCAGATCATGAGGCTAGAATGAGCTAAAGTTCAAAAAGGATTCTTTATGGAAATTAATAGACCAAAAACAAATCAGAAGGATTTAGAATCCTCCATCCACATGCTTACCAGACTACTAGATTGACAAAGCTTCCAAGGAAATTAGAAGATCTATTTGTCAGTTCCGAAGTTAACAATCATTAGAATGATCAAGACAATAAAAAGAGAAAGGAAGCACTAAAAGAAAAGAACGAAGATATGTCGGTATTACTGATTATTTCTATCATGAAAAATTCCAAACCACTCTGCTAGATTAAGGCTAGTTTATCAATTAGCTATTTATTCGATGATAACTTTAAACTTGTGATATAAGCTACAGGTACTTCAACAGTGCTTTTAATTTATTATTTTTATTATTTACAACACTTTTACCCACCAAAATATAATACTTCATAAGTAGAAAATAAAATCATCAGATTCATCTCCTCTAGCATCAGGTCTCACGTCACCTTTTAACAAACGAGCTTGTTTTTTGTTATTCTCACGTCTAAGATAGAACCCTTGTGCACAATAGAAAAAAACTGCAACTATTATACAACCCAAAGAAAATCCATGTCCTAAAGTATATTTAGGTGAATCATTAGATCTATAAATTTGACCAATAACCACCCCTGAAATATTACCAATTGAAAGTTGGATACCAACAGAAGTTGCTCTTTTCAAATCACCTGCAGTGTTATTATTCAACCAACTTAAATTCAAACCTGGACCAGCAAAAGCACCAACTGTTAAAATGAAAACACCACCCATTTTAGCAGCGTTACCTGATGAAGCTAATAAGATAATATAACCAATTATCGGGAAACATGCAGCACATAATAAGAATGGTAATCTTTTTTTGAAATAATCAGAAGCAGATGCAATAATGATGAAAGATATAGATCCAACAACATAAATAGGAATTGTCAATAATTGAGTTTTTAATATTGAATAACCCATGGCTTTAACGATTTGAGGTAAGAAAGTTGAGAATCCAAAAAACACAATTTCAGCACAAAATTGACTTATTGAAGAGAGATAAACCTTTGGATCTTTGAAAGCAGCTTTGATATCTTTAGAATCTTCCTTTGGAGGAGCTTGATCTTTAATGAAACTCATTTCTTGCATTTGTTTTCTCTTTAAATAATATGCTTGTTCCTCTTCATTTAAGAACCATGCCTTTGTCATATCATTTGGTAAAGCAGAAAGAACAAGAATAGCACCAGTAACGGAAATACAACCTTCAATGATAAACAACCATTGCCACCCTTTTAATCCATGCAAACCATCCATTTTCAATAAACCATACGCTAAAAGACCACCTATTGCCCCAGCCAAAGCAGCAGCAGTGAATAAATATGAAACTCTATAAGCAAGCTCACCTCTTTGATAAACAGAAGCCAAATATAATGTTAAAGCCGGGAATAAACCACCTTCAATTAAACCAAGTAATAGTCTAATAACAACCAACCCACCAAAGCTTTTAACAAAACCTGAAAAAATACCAACTAAAGACCAAGATAAAGTTAATGTTGCAAGCATAATAGCCGGTTTAACTTTCTTGAAAACAATAGAACATGGAACTTCCACCAAGATATAAGTAACATAAAATAAACTAATGGCAGCACTGTACTGTGTAGATGACAAACCTAGATCATCTATTAAACCAGCTGAAGCCGCATTACCAATGTTTGAACGATCCAAGTAAGCAATAAGATAAACCCAACCAATTATTGGTAGGATAACTAAATCCATTTTACGTAACATCTTTTTTTCCAACTGTGGATTGAAATTTCCATCAAATTGTTCAACAGATCCAGGAACTGGCTCTAAATGATCGATATTGATCTCTTCCACTTCATGAGACTTCTTTTCTGATATTGATGTAGCCATTTTGATATATTGTTACAGAAAACTTGTTTGATCTAACGTTACACTAAAGTACAGAAGCTAGTAAGACAAGGATACCATTTCTTTATATACAAAGCTCATGATTGTTAGATTATTATAATCGATAGATATCATGTATACACAACAGCACAACAGCTATCTGGCATTAAGTAAAAACCTAAAGATTAGATTAATTCACGAATTTCAAAAGCTGTTAGTATATGTAGTTAATAAAGAGCGAACTACTATACAGATAAAGAATGGAGTACATATACCAAGCCATTGTCACGCAGTAAGAGCAAAATCCAAAGTACTAGGGTCTACAAAACCTGCCACTCACTATGATTTAATTAACGGATTTAACTCTTTTATCCTTATGCCTAATCAAAAATCTATTTTCCGCACAGGTTATCAATTCTTATCACACGCACTGCTTATTAATCTTTTGATATCACCAGCTAAAATTTTATCTCCGTGATTGAAAACATTGATTTCTATGTCTGATGATTTGTTGATGTTGCATCGTATTGGCCCATGATACCATTACCAGAGTATGAATCAGATGGTGATTATAATCATGGTGATTTGATTTGTTAAGACTCATATGCAAAACGTTTGTTATCTTTGTTAATGCTTTCTACGCTTGTGTTGATGTTGATGCTCCCATCTCCCAACATTCGTGGAACAATGGAATTGAATTAAAGTTTGCTTTTATAACTTCATTAATACCCCAAGATGAACTCGAACTTGAACTCGATATTATAAAATATATCTTTTATTCAGAAGTACAACAATTTCAACACTCAATATAGTAATAGCTAAAATTATTTTGCTCATTCAATACGATGGGTGCTTTTCAAGAATTAATGGCCATAAGAGGTGTCAATCCTCCAAAAGATGAAGAAGTTCATATTACTGGCTCTGACCCTATATACAAAACACCATTCAAACTAGGTGAAACCACTGCTCAAGTCTTAGCTGCATGTGGTGTTGCTGCCAATGATCTCTGGGAATTGAAAACAGGTAATCGTCAAAAAGTTTCTGTTTCTGTCGAAGCTGCTGCTGGTGGATTAGATGAAAAAAACAATAGTTTAGCAAAAGACAATAATGGTCAATATCAACGTATTGAAGGCTCAGAATCTATGAAACATATGGTTCGTATGACTCAACCTTGGGAAACTGCAGATAAGAAATGGTTCCTACCTCATACAAATTTGAAACATTTAGAAGAACGTGTTTTAAAAGTTCTTGAATGTGAAAGTACTGTTGAATCTATTCAAAATGCAATCTCCAAAAGAAATGCTCAAGAATTAGAAGATTCAATTGCAAATGCAAATGCCTGTGGTGGTATTTGTAACACTGAAGAAGAATGGTTAAAACACCCTCAAGGATCATATTTGTCATCTGTCCCAGTTGTGGAGATTGATCGTTTGTTTGATAGTGCTAAAGAATCATTGCCGGATAATAATGATATGCCACTTTCTGGAATACGTGTTTTAGATTTGACAAGAATTCTCGCTGGTCCAGTATGTGGTCTTACATTAGCTGAATTAGGCGCTGATGTATTAATGGTTACAGCTGAAAAATTACCACAAGTTAATGAATTTGTTCGTGATACAAGTCATGGTAAACGTTCATGCTTTTTGGATTTGAGTAAAGACGAAGATGCATCCAAATTAAAAGAGTTGGTGAAAGAAGCTGATATCATAATAGATGGATACAGACCAGATAGATTAGCCGCTTATGGGTTCGGTGTCGAAGATCTTGCAAAGTTAAGACCTGGTTTAATTCATGTTTCAATCAATTGTTTTGGATCTGGTGGACCTTTTGGTTCTAGAGCTGGATGGGATCAAGTCGCTCAAGCCGTAACTGGTATGTGTGTTAAGCAAGGTGAGGCTATTGGATCTAATAAACCAGAATTAACACCAGTATTCGCATGTGATTATGTTTGTGGACGTTTAGGTGCTTTTGGTGCAATGTTGGCATTGAAAAGAAGAGCTGAAAATGGTGGGTTCTATTCTATTCAAGTATCTTTATGTCAAGCTGCAATGTTACTACAAAGACAAGGATATGTTAACAATTTTGAAGATGTATTGGGTAAGATCTCAGAGAAAACATATGAAGAATATCAAGTTTTCGAAAATGATACTAGTTATGGTGATCTAAAAGTATTAGGACCAGTTCTTAAATTGTCTGAAACTCCTTGTAAATGGGTTAGAAAAACACCTAAATTAGGTGAGCATGAAGCCAAATGGTGATTAATTAAAAAAGTTTACATTTGTATTTAGGAATATAATATAACATTAAAATATAAACACACATCTAATTCATAACCACATATTATATGTAGCGTTACCAGTACGACGTAATACATAACTAATTATGTAATCCTATTTTGCCATTTCGCGACCAGCATCGCGAATTTTTTTTGGCGTTTGGAGATTTGGCGTCTACTTTTTGTTTAGATATTTTACTACGACAATAACAGATCTAAGGAAAATCAAAGGGTTGAAAACACATTAGGGAAGAGCCCACAAGAGAACATAAATAGAGGGTCCAGTGTAATATGAACCAGACAGAACAATACACACCCATTGAGGTGGATCTGCTGGTCAACCATGTTTTCGGTTTAGCCAAAGCATTGCAGGGCGCTAAATCAGAACATATAATTTATTTCAATAATGATGATTCAAAGGCTGTTTTACATGAATTTGTATCAGATACTCTACCATGCTCACTTGCATTGCTAAATAATGGTGATTCATGGAAAATTTCAAGAAATTTAAGTGATTTAGATCAATTGTCTTCACTCATTGTTATAATAAAAGATATTGGTGCCATTGTACAAGAGAAAAGATTAGAAGAACAAATTCAAGTCATAAATTTACCAAATACAAAAGCTTCATTCGATAAATTGAGATCATTGGTGAGCTTTGGTGTTGGTCCATATTTTGATGCAATCACTGCAGCATCAAAGAGTGAAACTGTGTTCTCCACAAAAAAGAAGATTAGTGAGTTAGTTTTATCACTTAAAAATTTAGACCAAGCTATTCAAATACCTGATTTATCAGTTACTCTACATCCAGTTATACGTAATGCTATTGCTAATGGTGCAAACTTGGACAACTATACTGAACATATAGATAATGAAACTTTGAATGATCCTTCATTTTTGAACAATATACAAACAATTGTCAATGAATGGGTGAAAACCATACAGGATGTTACTAAGATGGAGAAGGCCGTACTAGAAGGATCAGCAGCTGATGAGATTAATTTTTGGAGATCAATGGAAAGTTCTTTAGAAGCCATCCAAGAACAATTGGATTCTCAAGGGGTCCAATTATCATTAGAGGTTTTGAAGTATGCTAAAAGATACCATGCTACTGTTAGTTTTTTTTCAGATATTGAAATAAAAGAAGCTACAGCAAGAGCAGCTGATTATAACAAATTGATGAAAGACATTCCTCTAAATGAACTACTTGTGGCAGAAGATTTGGATAAAGTTGAAGAAGCGTTGGTGTTAATTTTGTCACATTTGAAAAAGATTAAACTTACATCATACCCCGTTAGCAGAGCATTACCTTTCGTTGAAGCCATCTCGTCAGATTTGGAAACAAAATTGAAGCCAATGCTTTCGACAATAATGTCTAAAGACTTTTCAGAATTTACAAATGCAATTACCAAACTAAAATCACTTTATGATACTTGGGAAAGACACACTAAAGAGTTCACAAATATAGCTAGAGAACTGTTGAGAAAGAGAGGTGAGAAATTTTTGGTTGTAAAGATAAACTCCAAAACTACCCAGTTGAAAGAATATACAGAAGAGATAGAGTCATTCAGAATCAGTCATAACGAACTTCTACGCACTTTACAGAATGATATCATTGATGAAACCGCTCTTGACTTTGCTTACGATGCTGTGAAAGATGTTGATGTTTTCTCTAATCACCAAAGCTGGAAAGATGCTAAAAAGATTTATGAGAAGAGAATTCACGATATTGAAAATGATATTGTTGATACCATGAGAAACTCATTAGACAAAGCCAGAAACTCCAATGAAATGTTCCAAGTATTTGAGACTTATAGAAACCTTGTTACTAGACAAAGAATACGAGGTGCTACACAAGAATACCAATCTCAGTTATTAAGTATTGTCAAAGATGAAATTAGTCAACTTCAAGATGCATTTACGAAGAAAGCTGACGAAAAGTATCTCACAAAACTTCATGACTACCCATCTGTTGCATTCACTTTACTTTGGGCTAAACAAGTTGAAAATAAATTAGCATTTTTGACTGATAGACTAGAGTTAATCTTAGGAAAAGACTGGAGCTTATTTGCTGAAGGTCAAAAGATTTTCGCTGAAGTCTCAGCATTGAAAAAAAAGTTGAATACAAAACCTATATTTGATAACTGGTTGAGTACTGTTAGTGAAAGTGAACTTAAAGGTAATGTTTTTAAGCTCATAAAGGAAAAGGATATAAAGTTACAGGTTACATTTGATGAAGGATTTATTCAACTTTTCAAAGAAGTTCGTGCTTTAAGCTGGCAAGGTTTTCAAGTACCCCACAAAGTGGTACTTTCATCTAGACACATAAAAAAACTTTATCCACATGCTGTAACATTGGCCGAATCAGTTGAAATATTCCCTTTGGTGCTATCATCTATAGAATCGCTTCAAGATTTCAAAATTCTTGTATGGTCTGATAAAGAGAGGATATACCATTTATTGGAAAAGTGCTTGGATATTAGCTGGGAAACACTTTCTAGAGCTCATGATTTGAAAAATATTGAAATTGAAACTTCTGAACATCTAGAAGAGCAGGCTGTCATTGAGCTTGAACATTTGATTTTTGATTTGCAAAATAAGCTTGAGACTCTTTCTGAGTATAGATCTCGTTTGAATCAGCAGATCGAACTTTTAAGAACATGTGAATATAAGTCATCTGAATTTGCAGCTGTTATTTCTGGTATACAAGACTTGGTTGATACAATTACTTTTGAAGGTTTTGGAAATGTCAACGATTTCACCAAAAAATTGAATTTCATCATAAGAAAAACATTGGTGGATCGTCTATTATCGGAGGATCTTTTTAAACTTAAACTGAATCATGACATCGTTATTGAATCATACGTCTCAGTATCTCCACCATTAGAGTCCACCAAAACAGAACTATTTTCAGCTTTTCAAGACAAGGTAAAAGCCATAACCAATCAATCAAAAATTACAGTGCGTGATATCGAAGGTAGTGAGATTCAGGAATCACTTTTCAACCTTGAAGAACTAACAGATCTTTATAAACTTTCAGAAAAGTTCATCGTCGATGTCGAAGAACAGTACAAAGGTGCAAGAGCTTTTGTGGATTTATGGTCCCAATTCGAGGCTTTATGGAGCTTCCAATCCAACGAAATATACCAGAATTTAGAGTTAGATGACTGGTTTGAAGTGTTGAATGAAGTTAAAAATTCTAGACAGACATTTGAAACAAATGAAACTCAGAAAACATTCGGTGTGTTTATTGTGCAGTATGGCTTGGCTAGAGAAAAAGTTAGATCCAGTTTTGCATCTTGGAATAAGGTGCTTTTCCAAAATTTTGCTACGTTTTTAATGGAACTGATTAAGGATTCACATGATTCAATCGTAAAAGCAAAAACATACATGGAAACAAAATCAGTCAATTTTTCGTCAGTCGAGGAAACCGTTTTGATTGTCACCAAAGTCCAAGAATACAAAACTTTACTTACAGAGACTGGTGAACTAAAAAGTAAGTTACAACTTGGTCAAAGTACACTTTTCAGACAAAGATTCAAATTCCCACATGATTTTGTTTATGTTGAACAGATTGAAAATGATTTTGAAGCATTATCAGAGCTTGTCGATGATTTATCTAAAGCTATAAATTCCCAAATGGACGTCATTGTGAAGAATATTCAGTCTGAATCACAATCTCTAGAGAACTCTATCACTCAAGCACAATCAAACTGGGATCAACTAAGACCTCAATTAGATGCTAGTGACCCAAAAAGTGCATTAGAATCATTATTGTCATTTGAAAAGAGAGCAGCGGATTTAAATTCAAGAGTTAAACTTGTTACACAAGCAGCATCATTGTTATCAATCCCGATCAAGCTAGCATCAAATTTGACTATTACATTAGATGAAATCAATGATATCAAGTCAGTTTGGATTTCAATCCAAGGTCTATGGAACAATCTTGAAGAGTTAAAGAACCAAAGATGGAATGATGTTAAACCTCGCCAATTAAGAAAGGAACTGGAAACTCTTTTGACTTCTACAAGATCTATGCCAGTGAGAGTTCGTCAACACAAACCTTTTCAAGCATTTTTGAAAGTTATATCTGATTTTTCAAGCTCTCAACAATATATTATCAGTTTAAAAGAAGACCACGTTAAAGAACGTCATATAAAATCGTTATTCAAGAGTCTTAATAAGTCATATAGAAGCAACTTAACTATTGGTGATATATGGGATTTAAGTTTGGTGCTAAATGTTGGCTTGGTTAACTCAATTTTAGAGCAAGCTAGTTCAGAAAAAGTATTGGAAGATACACTACAAAGTATAAGAGACTACTGGGACAAGGCTACATTTGAGTTGTTTGACTTTCATGGTAACTCGCTTGTGAGAAATCTAGCTCCATTACTTGATCAAGCTTTCTCTGATTCACAAAGCTTACAATCAATGAGAAATTCACCATTTTACCGTGTTTTTGAAGAAGATGCATCACAATGGGAATCCAAATTGAGCAGTTTACATCTGTTGATTGATCTTTGGGTTGAACTACAACGTCAGTGGATAGATTTGGATGGTATTTTTGACTCAAAGTCTGGTATAAGGAAGCTTTTACAGAACGAAGCTTCTAGATTTCAAATGGTTTCCAACGAATTTATGAATATTCTGAAAAAGTCCTTCAAACAGAACTTAGCCATCGAAGTATTAACAATAACAGATATTTACGGTATTTTCACACGATTATCAGAATCCTTAACCAGAATTGTGAAAGCATTGAGTGAGTTCTTAGAGAAACAAAGAGATTTGTTTCCTAGATTCTATTTTATTGGTAATGAAGATTTACTTGAAATTATAGGTAATATGGGTGACTTCAAAAGAATCTCAAAGCATTTGAAAAAAATGTTTGCTGGTGTCTTTGATTTGGTGATTAATACTGAAAACTCATCAATAACACATATTAAGTCTATAGAAGGAGAAACTGTTGAATTAATTGACCCCATCTCTTATGAAAAGTATAATAGAGTTGACGAATGGCTTACACAACTAGATTTTGAGATCAAACACACTCTTTCCACTCTTCTTGAGAGATCAATCAGTGATTTTAAGTCACTTTCATTCCCCGACTGGTGCGCCAAGTACCCATTACAAGTTACTTTATTAACCCTTCAAGTTACATGGACAGAATCCGTTGAGAACTCATTGAAAGATGGTATGATTGAACAATATGCAAAAGACTTGGATCAATTGTTAGGGGATTTGTCACATCTTGAATCCGATAGAAAATTCAGAGAAGCTTTAATTATCGAGGTAATTCACCAAAAGAATGTGGTCGAGGAGCTTCGTCAGCTTTCAGTAAAACATTTGAACAACTTTGCATGGAACTGCAAACAAAGGTTTTACTATGATGCAACATTATCTGATAAGATAGATAGATTGGAGATCAGACAGGCATCATCAAAGTTTACTTATGGATTTGAATACTATGGTATTATGGAACGTCTTGTGTCAACACCATTGATGGATAATTGCTTTTTGGCAATGACAAGTGCATTGGATCAAGGTCTTGGTGGTTCGCCATTTGGTCCTGCTGGTACAGGTAAAACAGAAACCATTAAAGCTCTTGGTCAAAATTTAGGTAAGATGGTGTTGGTCTTTAATTGTGATGATTCATTTGACTTCCAAGCTATGGGAAGGTTATTGTTGGGTATTTGTCAAGTTGGTGCTTGGGGTTGTTTTGATGAGTTTAATAGATTGGATAAGAACATTTTAAGTGCTGTATCTTCTCAAGTTGAACAAATTGAACTAGCTTTAAAATTCAAAAATGAAAGTGTTACACTTCTCAATAGAGCTACAAGTATTAAACATGACACTGGTCTATTCATCACTATGAATCCAACTTATTCAGGAAGAGCAACCTTACCAGATAACTTGAAGAAATTATTCAGAAGCTTTTCAATGAAGTCACCTGATAGTGTCATTATAGGTGAAGTGTTATTAACCTCCCAAGGATTCCACACAGCTCGAGACCTTTCAAATAAGGTTGTTTCATTCTTTGGTAAACTTTCTGAAATATGCACTAGACAACCACATTATGATTTTGGATTACGTGCTTTGAAAAGCGTGTTAGCAAATGCAGGTAAAATCCATTTATCTGGAAAGCTGAAGCACAATGAAGATGAAGAAAGATTGTCTGTGATGAGAAGCTTAAATGAGATGGTGAGCCCACGTCTTTTAGATGTTGATATAGAAAAATTTGGGGAAACTCAAAAAGAATTTTTTGGTGATCATAATCTTATAACAGATGAGCTAGAGCTAGTCGATACAGCCAAAGAGCATGCCAAACAAAATGGTCTTGATTCCCGCGATAGATGGTTAACTAAGTTAGTTCAATTATTCAAGGTTCAAGAAAATCAACAAGGTATAATGATCATTGGAAAATCAGGAGGCGGTAAAACTACATTATGGTCATCATTGCTAAAAACATTAGCGCTGCTTGATAACAAAGAACCTTTGTCATTCATTATAGATCCAAAAGTCTTATCCAAACATGAATTGTTTGGTCAATTAGATCCGGTAACAAGAGAATGGAATGATGGGTTATTTACATCCATTTTGAGAAAAGTTGTTGAAAACCTACGTGGGGAACTCGATAGGAGAGTCTGGATCATATTTGATGGTGATGTTGACCCGGTATGGGTGGAAAGTTTGAATAGTGTTTTAGATGATAACAAATTATTGACTTTACCAAATGGGGAAAGAATTCAAATACCAAAAAATGTCAGATTTATCTTTGAAGTTGATAACTTAAACCATGCCACCCCTGCAACAGTGAGTAGATGTGGAATGGTCTGGCTTGAACAGACGCTAGTTTCGCTGGATGTGATATTGAATCATGAGATTTGGAAATTATCCAATCAGCCATTATCTGGATTGGAAGATCTCCATTCAGACATACTTTTGCACCATCAACAACGTTATTCTAAAATAGCAGGGCCAATATTACACAGCAATTCTTTGAAAATCGCACAATACAGCAAAGAGCAGTTAAATCATTCAATGGAAGTCGAGTCATCATCATTAACTAAGCAGATGTTTATATTTATGAAAGTATTTTTGAGAAAATTCTTTGAAAGTGAATTATTTGAATCAAGCTCTGAACTCAATGATCTCTATATCAAACGGTCCTTATTGCTATCTATCATTTGGGCTTATAGTGGAAGCTGCTCTGTCGGTGAAAGAAGTAAATTTTCAAAATTTCTCGGTGACATTAAAGAATTTAGTGAGATCCGTCCTGGAGATGAAAGTTTCGATATATTTGATTATGATGTAACTGTTGATGGTGAATGGATAAATGTTGCAGATTTTGTTGAAAAGACTTACCTTGGTCCTGAAGCCGTCATTGATCCAAGCACCGTTGTGCAAACTGTTGATACAATTAGACATGAAAATGTTATACACTCAATTTTGCGTGAGAAACAGTCCTTGATATTATGTGGTCCACCAGGATCCGGTAAAACTATGACGTTGTATGCTGCTCTTTCAAGATCATCTGACATTGATGTGTCCAATTTGAACTTCTCTAAGGAGACCACGCCCCATGTCCTTCTTAAAGCCATGGAACAGCTTTGTGAGTATCATAAAACAGTTGAGGGGTTAATAATGAGACCAAAAGTTACTGGTAAGAGGGTTGTGTTCTTCTGTGACGAAATAAATTTACCTAGGGTAGATGACTATGGTACTCAGAGTGTCATTTCTTTCATTCGTCAGTTGATAGAGAAAAATGGGTTTTGGCGCGCATCAGATAAACAATGGGTATCGCTATTCAATATTCAATTTGTGGGTGCATGTAATCCTCCTACGGATGCTGGTAGGTTAAAACTTTCACCAAGAGCATTGTCACACTTTTCGTTGATCATGGTTGACTATCCTGGTTTTAAATCTTTAACTCAAATATATGAAACCTTCAGTAATGCGGTTTTGAAAAAGGTTCCACAACTCACTGGATTTGCCCAAGATTTAACATTTGCAATGCTTGATGTCTACAATGAGTCTGTCAAAAATTTCACCTCAGATAAACAGCTTCATTACATATACAGTCCTCGTGAACTAACAAGATGGATAAGAGGTATATATCATGCTGCAAATTCATTAGATCAATTCAAGCTAGAAGACCTTGTCAGAATTTGGGCACATGAAGGTACAAGACTTTTTAGTGACAGATTAGTGAACGAGACAGAGAGAGTTTTTACGGCAGCTTTGATAGATTCTGTTGCATTTAAAAGATTTCCTGGTATAAATCATCAAGAAGTTTTACAAAGACCTCTTCTATACAGCAATTGGCTAACAATTGATTATGAACCCGTTGATAAAGAAGAGATCAGCTTTTTTATCATCGAAAGACTTAAGGTATTTTCAGATGAGGTTATGGATATTGACTTCGTTCTTTATGATGATGCAGTAGACCACATTTTGAGAATTGATCGTGTTTTGAAGCAGCCACAAGGCCATTTGATACTAGTGGGTCCTAGTAACACTGGTAAATCAAGTTTAACCAAATTTGTTTCTTGGATTAATGGGTTCAAGGTCGTTCAATTAGGTGTAAGCAGGAATTACACACTAGAGGAATTCGATCATGTGTTGAAAGATCTCTTAAAAAGAACGGGTGTCGATGGGGAATCAATTTGTTTCATTGTTGATGAGTCCACCATCCTTGATGGTGCGTTTTTAGAAAGAATGAATTCTTTACTTGCAAACTCCCAAATACAGGAGATTTTTGATGCAGATGAATTTAATATGCTTTTGACATCATGCAAAGACCGTGTGCAATCTCGTGGCTTGTTGCTTGATACATCAGATGAGTTATTCCAATGGTTTACACAACAAGTTGCTAATAATTTACATGTTGTTTTCACTATCAACGATCCAACTGATACTTCCTCACCACAAATCATCACTTCTCCTGCATTATTCAATAGATGTGTTCTTAACTGGATGGGTCCTTGGTCCACACAGACTTTATCTCAGATATCGTCGACTTTGCTTTTAACAAGTCCAATTGATAAATCAGATTATGCTGCTCCTTCTGGTCCAGAAAATGTTGGCTTGAGCGTCAAGACATATAGAGATGCTATCATTAATTCATTAGTTAATATCCACTTGAGGTCAACAGACGCTGGATCTTCTGGCAAAATTTTATCGCTTATAAATAACTTCATCCGTGTTTTACGTAACAAAGATAGTGAACTACAGCATGGACAAAGGCATTTGAATTCAGGGTTGGATAAATTGAAGGAAACTGTTATTAAAGTTAGGTTTTTGAAAGAGGAATTATCTAAAAAAGAGACGCAATTAAAGGACAAAGAGAAAGAAGCCAGAACCATGTTAAATAAAATTTTAGAAGAACAAAACGAAGCAGAGAGAAAACAAGAAGCTTCAATAGATCTTCAAGCTGCTCTAGAGGAACAAAATGTCAAATTAACAAAACATCGTGAACGTGTCATGGAAGATCTTGCACTTGCAGAACCTGCTGTCTTAGAGGCTCAAAGAGGTGTTAAAAATATAAAGAAACAACATTTGACAGAACTCAGGTCGATGTCCACACCACCAGTTATGGTTCAAATCACTCTTGAATCTGTTTGTAATCTTCTTGGGTATCACGTTTCTAGCTGGAGAGATGTTCAGTCCATCATTCGTAAGGATGATTTCATTTACAATATAGTAAACTTTGATTGTGAAGCACAAGTGTCTATTGAATTGAGAAATTTTATGGAAGAGACTTATTTAAGCAGAGAAGACTACAACTTCAATTCTGCTGATAGGGCAAGTAAAGCATGTGGACCCCTTTTACAATGGGTGGAAGCGCAAGTTAGATATGCAGTTGTTTTAGATCAAGTTGGTCCATTGAGGGAAGACATGGCTATATTGGAAGAAGAATCAAGACAAAACCAAGCCAGATTGCTAGCTATCGATGATATGATTACAGAGCTCCAAGAAAGCATGGAGAAATATAAGGATGACTATAGTTATTTGATCAGAGACACTGAAAAAATTAAAACTGAGATGACTGAAGTTCAAGAAAAAGTAAAACGTTCATTGGAATTAGTGGAGAGCTTGTCTGAAGAACGCTCAAGATGGGCGTCGAAGGTGAAGTCTTATACGCAAGAATATTCTAATATCACAGGTAATTCTATTTTAGCAGCAGGTTTCTTGACATATCTATCAGATAAAGATCATTCTAAGAGAGCTCAGTTATTGAGCAGCTGGAAACAAGTTTTATCTCGATGGGAAATCGAATTTGATGCTGACTTGAGTTTCCTGAATTATTTTTCATATAGCTCAAAGATTTTGGAATGGCAAAATCAAGGGCTCACCAATGACGCGCTATATTTCGAGAATGTTACAATATTAGATCATTCAGATAAAATTCCGCTCATAATAGATCCTCTAGGTGAAATTGTTGAGTTTTTGAAGCAGCATCTTGCACCTCAAAAATTGACCATTACAAGCTTCTTAGATGACTCATTTGCTAGAACACTAGAAAATACTATGAGATTTGGTGGGAACATTCTAGTTCAAGATGCTGAATACTTTGATCCTATCATATCCAGATTATTAAACAGAGACTTTGAGAAAGTGGGTGGTAGAGTACTTGTGAAAGTGGGTAATAGGGACCTTGATTTATCACCCAACTTCAAAATCTTCCTTCATACTAGAGATCCAAGTGTTCAAATATCATCATATGTCAGAGCAAGAGCAATGATTATAGACTACACATTAACAGAGAGTAGTATAGAGAATCAAGTGGTTAACATGGCATTATCACATATGAGACCAGATGTTGAGGAACAGAGAATTGAATTGGTCAAGCTAGAAGGAGAATACAAGATCCGCTTGGCAGATTTGGAAAATGAACTCTTGAATTCTTTGAGTGAATCCAAAGGAAACTTGTTGGATAATGGGGACCTTGTTGAAACATTGGAAAAATTGAAGCTTGAGTCAAGTGAGGTCCAAAAGAAGGTTTTAGAAACAGCTGATGTTATGAAGAAAGTGGGAGAGATCGCAGAGTCATACGAACCATTGGCAAAAACATCATCTACGCTATTCACATTATTGAAAAGCTTTAAATCAATACATCCATTCTATGACTTCCCATTAACAACATTTATTACATTCTTCAAAAATGCTTTGTCTCAAGTGGGAAAATCAATCGAAAACGCAGCTAAAATCTTGACTGTTGGTCTTTACAAGGAAGTTTTCAGTAATGTTTCACTCTCTTTATTACATTCACACAAGGTCTTGCTCTCTTTAATAATTGGTTTACTTCATGAAAGTGAAAATGGAACTTATGCATTTTTCCAGGTTGTGTCTTTGTTGCTCAAGGCTATTTCTTCAAAGGGTCCAAATCCCGAGTTGGTAAAGCAGGCATTGAAACTTCTATCCATCGAGGTTACTAATGAGGAAATTCAAAGATTATCCGGTTTATCAGATGCTTCTGTATCAAGTGAATTAGAAAAGACACATAATGTAAGCTTGTCCAGTTATGCCCCATTGTTAGACGGTATTTTTTCAAAAGGTTCTGTTAGTAAACTTCAACATGGATTTGAGTCATTATCAGAATTTGCATTTACTGGTACAGGTCCATATTCAACAAAATATGGGTTAAGTGACATTGTGGTGAAAACTACAAGTAAAGCAATTATTTTATCTTCCACAAGAGGATTCGATGCATCTTTCAAAGTAAGGCATTTGGCTGAAGATCTGAATAAGAAAGTTACAATGGTTGCCATGGGGTCTCTTGAATCCAATGGTATAGCAGAAGCTGAGCTAGAGAAATGTTCGAAGAGTGGTGATTGGTTGGTATTACAAAACGTTCAAACATCTTTGAAATGGTTAGAACTTTTAGAGAAACGTATTGAAGGTTTAGCTCATAATGATGGATTCAAACTTTTCTTAACTTGTGATGTGAATTCCGATATACCTACTACTCTATTGAGAGCATCAGAAGTTTTCATTTTCGAAAATCCACCTGGTTTAAAACCAATAATTGCTGAAAATCAAAAATTGAATATTGGTAAATGGGAATCCAGTAAGCCTATGGAAAAGAGACATATATATTTCCTTTTGACTTGGTTCCATGCAGTTCTTCAAGAAAAGGGTAGATTCATACCAATTGGTTTGCGTAAGAATTATGATTTCAATGATTCGGATTTCGAAAGTGCTAGTTTCATTATAGATAGGTGGTTTGAAAGCTCATGCCATGGAAGAGATAACATTGCTCCTGAGTCCATTCAATGGGAAGCAATTCAAAAACTTGTTGGTGAAATTATTTATGGTGGTAAAGTTGATGAAGATGAAGATTTGAAAATTTTAAAGAAATTGTGTCAACATATTTTTACCTTAAAATCATTTGATCATGACTTCAACATGATTGAAAATGATGTTACAATTGAAAGCGGTATAATTTTATCACCACCTGAAGGAAGAGAAGTTGCAGATTATAGTTCATGGATTTCTAAATTACCTGATATCCAACCACCATCATGGATCGGATTAGGAGAAAATGCTGATCAAATCATAAAATCTAAAGATCTAGAGAACATCTCACAAAATGCAGTCACTCTCATTGAAAGCTTGGGTCTACTGAAAGGTTGATAGTGCTAATAATTGCGGCATTTGTATATTATTATAAGTTATTATATTTAAGTTCTTAATTAAATGATGTGTAAGTTTTTCTAGGCCCGAATTCTAGCTCTAAAGTCTCGGAAAAAGTCCAAGTCTCTGAAGCCTAGGCCGTAGCTAGACTACGCATCGGACAAATTGGATCATATAACATCGCAACAATAGCCAACGAAATTAGCATTTGAAAGGTAAACAAACCATGAACACTTGATTTGAATATAAAAGAAGACCCCATATACCAGTCTGAAATGAGCCTCAATGATGTTGTTTATGATGAAAGGTCCCATCGAGCACAATTGAGTGAGAAACTCAAACAAAACTCAATCAACCTTATACCCATTGTTGACCAACTATACGAATTGGATGATGTTTCTAAAGTACCCATTTCATATAAACAAATAACTCCAGATGGTGATGTTATTCAAATGAGAACTAGGTTTGACTATCAAGCTTCCTTGGGTAGTTTTGAAGTTGATGAATTGACAAAGATTATGAATTCAAATACTAAATTAGCGGATCATGGTAATTTTGAACAATTACAACAATATTCAAATGAGATAAGAGTTTTTTGTAAAAATTTGATTGAATGTGAAAGCTTAAGAGACAAATATCAAATCATTTCAAGTCAAAGGTCATGTGATAATCCATTATATGATGATTCTTGGAAAAGTTACCCACCTCCACAACCTAAAGGATGGCATTTTGAAGATGAATTTGGAGCTGTCAATTATTTCCATGGTGAAGGTACTGAACCACATTATTCAGGTGAGAAATTTGATTTGGAACATTATAAAGAGAGAGTTATTAAACCCTATATGTCAAAATTGAAACCTGGTGAATCTGAGTTAAAATTTGGGCAAGGGAAACATCATTTGTATGAAGTCGAAGGTGTTAAACATGAAGCATTCCCTTCTTTTCACGATTTTTTAGAAGATTTGAACTTCATTATAGATACTAGCATAAATAAAACAGGTGTGATGTTATCAATGAGAAGATTAAAATATTTAAAATCCAAATTTGAATCATATATTTTATTAAATGAACAAAAGGAACAATCAAAGACTAAACTGAATCCACATAGAGATTTTTATAATTCGAGAAAAGTTGATAATAATATTGGACTTTCCATGTGCATGTCTAAAAAACATTTATTGAATGTTATTAATTTAAAACTTCGGGAAGAAACTAATAGAATAGTTTATGAAAATGAAACAACAGGTGAAAAATTAACATTAGAACAATTGTTTGAACCATATTTTGATACTACTAAATCTAAGAGATTGAATGTTGATGATCTCTTTGAGTTTGGATTGATTGATAGGAACTTTGATTTATCAGATGGGATAAACATTGATAATGATACAGATTATGAATCAATAATTAAAAATGAAACTTTATCCAAGATTGAAAAAACTTTCTTAAGAATTAATAATCATATAAATGGTGAATATTTAAGTGTTATTTTGAAGCAAGTGTTGACTGATTATGAAAAATCCAAATATCAATTTGGTGAAATTGGTATCAATTTTAACCTTTTGGAGAAGACTAATAATAAATGGGAAGCATTGGCTGATTGGGTTATTGATAATAAATTGGTTAGTTATAATGTTAAATGGATTATAAGAATACCAAGGAACTACAGTGTTTTGAAAAAAGCTGGATTAATAAATAGTTTCCAAGACTTCTTAGATTTGATTTTCAATAAGTTATTTGAAGTTTCTATAAATCCTGGATCGAACCCAAAATTACATTTTTTCTTAACCAAAATTTCAGCATTTGATTTATTATCAGTTGATAAACAACATCAAGATCATTCATTATTTGATGTTAAAGAATTGAAATCTCCAAGAAAATGGACAAATGATACAAATCCACCTTATAGTTATTATTTATATTATTTATTCATAAATTTCAGTTCATTAAACAATTTTAGGAAAACCAGAGGATTATCCACTTTCAATTTAAGACCACATGTTGCTTCAATATCAGATAAATCAGGATTAGGTGTCATCACAGAATCATTAGCTACATGTTTCCTTTTATCGAAAAATATTATAAATGGTGAAAAACTTTGTAATTATCCAGTATTACAATATCTTTATTATTTGAAACAAATTGGTATAACAATGTCACCTTTATGTTGGAATAAAACATTACAATTATTGAATGATGATGATAATCATATTGAATCTAATAGATTTGCATATGAAAAAAATCCATCAATTGAATTTTTCCAAATGGGGATGAAAGTTTCATTAAGTACAAATAAACCATTATTTTCAAGTTTAACAAGAGATCCATTAATTGAAGAATATAGTATTGCAGGTTCAATACATAAACTTAGTGGAGTTGATTTGTGTGAATTATGTCGAAATTCTGTTTTGATAAGTGAATATAACGGTGGATTGAAAAAACATTGGATTGGTATTAAATATCCTAAACAAGTTGAAAATGATAGTTATGTTGATTGGGAATTTACTGATGATTTTGGTATTCAAAGGTGTAATGTTCCAAATATGAGACTGGATTATAGACTAGATTCATTAAGGCTAGAACATGGGTTCTTAAAGAAGTTTAAGTAAGAGTAAATATGAGTGAATATGAATAAATTTTGAATAAATTTGAATAAAATGTTTATATTGACTGTCATCGAAATACGTGTACCACGGAACCTAAAATCCCGTCAAATTTTGATGTTGCGCTGTTCGAAAATTATTCCATACGAAATCGAATTCAAATAAAGAAGAAATAGTTTGCTAAATAACGAATTAAGTATTCAATTGATCCAAATACGATTCTTTTTAAAGATCTCAATTCAATTACATATTCAAAATCTAATATAATTACAATGGTCAAAGTTTACTCAGCTGCAGAAAGTTCAGAAGTCGCTAATTCAGTTGCTCAATATATCATCAAGGCACAAGATGAAGCTTTATCTTCAAAAGAATATTTTGATATTGCAATTAGTGGTGGTTCATTAGGTAAAGTTCTTAAAGCAGGTTTAGTTACAAATAAAGAATTAGGTTCCAAAATTCAATGGTCAAAATGGAGAGTTTTTTTCAGTGATGAAAGATTAGTCCCATTAGAACATGAAGATTCGAATTATGGTTTATTTAATGAATTAGTTTTAAAAAGTTTAGCACATGAAGGTCATGAAGGACCAACTGTTTATACTATAAATGAATCATTATTACATGATTCAGATACATCAAATGATGAAGCTATTGCTAAAGAATATGCTTCATTTTTACCAAAATCATTAGATTTAATCTTGTTAGGTTGTGGACCAGATGGTCATACAGCTTCATTATTCCCAGGTCGTAAATTATTAAAAGAATCAAATGTTACAATTGCTACCATTGCAGATTCACCAAAACCTCCATCAAGAAGAATTACATTTACATTCCCAGTTTTACAAAATTCTAAAAATATTGCATTCGTTGCAGAAGGTGAAGGTAAAGCACCAGTTTTAAAAGAAATCTTTGGACCAACTGAAAGTGGATTACCTTGTGAATTAGTTAATAAATTACAAGTTCCAGTCTCATGGTTTGTTAATGATGCAGCAGTTAATGGTGTTGATGTTTCAGTTTCTAAATATTAGCTAAACAATTATATATAAGATATTAATGAATATCAACTTGTCCTAATATTTCCCATTCTTCAACTGGACCTTCACAGCGTACTATTTTAAAAATTCCATTTTCCCATCCTATACCATAGTCTAATAATTCACCTGGTTCATTAATTGTTATTGAATCTGTATCTAATAAATCTTCTACCCTAGTTTTAATTGTTCGTATTAATGCATTATCAAAATGTTTTAAATCAGTATAAACAAGGGATAAATGAGGATCAAATTGATTATTACACCAATCCTGTGATGCATATTTTGATTTTGCTTGATTTTGTAATATGGGGAATTCAACATAAAGTTCTCTTATTATAGTAGCTAAACCAGCTAAAGTTTTAGTTTTATTTATACCTAAATAAATTTTTTTGAAGAAAGAATTTTTAGTATGTAATTGTAATGAATTAATTTGAATATCAATTGTTAATTTTGTATCAGAAGAACTTGATAAAGCAGCTAAACAACTTGTTAAAACAGTATCAACATCATTTATTGAATTTATTGATAATCCTGAGGTTATAGTTATATGAGGTTCAAATTTTGGTGAATTATCAAAAAGTGGATTTATTCCTATTATTAATGAGTCTAGTGTTTCATATATTGGTGATGATGGTTTAGGACAAAGCCAAAGTGCAATACCTTTTGATATTCATGTATTGTTAATAAATTATTTTAAAGATCTGGAGAACTTGTGATACTTACCCATTGTGATCTATAATGACTTATTCTGTGAGCAATTGAAGCAATTCTCTATGAAATATCAAATACTGAATCTAATTGAATAATCTAATACTCAATCTGTCACTATCTATCAAAAGTTAAAACCCTTTAAAGATGTTTTTAGTATAAACAATAAGAAATCTAGATAGCCGATGCCCGGGTAAATAACAGGAAAATTCAGTCACCTGACGCGTCACATGACAAACGCGAAAATTTTTTAAAATTAAAAAATTTCCAATTTCAGCGCAATTTTCATAATTTTCACAAATTTTAAAATTTTATTTTTACGAAATTCCTGTTTTGGGCTATTTTCATAAAATTAAAGTTTTTTTTTTTTCAAAATTTCCGCCAAAAATCCAAAATGCAAAGATTTGCAATCAACAAGTGATAAAGAATTTGATCAATAAGAAAGAAACTGAATATTGTAAAAAAGATCAAATATATAAACTGTTGGACAGACACCCTATCATCAGTTGCTGGACGTAAACTATCATGAGAAGCAGTTCTACCTGTAGTGGAAGTTGGTATTGGATTGCTTTGTGTAGTATGATACATAATGAATAGAATGACAATATTACACAGTTATTGAGCATATGATGACATGTTCCATATAGATAGAACCTTGTCTAGTATTCATAGGAATACTTCTGTTTATTTATATTATTTACCTTATTTCAATTATATCCAAACTAATAATCTTTAAGTCTTTGACTATCTTCATTTGTATAAATATTCTCATAATCTCATATGATTATTCTATTTATATTCATATGTAAATCAATTACATAATTCACTCAGATAGTAACTAAATATGGAAAGGCTAGAATTAGTATATTCTAACATAAACTTTATCAAAACCTTTAAATTATCCAGTTTCAAAGCAATTTTATAACAATGCCATGATGTTTTATGATATAAGGATATATAGCTGTGAATCATGAAACGGAAGTTGTGCTATGTTTACTTGATTGCGATGTATACTCCAGGCTTGTACAGGCGATGAAAAAGGTACAGATCGCAATTCTATATAGCCGAATGTCTCAGTAGAATATTACCATATAATAAATGGTATGATTTTAAAGTAGTTCAATTGATGATATGATTAGCCTTAGTTCCTTATAGTTAGAGATGAAAATGTTGGTTAATGAATCATGATCTGTTGGTAATTAATCTATATTCAAGTGGAGAATGAACAAGCTCATGGAGTCCTAAGACCTGACCGTTTTATTTTAATCAATTGTACTTGATCTAGCACTTTAGAATTGAATAGAAGATATGTGGAGAAGGTGACTAGTGTCAAGGGTTAAGTTTAGGCTATTTAAGCATTAGAGGTTAAATATTATGATACGAGTTTGTACTTATAAATTAAAGGTTTAATCTTGGAGTATCTTGGTGACGAGTATTGTATATCGAAAGTTTTAAAGTGATGGCACCATATTATGGAGCTTTTTAGAACAATTTCGTAGGTAGAGTCATAGGTAGACTCGTAGGTACGGTTAAATATCAAGTTCATGATGATAAGAAACCCTGAAGGAGATAGAAGGAACATCAAGAGCAAACTTGGATCTTTAATAGTTGGTGATGCAGTGAGTCAACTAGTCTTTGATTCATGTGTGTACTGTATCTCTGGTTTTGAATGATCCGATAAGTGATCAAGTACCTTATCCTAATTTGATAAGTTGGATCTACAACAATTTACAAGTGAACCCCATATACCTTAACAAGGGTTTAAATAATTGGATCAAATTGATTAGCAGTAAAGCATAAAGATCATCAAGTTACACACCTGTCATTTATGTATTCAATAGTATAAAAGAATGAGGTTAGATATCAAGATACCAAGATAATACTACCTGACCATTTCTACAAACAAGTCAAGTATCCCAGTCTTATTTACGACAAACTAGAGATATATAATGTACATAATACATTGGACTCTGGAGTCCTAATGATTCGTCTAATTAGGGCCACCCATAAAACTTTAATCTGTTGAGCTTATAAGTAAACTTGGTGAATCATCAATTTGAAAGAGAATCTTCATAATCTAAAGTGGTGGTTCTGGTGATTCACAAACTAAATTGTGATCTATAGAGGAGAAGATAAAGTACGAATCTAATGTATATACTATACCCTTCTTGGATATAATATATCTTAAATTTTAATCATGAGTACATTAAAGCCTGTTAACAACTAGACTCGTTTATTATTTGTATCTCAAATTATTAATTATTTATGTCTTCACGGCCCGATTGTATTAAAAATTAAACAGAGTTCTAGCCACATCTCTGCCTAGGAAATTTTGAAGGCTCTGTCTAGAACACTTTCCCGCTTCCAGTGTACTTCCAGTTTAGCCCCGTATGCTTCTAGCCCGGCTAAGCTCTGTCTAGCTGGAATCCTGTCATTCCGAAAGATCCAATCCCAAATCCCGCTCTGGCTAGCCCACTGCCCACCGTCCTGCCTGTGAATATAACATAAAGTAGCACAATTTCACTTCATTAACCGCAATAAACTAGTATAATACACCAGAGCAATAGAATACACTAGTATAACAAGTATACAAGTATACAACTACGATTAAATAGCAAATACACAATTCAAACAAATCAAACAAATCAGTGTAAATCAGGTACAAATCATAAAATTTCAATGGAATGAAAAAAAAAATCAACGCGATGAGTTTAAAATTCCCAAGTAATATTCCCTGCTGACTCTTGCAGGACACTTTGCTTTTTTAGCGATGATCATTTTAAGAATGCGGTTCTGGATCTTTTTAATAAAGATAATAAATGTTCTGGATCTGGAAGTACTTATATTATGAGTTATCAATTGTATATAATAAACTGGTTTCCTTGATTTCGTTTATTTTGGGTACTTTGGTAACTAAAGTGATTTCGAAAAGTGATACATAGATTCATTCCTTTAAACAATTTTATAACCATATTTGTATCATATTCATATAATCTACAAGTACTTTATCTATATCAATATCAGTTATACAATATTACAAATTATCATATATTAGAGAGTTCAATACATTATGAATGCAATTTTGAATCAAAATTTCAATACACCTCCATCTTCACCATTATTACAACCAAGATCATCAAGTCCTAAATCAAATACATCAAGATTAAATGAACAAGAGGAATTATTAAGTCGACAACATCTTGATATTGATTCATTAAAAGATTATACATCATGTTCAATGAATGGTTCAACACATACTACAAATCAAACAAATCATAACTTACAACTACCTTCTCCATTATCACCAAATTCAAATCCAACAGATTTTTTCACATTATCTAAATCAGAAGTTCAATATAATAATTCAACAAGTTCTTTAATAGATATACCCAATGATTTAAAATTACACCATGATGAAGAATTTAATTTCCTTTGTGTTGATGATAATCAAATCAATTTAACTATATTGAATAAAATCTTATCCAAAACGTTTAATCAAGCATCATTAAAATCAACATTAAATCCATTAGAAGTTATTGGAGAATTACATTCCAAAATATATGATGTATTATTTCTTGATATAGAAATGCCAGAATTGAATGGAGTTCAAATTGCTACAATGATTAGATCAATACCTTTTTTCAACTCCTTAACAATAATTGCAGTTACAAGTCGTTCATCACCACAAGATTTAGTGGATTATACAAATGCTGGGATTGATTATACAATTCCAAAACCAATAACTATAGATTCATCAGATTTTAAAACAATAGTTTTAAACACCATGAAACAAAGAAGATAGATACACCCAAGGAAACAAAACCGTTAGAGATTACGCACTATGCATATATCGGGCTATAGAAGAGTGATCATAAAGTTGAAATTCACACTGCTATGCTACTGAAACACGCTTGAAATGAACTGAAATCAAAACAACAACAAAGCCAACAACAACCAAAACAAGATGACAACAACTATATGAACAAGTTCGTTCAATAGTCTATTTATATTCTCTTAATATTTAATATTTAATTTTAATGAAAACGTTATGAAGTTATGAAAATGAAAACCAAATTTAGAAATTTTTACCCATTTTTTTTGTAGTAGTCCCGGAATTTAAAGACTTGAAATTAATTCCAGACCCCATTTAAGCGCATTAGTCTCTTGATATCCCATACTATTGCTGGGACTCTGGGACTACCATAGTTAATTTTTACGATTGCTTATAAAATTGCAGGGTCTAGAAGGGCTCAGGGGTCTGGCTAAATTATTTATATGCTGGTAATTTTTAGACCAATTATGAAGGACAAAAACATAAGCAATATTGATGGAATTTTATCAACTTATCAAATTTTATCTTTATCATTTGAACCCTTGAAGAGAAGATATAGTATTGTTACGTATCTGATTGATTAATTGACTGATTAACAATGTCTTTACAAAACTGGATCCAAGATGTCCAATCTGTGGAACAAATCTTCCAAATCCATAAGGATTCTAAAAACATACCTGACGAATGTCCAATTAATGACCCAATTGGTGGTGTTGATATAAGGTGTGGTCCAATTTTAAGATTAATTAGTTCTTTAGAAAATAATTCAAATAATTATAGAGCTTCAATTATGCTTGTTGTTAAAGGTTCAAGAGCTCCAAAGATTACATATGTTCAAGGTCCTGTTTTACCAAATTCTTTAGATGAATTAAATCAAGGTGAATATTCAAGTGAAATTTTTGCTCAAGTTGAAGATTATTCATTTTATAGATTTTTAATTAATACTGAATTAATTGAAACTGAACAAAAAATTAGATATACAATTAATGATTCTTTATCATATGATTTTTTTTTACCATCAGCAAATCAACCAATGAATATAATTTCTTATTCATGTAATGGTTTTTCATTATCAACTGATACTTCATCATATAATTCTTCACTTTGGTATGATGTTTTACAACGTCATCAAACTCAACAACGTTATCATGTTATGCTTGGTGGTGGTGATCAAATTTATTGTGATGCTATTAAAAACGCATCAGAATTATTTCATAATTGGTTAGAAGAAAAAAATCCAATAAAGAAACAACATCAAAAATTAACTCCTGATATGGCTAAATCTTTCCATGATTTTTATATTGAACAATATTTAAAATGGTATGGTCAAGGTTTTTGGGTTGGTACTCAGGGGAAAATTTTAGAATCTTTATTCCCAAGAGCTATGGCTACAATCCCATCTATAAATATTTATGATGATCATGATATTATTGATGGTTATGGTTCTTATCGTGATTCTACAATGGGGACTGAAATTTTCAAAGGTGTTGGTTCAATCGCCTACAAGTATTATATGTTATTTCAACAACAAGTTAATCCTGAAAATGATGAAAAGGCTTATTTGAAAGATCCTTCATGGATTTTAGGTTCTAAACCTGGTCCATGGATGGGTGAACCAAGTCATTCAATTTTCACCAAGTTGGGTAAAGGTATTGGATTTTTAGGTTTAGATTGTAGAACTGAAAGAAAATTGAAAACTATTGTTTCTCAAGATACTTATTCATTAATTTTCCAAAGATTAGAATCTGAATTGAAATCAGATCCAACTATAAAGCATTTATTAGTCTTGTTAGGTGTTCCAATTGCTTATCCAAGATTAGTTTGGTTAGAATGGTTATTAAATTCTCCTTTATTAGCTCCTGCAAGAACTTTAGCTCAAAAGGGTATCATTGCAAAAGGTTTAGTTAATGAATTTGATGGGTCTGTTGAAGTTTTAGATGATTTAAATGATCATTGGTGTTCAGCTCATCATAAAAAGGAAAGAAATAAATTAATTGGAAATTTACAAAAATTAGGTTCAAGTCATGGTGTTAGAATTACCATATTAAGTGGTGATGTTCATTTAGCTGCAATTGGGCGTTTCAAGACCAAAATGCATTTAAATCATGTTTTCAATAAGGAAAAATACCAACAACATAATGAAAATGTTAAAAGAAAACCTGAAGAAGATCCAAGATTAATGTTGAATATTATTTCTTCAGCTATTGTTAATGCACCACCACCAGATGCTATGGCTGGATTATTAAATAAAAGATCTGGTATTCATCATTTTGATCATCATACAGATGAAGATATGGTTCCAATTTTCACCAAAGATACAGATGAATCAATTCGTTCAAATAAAGAATTTTTAAATAAGAGAAATTGGGCAGATTTAATTTCTATTAAAAATATCCCAAATACTAATGGTCAATATAATCTTGGTGATGAAAAATTACCAGGTCCTGCTACTGGTATACCAAAAGATTTATCTATTAGAGATGAACGTGATTTAAAATATAAAATTACTGAAGATTCTCTTATTGCAACTATCCATGTTGAAAAAGATCATACTAAATATGAAAGTGAAACTCTTGGTTATGAAATCGCTATTCCGGAACTAGTTGGGAAATATCAATTGAAAGATATTGGTGTTAAAGATTGAACAGTGCAGTTTATGAGGAACAGTTTATTTGTTATAATATTATTAAGTTAAAGTAGTAGTAGTTGTTGTTGTTTTTGTACTATATATCATTTGTGTTTTTTTCATTGTAATCCATAATTTACAAGTTTTTCTAATTTATAATAATTTATTTTATTTATTTTATACAAGACTAAATACATTTTTATTTAATTAAGAAAAGAGGCTGAAAACAAGTAGTTTAAAAGTAATAGTTTGAATTGATTTTGGTTATATCTTTGTAATGCGCACGACTCATCGCATCCTAAAACAGTAATTACCCAATCGGGTTATTTTCTGATTATAAAAAATTAAAAAAAAATTTATTACCATAAAGAAAATTTTAGAAAATTAATATAGAGACATAAATATTTGATTACTTAGAATATAGCTTTATATTTGATTTAACATCTCTGTGGTTTTCCAAGATGGCTAAAGAATTTAAATCAAAGAAACTCAATAAGGTTTCCAAACCTAAGAGTGTCAAAGGTAAAGATTTGAAATCAAAAGGCACTAAAAGACGTCATGAAGAAGAATCTGATGTTCAAGAAGATGATAATGAAAAATTAATTGATGAATTAGATAATGATTATAATGAAATTGCTGAATTATTAGGTGCTGAAAAGGAAGAAGAAGAAGAATCCAAAGAAGAAGAAGTTGATGAAGAATCTGAAGAATCTGAAGAAGAACAAGAACAAGATGAGGAAACTGAAGAAATTAAAGATACTAAAAAACCAACATATGATGAAACAAAATCAGTTTCTGATAAATTTGATGATCATAATTTATCAGCACCAACAATGAAGGCAATTAAATCAATGGGTTTTGAAAAAATGACTCAAGTTCAAGCAAGAACAATTCCACCTTTATTAGCAGGTCGTGATGTTTTAGGTGCAGCTAAAACAGGTTCAGGTAAAACTTTAGCATTTTTAATTCCAGCAATTGAAATGCTTTATTCATTAAAATTTAAACCAAGAAATGGTACTGGTGTTATTGTTGTTTCACCAACTAGAGAATTAGCATTACAAATTTTTGGAGTTGCAAGAGAATTAATGGAACATCATTCACAAACTTTTGGTATTGTTATTGGTGGTGCAAATCGTCGTGCTGAAGAGGAAAAATTAGTTAAAGGTGTTAATCTTTTAATTGCTACACCGGGGAGATTATTAGATCATTTACAAAATACTAGAGGATTTGTTTTTAAAAATTTAAAAGCTTTAGTTATTGATGAAGCTGATAGAATTTTAGAAATTGGGTTTGAAGAAGAAATGAGACAAATTATTAAAATTTTACCAAAAGATGAAAGACAAAGTATGTTATTCTCTGCTACACAAACTACAAAAGTTGAAGATTTAGCAAGAATTTCTCTAAGACCAGGTCCATTATTTATAAATGTTGATTCCAAGGAGGAAAATTCCACAGTTGATAGATTAGAACAAGGTTATGTTGTTTGTGAAAGTGATAAAAGATTTCTATTATTATTTTCATTTTTGAAAAGAAATGTTAAGAAGAAGATTATTGTTTTCTTGTCATCATGTAATTCAGTTAAATATTATGCAGAATTATTAAATTATATTGATTTACCAGTCTTGGAATTACATGGTAAACAAAAACAACAAAAACGTACAAACACATTTTTTGAATTTATTAATGCTAAACAAGGTATTTTAATTTGTACAGATGTTGCAGCAAGAGGACTAGATATTCCATCAGTTGATTGGATTATTCAATTTGATCCACCTGATGATCCAAGAGATTATATTCATAGAGTTGGTAGAACTGCAAGAGGTACTACAGCAAAAGGTAGATCATTAATGTTTTTAACACCAAATGAATTAGGATTCTTAAGATATTTAAAAGCTGCAAAAGTTCCATTAAATGAATATGAATTCCCATTAAATAAAATTGCAAATGTTCAAAGTCAATTAGAAAAATTAATTAAACAAAATTATTGGTTACATCAAAGTGCTAAAGATGGTTATAGATCTTATTTACAAGCTTATTCTTCACATCATTTGAAAACTGTTTATCAAATTGATAAATTAGATTTAGTTAAAGTTGCCAAATCATTTGGATTTCAAGTACCTCCAAAAGTTAATATTACAATTGGTGCAAGTGGTAAAACTTCTAAACCAACAAATCAAAGAAAAAAGATAAAACATTAGACCTTTGTGGTAGAATCTCTGTATAATAATAATATAAAAAAGAATAGTTGTTAATAGTATACATTTGAATGTAGTTGATATACATATGTATGTGTGTTATTGTATATATAAAATCTAAATAAAACAATTGATATCCATGATGTTGAATCCCAGAACCTAAAAAGCAAAAAATTAATAAAATATAAAAATAAAAGAAACTGAACTATATAATTATAACGGTACCAAAAACAAACAAACAAACAAATGTGTTTTTTATTTCTTTCTGTACGTAATGCAACCCATAAAAATTCATATATCGTTGAAAGTTTAAAAAAATAATAAATCATAGATCCATGTTGAAAGATCTTTAGTAAGTACTAGACTTCAATAGGTTATTATCTCTTTCCTAATAAACCTAAGAATTCTTCTCTTGTTTTTTGAGCTTCTCTAAAACAACCAAGCATACAACTAGTCACTGTACTTGAACCAGTTTTTTGTATACCACGACTAACCATACACATATGAGTAGCCTCGATAACAACAGCAACACCTTGAGGTTTTAAAATTTCAGTTAAAGCCATTGCGATTTGTTTTGTTAATCTTTCTTGAACTTGAAATCTTCTTGAATACATTTCAGCTAATCTTGCTAATTTTGATAAACCAAGAACTTTCTTATTTGGTATATAACCAATATGAACTTTCCCAAAAAATGGAACTAAATGATGTTCACAAAGGGAATAAATTTCAATATCTCTAACAATAACCATTTCATCATGATCTTCTTCAAAAACAGCACGTTTAATAACATCTCTAATATTATCTTCATACCCCTTTGTGAAGAATAACATTGCTCTTGCATATCTTTCAGGTGTTTCCAATAAACCTTCTCTATTTGTATCTTCACCTAATTCTTCCAGTATAACTTTAACAGCATCACTTATTCTTTTTTCACGTTGTTTAGATTCTTCTTCATTTGATTCAATTCTTTTTCTTGCACCTACACTTGGCCATGATAATCCATCTGAATCTATTGGAGGGTTCAAAGTATAAGGAGAAGCAGGTCTTGTATCTAATGGAGAATCTAAACGATTCATTGAAGATTTTTTATTTCTTAAAGGTTTTGGATGATTTATTGAAGTTTGAGCAGTGGTGGAATAACCTGATCCATTGGAAAGTGGTGGTGTTGATGTTGATTGAGGTGTTGAGGATGATGATTCTGGGTCGAGTGATAACTCTGAAATGTCTCTTGAAAGGTTAGAAGACATTAAGTTTGATTGATTTATTTTGTTAATCTATGGGGATGAGTAATAATGATTTTTTTGAGAATATAGTGTTCTCAATGGAAATTGAATGAATTATGGTATTTTCTTGGGATCAATAACCAAATATGAAACAATATTAAAGCAGTATAGTACTTGATACTTCTAAAACTAGATTTTATATTGCAAACTATAGTTTTATCTTTTTACTAATTAATTCGTTTATTTTCACATGATTATTACTCAAAATTTCCTTGAAAAATTCAATTTTTTCTGTGCATCTCATCGATCGAAAATTAATAAAACAGCCAAAACAGGGCTACAAACCAAACACATAAAACAACAAAGACAACTAATATTATATATTTAAAGCAAATGTATGTAATCATAACTCATTAAGCAAAGAAAGGGGATCATTTTGGTATAATTTGTATATAAATCAGACGAAAACTCGTCCTATCCCATTACAAACCGGACTATAAAACAATGTTAGTATTAATCAAAATAACAAATAAATAACAAATTAACTCACCAATGCTCTTCATCTAAAAAGAATCTAACCATTCCCTTCCCTCTACACTTCCCACACTGGACACCTCCAATAGCAGGATCACCAGGCTGGACATAACGTGGACCCGGAGAGTTAAAACTTGTAGTTGTAGTATTAAATGAATTATTATTTGATCCAAAAGGTAATTGAAATCCACCAAAATTTAAATTTGAAGATTGTGTATACCCATTATAAACAGTTTGTAAATGAACATTTGGAGCTCTTCTTGCCCTTGGAGCAAATCTTTCCCAACAATTTTGACATGATTTACCATTTTTTAATTTTTTACCAGTGTTGTGACATTTATGACACCAAAATCCATTGGGATATCTCCAAGGAACGTCTGGCTGTTGTCCTTGTGGTGGTCCTTGGTTGAAGCTCTGTGATTGAGTTGGTCTTGGTGGTTGAGGAGGTGGTTGGAATTGATTTGTAGGTCTTGATGATTGACTTGGTCTTCCTGCTGGTAATGGAGCACCTTGTGGTAAGTTTTCACTGAGAGTCATTGGAGTGTTGATAGCTTCATCGTACGAAGGTGGTGGTGCTTCTGGTTTTCCCATGGTGAACTGTGAGCTAGTCAATAATATAATAATAATATGATAGTATATCAAATGGTAATATAGTCCACTATTAATACAGATTTCAATTGATAATATTCAAGTCATTTAAATACCGGCAGTGTCTGTATTATATAACCACTTATGTAACCACACACATTTGTTTTTCAATGTTCCTGAAAAGATCAAATATTGAATCAATGAGACAAACAGATCAAATAGTAGACAACTGTTACAAGAGTTCACAGTGGCAAGATGGTATGGCTAACGGAGTCTCAGAGTATGTGTTTGTGCTATGATTAGGTAGTTTTTGTGGTGTTAGACTAGTTTTTGATGTATTGTTCATGGAGTTATTACTATGGCTTTCTCATCTACGCGTTTAATGTCGTTTGATCTATTGATTATGGGAATGAATACTAACTTATTATGTTTTAGAATTCGGTGTTGGATTCACTGCTGGTGGTATGTACTACAATACTTTTAACTATTCAAATATCATTATTAACAATTTCAAGGTCTGGTTTTCTTTTTATTAGGTGTTCTAACCTTTTTTGATTCTGCTTTATTAGCATTAGGTAATGTATGTTAACATTCAACATCAAATATCAAAGAATTCATTACTAACATTATTAGTTACTATTTGTTATCGGTGTGGTATTAATCATAGGACCTCAAAGGACAGTAGTATTTTTTACAAGACCAACTAAAATTCGTGGTTCAATTGCATTTTCAATTGGTATTTTATTAATCTTGGTTAAATGGCCTTTTACTGGGTTTTTAATTGAAAGTTTTGGTATCTTGGCATTATTTGGGTGAGTTATAAACAACATTAATGTATTCAAAAAGAATCTTTACTAACTTTCATAGTGATTTCTTTGCTGTTATCGTTTCATTCTTAAGAAGTGTTCCATTCATTGGTCCATTATTATCTCATCCTGTTATTGCTCCAGTATGTATAACCAATATCCCTTCATTGCTATTCACAATATACTAACTCATTATATCAGGTTGTTGATAGAATTGCAGGTGTTAGAGTCCTTCCAGTATAATCTTATATGGTGATATAAAAACCCTCATAAATCCATCAATTTTAATCGGATTTTCTTCCTTAAAAAAGGAAAAAACAAGAAATGGACTACAAGACTATTCATATGTAATCATAGTTGTATATTATATCCCAATTTATTCATATAGATTAATATCAAGTTAATTCTTAGTTGTGTAGTATAAATCCGTTTCGGGCAACATTTTGATTGTAATACTAAAAAAAAATTTCAATCTGACATATAAACTCATCGGGTACAAAATATAATCATAAACTCTACACATCAACCCACAACTCATATACCACACATATATACACACATCATGCCACCAGTAAAGAAACAAAGAAGATCAAACGGTGTTTCAGTCGAAGTCGCATCAGTATTAGGATCAGGTACTTCCAAAATAAATAAAAAAATAAGAGATATTGAAAGATTATTAAATAAAAGAAGAGATAAATTACCATCAAATGTTATAATTGAAAATGAACGTGCCCTTCAAGCCCTTAAAACAGAAAAATTAAATGTTGAAAGATCTCAGAAGGTGAAAAAAATCTCCAAGAAATATCATATGGTTAGATTTTTTGAAAGAAAAAAGGCTCTTAGAAAATATAAACAGGCTAAAAAACAATATGATTCATTAGTTGAAGACGAAAAATCTGATAAAAAGGAAATTAAAAAGGCTAAAAAAGTTCTAGGACATTGTGAAATAGATCTATTATACACTGTAAATTTCCCAAAAGATATAAAATACATTTCACTTTATCCATCAGAAACATCAGAAGATTTAGATGAATCCACTAAAAAAGGTTTAATTAAAACTGAAGAAGATCGAAATTCATATAAGAAACAGTTTGAAAAAATGTTAAAAGAAGGTACTATACCCGTTAGTATTGATGATATATTAAAAGGGGATTATAAATTAAATGATTATAATGAGGTTCATGAAGCTCCTGATTCTGTTAAACATGATGATGTTGAAGAAGAAGAAGATGATTTCTTTGAATAGATTATGTGTATTACATGGAATAGTTGAAGGAATTCATAGTGTATATTATATTAAGTTATTAAGTTAATTAGCAAATTATTGTTGTAGTGTATGATTATAATTTGATATCATTAATAAAGAAAATTTCATTACTAATTGATCTTGTAAAACTAATTAAATCAATTAATTTATTCCCAATTTTAAATTTTTCAAAATCCCATTGACCAGTGCCATATATTTCTGGTATGGTTTTACCTAGTTTAGGGAAAATATCTTGATAAAATTCTTGAACTTCTAAAATTGATTCATCATTCGAGAAATTGGTTCCCTGTAAATCTTGAAATTTTGATTCAATCCAAGTTGGCAATACAGTTTGTTCAGGTTTTGGGTAATGTGATTTATTGGAGACTCTAGTGATCCATAATAAGACTGATTTATCTAAATTATCAGATTTATCTAAAAGTTCATAATTCTGAGTACCAAATAACTGTTCTAAAGATTTGGAAAATGGTTTATCTTGCTTCAACACAGATTTAAATGATAATGGTTTATACTGCTTCAACAAATTCTTAATCAATTTAGAAATTTCCTCCAAGGATTTTTGAAATAATAATCTTTGAGTTGTCTTATAAGTCTTTGCAACCTTTAAGAAATATGGATTGATCTTAAATCCATCTTTACCAACATCATTCTTTAAATTTTTTAAAAATTCAATTTTTTGTTCCAAAATTGATTGTAATTGATCTAAACCTTCCAATCTATTTCTTAAAGTAACAGAATCCTCTTGATCATTCTTAACCAAGAATGCAAATAAATCAATAAGACCTTGAGGTAATGGGTTTTCATTCGTAATTGGATAACTAACTTCATCACCAATTAACTTAATCCCAAATTTTTGAGCTTCTGTAATATTAACATCTTGTAATCTAAGTGCTAATACTGCTTTATCATAAATATTATTATCCATAACAAATCCATACCCAAATAATAATTCATGATTTGATTTTGGTCCATAATTACTGAAAATTTCATCACCTTTCTTAACAATTTGTTCAGTGGTAAATGTCATGAATTTATCTAATCTACCCCATTTTATTTCAACACTTGGATTATGATTTGATAAATCTTGGATGGGGACTAACATACCTTCATTTAAATCTCTACATTCATCAGTTGAAGAGATCAAGAATGGGAATCCTCTTGATGTAAAGATAGTAGATGACCATAAATAAGCAGCAAAACTTGTCCATGAAACTGAATCATCATTGAAGAATTCAAAATGCTTAGAGACATCTCTATCTTTTTGGAAATCATGGAAAAATTTTAAATCTTTTTGGTATTGATATGATTGAAATTTCTTTGGTAATTTTGTAACAATATCATACCATTCTTCAACTAATTTATTAAGACCAACATCAATAGCTAAATCTGCATCAGTGTTTTTAATTAAACTTCTTTCCATTTCATTCCAAAAAAATGGTGAGCCAATCTCACGACCTGTTGGTAAGAATTCAATAAATGGTTTCAATAATTTAGAAACATTAGTATCATCATCTAAAGTTTTAGTATCATCACTTTGATCAAATCTTAATTTTGCAACTAATAACTGGGTTAAAGGAGTTCTATTGCCCTTAGGAACAACTTCAGAACCAAATACACGATCAGCAAGTATGGGAGTGATGGTAATATGTTCGGGAATTTGTAAAACAGGTTCCTTATTGTCTAAAGGTTCATCACCTTCATAACAGATTGTTAACCCTGCACTATTTGTTTTTTGGAACGTAACACCTTTTTGAACTTGGACACCTTGTTCTTTTGCCCATGATAATAGGGATTCTAGTTGAGACATGTTTGAGATTGGTATAGTGAGATCTAGGTAATCTTGATTAATTTAATCATCGATCGTGATTGTCTATATCTTTTTGAATACTTGTTTTGTATACTTTTTGATAAAATTCTCAATTAAAATAATATTTTATACCATTTAGTTTTATTTATACATAAACAGGAAACCCTGTTTGGACCCATTTCCAACAACTTATTCTGATTTCCAATTGAAAAAGTTTTAATTTGGTATTATAGAAATTCAATTTTTAGTGCTATTGTTCTCGTGCATTATTTTGCATTTCTATTGATTCTGCCACAAAAAAACCACTTTAAATTTTCGAAACTTTTCGATTCAGCTAATTTTTTTTTTTAGTGCTTACTTAATACTTGAGTTCCACTTGGACTCCGTATTGCAAGTCAAAAGCATCATTAACCATCAATACATTCACTAAGGAACCTTTGAGTTCTGAAGGGATACTCAATTCACAATCAACAACACCCTTCTTAGAGCCCTTTTTAAGTATTGGAGCCGCTCTTTTCACCACTAAAAGTTCATTGAATTCTAAATCACATAATATAACAAACCAAGATTCTTTTTGTAATTTGGGGAACTTGGCACATAACATTTTAAAATCTGAATTTACAGGTTCATTATGATGTTTTAATTGGACTTTCAATGAATCAGATTCAGATTGTTCAACATGGAAATCACCAACTGGTAAATGTTGAGCAGCATAAACAAATTCCCTTTTTTGAGATTCATCAACACCAATTCTTTTCATAAATCCATTCAATTTCCCATAACTAAATCCACCAATTTCCTTTAAAGTTGTAAATTTGGATTTAATTGTTTTAAATTTATGGTCTTGGCCATCATGACCAGGGTCTCCATGACCTTCCTCTAACTCATCACGGCGCTGAATTTCAGAAAGTCCATTTATTTCCGTTCCTAGACCATCGGTTGAATACCCAGACCAACGACGGAGGTCTAGACCTGGTAAACTAGAGACTGGATCATCATCAAACCAAATACCTTGTTTAATACATTGCATAATCTTGATGAAAATTAATGTAGTTTGTAAATATCCCAACTCTGATGCAACATCAATATATGCTTGTAAGATACGTAATGCTTGATCTAAAACTGAAACGGTATCTTGTGAATAATCTGCAATTGGTAAATCAACACGACTCATATAAGCTTGTAATAAAAGATATGTCTTAATATGAGGATCCCAAATTGGCTTATCAACTAAATCATCTGATGGATAACGTAAATTTTGTGACATTTCCATATTAATCAATTCTTCACCATGTCTAGTTGGTAATTCATTATATTCAATAGCTTCTGATAACAATCTCAAACATTCTCTAAATGTTGCATCTGATGAAATTTGATTAACTAAATTACGTATAGTTAAATGTGATAAATAATAATATGATGAAATGTTTAAATATGCTGTTGGAATCAATTGTTTTTCACCTGCAATAACACAACTTGATTCTTGTAAATTTTTAATTGTAGCATCAATTAAATCTGATAAATATTTACCAACACCTGCAGTGGAAGTATCTTGAATATCATAATAGGTTGGATTATTATGAGCTCTTCTATATAAGAAAGTCCATGTCAAGAAATCCATTGCATCTTGTCTTGATTTAATTGTACCTGCTGAAATTTCTGCACCAATATGATTATCTAAAACTTTATGTAATGAAGATTCAACTGGGAAACCAACATTTAAGAAATGTTTATAAAACATCTTTTTGGATTCTTTAGTATAAACAATTGCAATACCACTTGTATCATAAGCTGGACGACCTGCACGACCCATCATTTGTAAAATATCTGTTAAATCCATATCTCTATATGCTTCAATCTTAGCATCGAAAAATTGAGTACCTTTAATAATAACTAAATGAGCTGGTAAATTAACACCCCATGCTAAAGTACTTGTTGCAATTAAAATTTGAATTTTATTTGATTCAAATAATTTATGACTGATCTTACGATCATTATCAACTAAACCTGCATGATGTAATCCAATACCAAATTGTAATGATAATCTTAAAGTTTCATCTTTAACATCTTTTAAAACATCTTCTAATTCAAATTCATCCATTTTTAAAAACCTACGTGGATTATCTTCTAACCCACAAAGATGAATTAAATCTAATGCAGTTAATCTTGTTTGACGACGTGATGCAACAAAAATTAAAACTGGTTTTGTTGGTGAATGTGCCTTAATTGCCATGAATGCAGGTTTATTCATTGTTTTCATCAATGGACAAAATGCTAAATTATCTTGGAATCCATCAATATACATCTCTAATGGAACTGGACGAACAGAAGATGGGAAATTGAACAAACCTTCACGAACACCTAACCAACCAGCCATATCAAATGCATTTGAAACAGCAGTGGACATACCTAATAATCTAATAGGTTTATTAGTTTGTGATGACATATAATTCATACGACTAACAATCATTTCTAAAATTGGACCACGATCACTTGCTAATAAATGAATTTCATCCATAATAACTAATGAAACTTGTTGAACAAATTTACGTGTTTGCCAATTACGTGAAATACCATCAAATTTTTCAGGTGTTGTAATAATAATACTTGCTTCTCTAACATCTTTTGCAGCTGGTATAGAATCACCAGTTAATTCTACAACTTTATGACCTGTTGTCTTGGTTAATCTTTCTCTCCAATCATCAACTCTTTCACGAACCAATGCCTTCATTGGTGCAATGTAAACAATTTTAGAACCTGGAAATTCATTGAAAGCATGCCAAATTGCTAATTCTGCCACCACGGTTTTACCTGACCCTGTTGGTGAACCAACAAATACACTTGAATTTGTATTATATAATGTATGGAAAGTCATTGTTTGCATTGCATTGAAATATCTAAATTTTGGTTTATAGATTGCCTCAATACCTGAATCATGTAATGCGGTAATTGGTAATGGTTGAAGTTTTAATAATTTAGTTTGTAAAGTTTCATTGTGAGGTCTAATTAAATGTTGGAATGAAATACTATGTGTAGTTTCTGATCCAATCCATGAATCACTAACAACTCTAATAACAATTTGTGGTGGTAATGGATCTGCCAAAGGAATCATAAAATCCATTTCATGTGGATTTTTCAATTGCTTCCTATTCAATATAAATTTTTCGAAATGTAAAATTGAATTCTTATCAGATTCTTCAACAAGAACCCAGAAAATTTGTGCACCACCATGATATTTTTCATCCCAAACAAAATCTGGTTCTAAAGAAACATGAACTCTCATAACATTCTTAGTGATGGGGAAAATTTCACCTTCAATTAAAATATATGGTAATCTACCAATCAATTTATATAAAGTTGAACCCATCTTGGTATTATGAACTAAATCACCTAATTCTCTAGATTCCATCATTCTTAGATCTTCCATTGGTGTATTCTTAGCTTCTAAATTTCTTATGATTTGTTGTGGTAATTCAAATTGTTTTAATGGATGCTCAAATGACCACAATCTTCTTTCAATAGATTTACAAATTGATAATAAAACTTTGGCGAAAATACCCCATCTTCTATGAATACCAATTAAGAATAATGCACGACAAATTCTTATAGAATTTTGTGCGACATAATTAGAATCTGAATATAATGCAGAATCATTAATTGAAGCTTGTGAAATAAATGCTTGTAATAAGATATTTGTTTTACCAGGTGCTGTTGATAACTCTGCACCAATTTGACATTTTGCTCTATTCTCTAATAATTTAGTCAATTCAACAGCTTCTTCTTCTCTAAATTTAATACTATCAAATTCACTACTCATACTAATCATTGATAGAACATCAGCTTCTGTAGCTGTAGGACTGCAAATTTGATTGAAAATTTCAACACTATCATTCAGTAAATAAAAATCTGATGCAACTCTACCCAAATCTTTAGGAACAAAATGCATTGATCTTTCATCGAAAATAATCATTTGTAAAAAATGTAATCTTCTAGCTGCACTAATAATCAATTGAGTTCTTCTTTCAACCAGTTGTGGATCCTCAGCCAGTTCTTTCCAATCAATACCATAAGCAAATGGATTTTGTCTCATTCTTGTAAACATATAAGTGAAACCTAACCATTTAACACCTTCATCAACATTTGTCACAGTACCTAATGAAATTTCAGCATTTAAGTTATCAACAATCTTTGCAGATAATTTAGATTCAATTGGATGTTGAGATGTCAATAATCTGACATAATCATCTAATCTATCACTTGTAGTACAAAGAATACCTGTACCATATTTTTCAAATTGAGGTCTACCAGCACGACCAAAAATTTGAATAACATCAGAAATACCTAAATCTGTGAAACCACCTTTCTTGGAATCATAAACTTGTGTACCTTTAACAATAACAACTGCAGCTGGTAAATTAACACCCCAAGCTAAAGTTGCAGTACAACATAAAACTTTAATAGCACCACTCATAAACATTTTTTCTGTTAAATTACGATCAGAACGAAGCATACCAGCATGATGAATACCAAACCCATGTTGGAATAATTCACGTGTATCTTTATTATGATTTTTACTCATTTCACGTTTGAAACGTTCATATTCTGTTGATTCAGTACAATCAAAATAACTTCCTTCATTATTTTCCTGAGCCATGCTTATAAAAGTTCTAGCAGTCTTTTGAGTATCTTTTCTTGAATGAACAAAAACCATGACTTGAGCACCATTATTCAATTCATCAATAAGTTTATCATATGTAACACGATCAATGTTTTCTCTAGCTTGTTTACTACCAGCTTTCCCCTTAACACCAATCAATTGTTGTTTTAATGGAACTGGACGGAATGATTGATCGAAAAAGAACATACCAATCTCTCTATTAACACCTAAGAAATCAGCAACATCAACAAAATTGGGAAGTGTAGCTGATAAACCAACAACTCTAATCATAGATTGTGTACTTTCAACTTGACGTAAAGTACGAGCAACTAAAGTTTCAATGACTGAACCACGATCTTCATGAAGTAAATGAACTTCATCAATGATTAAAAGTTGGACTTTTGATACCAATTCATCATCACCATTACCTTTACGAGTAACAACATCCCATTTTTCTGGAGTGGTGACAATAACTTGAGTTGCGATTATTTCAGATTTTGTCAATTGCATATCACCAGTTAATTCTCTAACTTGAATACCTAACCAAGCTAATTTTTTACTAAATTTTTCCACAATTTCAGCAGCAAGAGCTTTTAAAGGTGCAACATAAACAATTTTAAATTCACTATAATCAATATCAATTGTATCATCAGTTTCTGTCATAAATTGACCAATTGTGTGTAAGATTGTGAGCAACGCAACATCAGTTTTACCAGCACCTGTTGGAGCACAAACAAGCATATTTTCGTTGGTGTTATAAGCAACTGGGTAAACTAAGGATTGCATTCTATTCAATGTGCTATAACCTTTAAAAGTACCTTGACAAAGAGTATCTAAATCTCTAATATGAACTGGGACTTCATTAGCTCTTTTGAATTTTTTGGCTTGGATTGGAATTGTGATTTCTTCATAATTTTCACGTTGTTCTCTTGTTGATCCAACTGGTAATGTAAATTTTTGACCATTAAAAGCAACAGTATTACCACCATCAAACGCTTTATAGACATTTGGATATTTTCTAACGGTCTCAGCTGGTGCTAAATCTTGTGATTTTGCAGTTTGTTGATTCTTTTTCACTTGATTCCTTATGTCTCTCTCTGATAAAAATTCTTTCTGTATCTTTTCATGAGATGGTTCTTTAGTCATATCACTTAAGATTTGATCTTTATCAGCAATGATTTTTGAAATCAAATCAAATTCTTCAAACCCAAGAATATCAAAAAGAAATGATTGTAGACTATCAAGAGATGATTCTGATGTCAAAGTTGAAACAATTGTATCAGCTAATTCTTGTTGACTTAATTGTTCCTTGGTCTTTGCGACTCTTTTGCATTCTTTCATTAAATCATCATAAGCATTAGCACCACCATCATCATCGTAGTCATCAGTATCTGAACTGAAATCACTAATTTCTTCACTTAGTTGAATATCATCAAATTGAGCTAACACGCCCAAATCAATCTCGTGCTCTTCAGTATCAATCTTTGGAGTGGCCAAATCCACAGCAGGTTCCTGGAGTCGTTCCAAAGCGTCCACCATGGCCTGCATGGCCTTCATATACGACCCTGTCGACGACACAGAGTACTGTACCGACATTTTAGTCTTTATTCTATCTTCAGACCCTTGAATATATTGAGCAATGCTTATTGTCTTTTCGCCTTCATTTGTTATAACTTATCACCAATAACTTTTTACAGATCTATGAAAATTGGTTTGTAGCCCGGGTACAAGTAACCGAAGGAATTCAATCACCGAAGTTTGATTAACTACATAATTGATCTATTCTATCCCTGGTATTAGGTATTATGAACTTGAAGTTTACACAAGTTTTTTAAAACGGGCTGTTCTAGAATCTGTTTGTGCTATGGGAAACTTTGAAGCTTAATGCCTATAATGATAATGCAACACCTTCTAATTCGTTGATAATACAAACTTTAATTTAAAATAGTATGGGCTACATTCAACAAGGAACCTTGTTTAAAGTTCACTAAAACGCATTATTTGGCATATAAATTATAAAAAGAGCTCCTATGTCCCTCTCCTTGTGTTTTTTTTCTCTTGGTGCTATAAACTAGTGAATGGCTTTCAATCTAGGGGTCAATTTTCATTCAATTTGGTAATTGATTTAAATTGACTAATTATTAGCTTTCATATTGGGAATTGAGTCCAATTGGGTAGAATAAGATGTGAATTTGGATCAAGATGGATGAAATTACATCAGGTTTGAATAACTTAAAGGTTACAAGAACTGAAGTGGAAAAATGTTATCCTGGTTGTAGTAACAGTTATGCTGATGTTTATGGTGATCTAGTCTTAGATGAAACAGATGGGTTTTGTGAAAGATTAACTTTTAATGATTTAATCAAGAAACAAAAAGTTAATTTCGAAACTTGTTGTGCAATTTGTCATGATGAATTAGAAAATGATTCAAAATTGATTGTCTTACCATGTCAACATTATTATCATTTTGAATGTATTGATGAATATAGAGTTTTTCAAAGAAGAGTATACAGTTATGATAGATCTTTAAAATGTCCATTATGTCAATTGGATTTGGTCAAACACTACATTTTCTATACCACAAAGTCTTTGTATCCAAAAACCAATAAGTTCTACAATTCTGAATAAACTTTTGACAAATATAAACACGGGTATTGAGTAATTACTCATATCATATTTATTTATGTAATTGAATTTTGATGTTGAATCATACGTTCTTTGTAGTTTGAAATTAGATTCCTTATTTAATGTTGTGTTTAAACCACGTACTTTGGCTTAAAATACCCCCCAAAGTCACAGCTTCCTGAACCAAATACATAGACAAAAGAGTTCCTCTCGTTTATATTAGTCACTGCGGTACCTTCTTTGAGCTATAGAAACCAGTTGCCCAGTTGTAATGCTCACCTTAGCTCTTAATAGTATATGTTAAAATCATTATTTGTTACGGCCACCAGCTTAATCACGTGATATAAATGAACAATTTATTAAATTAAGCATAATATTCCAGCTCAATTTGTAATTGAAACGATTCATAGAGAATATTGAGACAAGTGGAAGAGTCTTATCAAGTCAAAACTCTCATTTTCCAGGTTTGAAATTTTGAAAAATATGAATTTTCTTTATTTCAATTTGAAATATTTTTTTCTGAAGTCAGTATTTTAAAATATCAAAATTTCAAATGTTGGAAATTAACTCATTTGACCTAAGAGATTGGATGATTCATACTATTATATAGGATTCAAGTATTAAAATTCACTACAAACCTCAAAAGTTTCCTTCAAAAATTTGAATATTGTATTCGTTTAAATAATTATTTAATATACCCTCGGAAATATAAATAATTTTGATAAGGTCGGAATAAGTAAATTATATACTTAAATCTCTCATCAACAATTGAAATTGTAAGTAGTATCATAAGAACCATGAGAATAATACTAAAAAGTTAATGTGGATTGTTAGTTTTCCCTCAAAATGGGATTGTCATGTTTTTTTCACCCTGAAATGTTTTGATGATCTACTATATTTCTTTAATATCGAAAGCGATAACTGATAACTGATAACTAGACAACGTTTGATTACACCATGGTAACAGTACCCATATTGTTCACTATTTTAATATACTTAGGGATCACAAGCAACTTTACAACAGCTTTACCAATTGTCTTAACACAAAAAGAATATTTTGAACTCCACGGTTATAAACCAAATGGTTCATTTCAAGAATTTATGGATGAGTTCACAATAAATGATCCATATTTAGAATATCATTTTGATAATGTTACAAACGTTAGTATGATTTCACAGACTGAAATCCCAGGTTATAACCCACCACGGCCAAGTAGGGTTTATAAGAATCCAAAAGCTCCTTTTGCTACACATCAAAAAGTTGGTTTAGGAATTGCATGTTTATTGGGAGTATTTATAATTTGTGGTTGTATTTTAGGTCATATGAAAATGATTACTGCTTATAGAAGTGAAATGTATTTTATCAATGCAGAATGTTTTGTTAATGAGTATACAAGATGGGATATCACAAGGAGAAAGTATTTCAGTTTCCCATTTGCGGTCATTTGTGGACTGGGGATAATATTATTCATACCTTATGTTGTTCTAGCTACAGTCATGATTCCAGTTCTATTGATATCTTTGATTATTGGTGGAAGAGCAAAAGCTGCAATAGTGTTTTGCAAGTTTTTAAGAGGGATAGGCTTAGATTTGACTTTAGTGGAGATGCAGAACTTTTCTGACTTGGTATCAGGTAAGAAAAAGGATCATATTATAGATGAAGAAGCAATTGAATTGGAAAAATTGAGAAATTCAAATGTCATCACCAGGAAACAAATAGAGGAATATCCAATAAGTCCATTGAGTCCATTTAATAACGCACATGATTATCTTGTTCCACGAGAAGGTTTTATTGATTCTAAGACATATAAAAAAGTCATAGCTGATGATGATCAAAAGGTTAAAAGTGAAAGTTGTGCAATTTGTATTGATGAATTTGAAGATAATTCAAAAATGTATATTTTACCATGTCAACATTATTTCCATGCTAGCTGTCTTGCTCAAGAGAGGAAAGTTAATATGAGAGATGCATTAAGATGTCCGTTATGTAAATTGAATTTGTTGAGATATTATATTTATTATAAAGAACATGGATTAAATCCCAAATATAGTAAGTTTGATAATACCAAGGAAGTGGATCATACTGCTGAAACACCAGATGATACATGAATACCGCCTCTCATCTTCACTAGGTTCAATCAAACCAAAGACATACATTGAACATAGGGGCTACAATCTTACTACTAGCTTCCATAGCTGCATTCGGGGTCCTCGAGACATCAAAACATACTTGGCAAGATTTTAAACATTCAATTGATTGCCTGGATACAAGATACAAGATATAAAGTTGTAATAGTTAGCTGGTAATTACTGCTTTATAGAGCCATAAAGATTCACAAATTATATGCTGTTCTCAAATTTATTTTAAGAGGTTTAAACATGGGCCTGTGATCAAGTGATTTTCAGGATCGGTTAAATTGAAGAATTACAATTATAATTTAATCAAGTTTCATTTCCAGAAGCTTCAAAAGCTTACATATATACTCAATAAATAAATGGCTCAAAGTTCCTTGTGCTAGTTTATTTAAATTATAATCTGTGAACCATTGATAAAGTATCATCGTAGTGGATCTTAATTTTTGATGCTTATTCCTTTTCGCATTCTGAAGTTTGAACGTTAATCATACAATGATCTTCAATGTCTGATGTATATTTTAGCATAACGCTGCAACGTTTTATCCCAGATGAAAGTCCATGAGGACTCAAGTTTTGGCAAGTTATCAATATCCTGATATAAGTGTTGCTACATGTTTTCAATATCATTAGAATTTTATGATGAGTTTTATATTTTAGTAAAACTACACATTCTCTCTCAAAATCCAAGTGAATCAGTCTAACCTCAACTTTACCTGCCCAGCTTAACGGACGTTATCTTATGTCCCCACTAGATCTCTTGGTAAACGGTTCTACGTGGCGCCACTGCCGCTGGTGTCAGTCCTATTTTGGTGATGATATTCACTTTTGGGGAATTTATGTGAATTTAGGCTTAAGATTCAAAGATCCTACTTGAATGATCACCACAAAAAAGAGCCGACTCTTTACTTCACAAATTACAACGCGCACCGAGAAAAAGAGCTCTGAAGATTGACTTCTGGCATGGAAAAATGGCTCTAGAAAGCTGAATGCCTTATTTCGTGTGCTTTAAACTGGGCTACTTCTCTCAACTTTCAAGCCGTAGATTCGATGCCTCTAAAATTAAGGCTCTTTCTCTCACGAAGCGAATCGGTCAAATCGCCTGTTATAGATTATAATGCATCAATTAGTACATGTCTAATATGACTAGTAAATTGGTACCTTAAACCATACAATTACAGTACATACGACCTATTGGGTCTACAAATTCACTTTCAAAACCAAATAAACCGTATTCAATTAATCGGTAATCACTAATATACAATATAATCATTCAAATCATAAAAAGTTTAATTGAGGAAAGCAAAAGAAATCTTGAGATGGAATATCTAATAATGAGATTTTCCATTCAATACAAGTATTTGAAAGTTGGATGTTCATCACCAGCAAGGACAATAGCTTTTTCATCTTGAGCAAAAAATCTTTCTTTATATGAATCAGTTTGTTTGATACGGTTTCTTCTATTTAATAATACAACCATAACCAACATTATTATTATACTGAAAACAGTGAATGCAATACCAATACTTAAACCTTTAACATAACGAGGAGCATCAACAGCTAAGAAGATAAAAGTAGAGATAATACCACCGATATTACCAAACCCAACTTGATTTGCAGTACCGATTGATTTTCTTAAATGACCACCAAAATTCAATGCAGTCCAACAGACTAATGAAGGCATTGAAGAATATAACCCAGTTGCAACAAGGAAACAACCAGCATATCTACCTTGTGCATTATCATGTAATCCTAAAACTAATGCCAACCCAACAATAGCCATAAGACCTGATGAAATTGCAAATGGAGATCTTATTTTAGTATAATCTGATGCAACAGCAATTATATTTGTATAACCAAAAGCAGCTAACCATGGATAAACTGAATGTTGATTTGCACTAACTGCAGTATAACCCATTTCTTTAATAATTGTTGGTGAAAAATAAGCATAACCATATGATGGAATAACTAAAGCGAAATAAGCTAATGCAGTTAACATTAACATTGGATCTTTAAAAGTATTGAAGATATCTTTCCAGCCATATTCAACTTCAAACCCAGATTGAACTGAATGAATTTCTAGTTTTCTCTTGACAAAAGTTCTTTCAACATCATTTAAGAATCTTGCATTTTCTGGGAAATCTGGAATGATGAAATATAATAAAAATGCTAAACCTGCAGTGAATGTACCTTCCACAATAAAAATCCATTGCCATGAATTATATCCATGAACACCTTGTAAATCGTTAATTTTGTAAGCAATTGCACCACCAGCAGCACCTGCAAGACAAGTACAACTAAAGAAAGTTGAGAATCTTTTTTGTGATTCAACACCAGTATAATAAGTACTCAAGATGTAGAAAATACCTGGGAATGATGAAGCTTCAGCAGCACCAAGGAAGAAACGACATGCTAATAAACCTGAATAATTTTTAACAAATCCCATAGCTAATGTAACACAACCAAAGACTAAGATACAGCCAGATAACCAAATATGTGGTGAGACTTTCTTCATTGAATAATTTGATATGATTTCAAAAATAATATAAGGAACGAAGAAAATGGTTAAAGCGACATTGAATTGATCACCTTTTAAGTTTAAATCTTCAGCCATACCATAAACTTTTGCATTTGAAACATTGATTCTATCCAAAAATGCAAGGAAATAAAGTAAAATGAAAGGTGGAACAATACAAAGATCTAATTTCCACATCAATTTTTTTTCATTGATACCTAGTTCTTGAGCTAACTCGGTAGTTTGTCTAATTTTTTCTTCATCTGGTATAAAACTATCTTCTCTTTCATTATTTGAAAATGTCTTTTCCACATCATTTTGTGGACTTTCAGTTGAAGATGTCTTCTCTATTGGAGATTTTGACATCTTTGTATTGAAGTTTATTGGATATAATTGGATTGAATTTCAATGTAGGCTAAAAATCGTAAAGAAAGTTTGAGAGGATCTTTAAATTCTTTTATACCCAGGTACCTTAATCGTATTGTTTTGGAGAATGCGCATCTTTTGCACACTTTATGAATAATTTTTGTGAAAACGGCTAATTCTTATTCGAGTCGTACATCTTAACAAACTTGCATATAAAATGCATCAAGCTTTATGGATCTACCTCTTTGAATTATAGGTGTATTTTGGAAGCTAAGTTCTAACGTGAGGCGGTTATTAGTGGACAAATCTACCACGGCTCACGACAACATAAACCATCTCACTTGTAAGTAATTGAAGTCCTTGAATAACAGCTCTATAACTCTGTCTTACAATGGAATTAAAAGGCTAACTTAACTGTTTCGATAATTAAGTAGACAGCATAATATGTGTGTCATCCAGAATTGAGTCAAAGATTTTCTCCGGTTCAGGGGACACATCGGAAAAACCAAGTAGAGATTTATTCTGATAGAAAACGGTAAAGCTCTTGTCTACCTTGAATCATCCCAGTTCAGTTTTGACATTTTTAATGAAAAGTAAATCAATACTGATAAGCTTTTTAATTCAGCTCAACCTATGGTATATTTATTTTGAGCTATCATGGTTGCCTTTATTCCTATTAAACCTCTGCAGGTGAATTTAGTGAAGATGTCTGACGCACCGGTAAAGGAATACTAAGGCTCAAGTTCTGCGGGATGGAAACTTGTGAATTCAAGATTAGTCATATATTAGTTAGCCTAATACCTAATACGACGGATATCAACTACAATAATATTATCAAAAAAACTCAAAAACTTAAATTCGTTATAACGTATATATATATGACAATTGCAATCTTCAATTTTAAATAATTTTGTATATGGTACATAAATAATTAATTCATTATTCTAATTTAATTATCTTCACCTTTTGTTCTATTTCTTAAAATTAATCTACCACTCAACATATCACCAACTTCATTAAAATGTTCCCAATGAACATTCAAACCTTTTCTTAATTCAATGTTTGCTTCATTTTCCCATAATTGTTTGATTGAAGTGAATGTTAAATCTGTGCCTTCAATACCAATAACTGCAGCTGAAGTTTCATTATCACCCACAGTAGAGACTTTTTTACCATCAACATATTTGAATCTAAGACTTGCATCACTACCATCAAGTGTATTTGTATTAATTTTTTCATTCCATTCTTCAATAAATTTTGCACATTTGATGGCAAATCTTGATGCATTAACTCTATCTAAAGCAGTTGGAGCACCACCTTGTTGAACATGACCTGGAATTGCAGTTCTTGTTTCAAATTTCTTTTCACTCGATTCTTGAATTATATCAGCAATTAAATCAGTTGTGAAAATACTTGAAGCAGCTTCATTACGAATCAACATTTTACCTGATCTTGTATCACCTTTATCTTGTAAGAAATTTTCTTTTAATAATGCAATATCTTCTTGAATAGTTTTCAAAGTTGTCTTTTTTTCTGGAGTATAAACTGCAACAGCACCAGTGGCAAGACCAATATAACTGGCAATATAACCGGATTGACCACCTTGAACTTCAACAACAAATGCTCTTCTTCTTGATGATGAAGCAGATTGTTTAACTGCATCACAATAACTAACTAATGAGTTCAAACATGTATCAACACCTAATGAATATTCAGTACCTGGAACATTATTTGAAACAGTTGATGGGATTAAAGTTAATGGAATATTGAAAATTGGGAATTGTGATCTTGCTTCATCTAATTCTCTTAAAGCTCTAAAACCTTCAAATCCACCAACAATAATTAAACCATCAATTTTATATTTTTGGAAATAAAATGCAACATTACCTAAATCTTGAGATGGTAAAGTACGGTTTGTACCGATTTCTGAACCACCTAAATTATGCCAATCTTCAACATCAAACCAAGTTAAAGGTTTCATTGAGCCATGACGAATTAATCCACTGAACCCATTTTGAACAGCATATGGTGTATGGCCTCTTGATAAGGCATAAAGAGCAGCAGCTCTTGTTGCGGCATTTAAAGCAGCTGATGAAGCACCAACATGGATAACTGCAATGTTTAATCTTTTTTCAGCAGGCAAGATATGAGAACCATCATCATGTAAAGAAATGGATTGGAAATTTTCATAAGATTCAATAAAATCTGTATTTCTTAATTTAATAGCTTTATCAAAATCTTTATTTTCAATTGCTGTTGCAACTGATTTTGTTAATTTAACTGCATCAACTAATGGTTGACGAACAATTTTGTTTTCCAAAATACCAATTAATGGTGATGGATCATTTGGTGTTAAATCTAAGACAGCTTTAACAGCTTCAACACCTTGTAAAGTAGCCAACATTCTATCTGAAGCAACGGCAGTACCACCTCTTTGAACGTGACCTAAAGTGGTAATTCTTGTATCTAAACCTAATTCTACAAGAACATCTTTAACTTCTTCAGATGTAATTGGATTTAATTCAGAATCAAGAGCACCTTCAGCAACAATAACTGTAGTTTTTCTTCTACCTTTTTCTCTATGACGACGACAAACTTCTTTTAATTCATCTTTCCAAGTATCTTTATTTGCTGCACGTTCTGGAATGAAAATGTAATCAGCACCTGTTGCAATACCAGAATTTAAAGCTAACCAACCACAATGTCTACCCATAACTTCAACCACGAAAGCTCTTGAATGAGAAGTAGCAGTAGCATCAATATAATCAACCATTTCACAAATTCTTTCTAATGAAGAGTAGGCACCAATGGTATTATCAGTACCTGACATATCATTATCAATTGAACCAACTAAACCAACAATGGTTAAATGTCTATGAGGTCTAACTTGTTCTTCGGTGAAAACACCTGTAGAGACCAATTCATCAACTAATGATGGCCATTCAGATCTGAACAAATCAGCACCAGTTAAAGAACCATCACCACCACAGACAACAAGAGCATCAATACCATTTAAAATCATATTTTTAGCACCTTGTAATCTACCAGCTCTTTCTCTAAATTCTTTACAACGAGCAGTACCAATTAAAGTACCACCAAGAGATAACCAACCTCTAACATCTTCCCAAGCCATTTGTTTAATCAATTCATTACCAACAACAAGACCTGTATAACCTTCATAGACTGCAAAGACATCACATCCATAAAAGATACCAGTTCTAACAACAGCTCTAACTGCAGCATTCATACCTTGGGCATCACCACCTGATGTCATGACTGCAATTTTCTTCTTTTTGGAAGCTGATTGAGTTTCAACGTTTTCATCTGAATCAACTTGTGCACCGAAAACTGATGCATTAATTGCCTTATTGAATGGAGTTGGGAAATCAACAAATGTAATATTGTTACCTAATGGATCTTTTGTTACTATTGAATTAGTTTCATCTGGTTTTATATTCAAAATCTTGGAGATTTGATCAATATCCACAGTGAATAAGTTTAATTCACCTTCTAGTTCAGTTTCAAAACCTTGATTTTCCATATCTGGTGCAATTAATCTTAATTTGAGTACAACACCTTCGGATTGTAAACTATTAGATTCTTGTAATGGGACTCTGGAACCATTTTCAAATTGTGAGAGTTTGAAAGATTCTAGCCAGACTTCTCTAGAAGAATCATGACTGACACCTCTAACTGAGCTTGTAGCGTTTAAATCTCTTGTATAGTTTCTAATAAGTTTGAACCCTAGCGCTTTATAATATTTGACAGCTTCTTCAAAAGGCCTAATGTCCTTAGTTGCGAATGAAGTAAAGGCAACCCCAGTGACAGACATCTTATCCTTCTTTGTATTATGATATGTTTTCTATTGTTCTATTGTTCTTTGACCTGAAGTGAGTCCTGACAAGTTCAATTGAATCAAAACAAAAGGAATTGCTGAGCTTTTAAACAGCTTCAAATGTTCAAATCCATCACAAGTTGGCGCTTTCAGAATTCTATGCACCATGAGACAATCAACTGATTTAATTTTACTATGGGAAGAGGAAAAGAGCAGGGTAACACTTGTGGTCGCGGGTACATAAGGAAGCATATCATTATCATATCGGATCTAAAATTTAGATTGATTTAGATCTGGTGATAACTCTGGTTATAAGTTGTTCTTGGTGGTTGGTAATGCTCATAGTGCTTGTAGGAAATGGACTCAGTGTTCTCTTTACTGCGGCTAGGCTTATGGAGTTGTATAACAAGGTAGGACTCAGAATATTGATACTAGAGACAAATTCATTAGACACATTCCAAGTAGGTCCATTACCTTATTGTCTTACTTCAATCCCATATATACCATCCAGTTTATTACAAGATGCAGCTATCAATAATACGGAATCTTCCATTATGTTTTTAATGACCATTCATAGAGCTTCCAAGAGATCAATACCCAAGGCAATGAACAAACCAGTATCTAATGAGTCATTGATTGTACGACCATGTACACATCCAACAAATTCAATATCATATAATCCACAATTATATATCAATTATTTAAGACACAGACTTTTGAATTTCAAAAATATAAGTTTTGCTAAATTGGCAAATAAATGGGATTTAGAAAAAATTATAGATCAACTACCTAAAGATATACCAAATTTAATCTTCACATTAGAAAATGAATCAGTTGTCAAATTAAATGATTTATCATTATCTTCAGTTCATTGGGATGGTATTGCAAATTGGAAAATGCCAGAATATGCACATTGGATAAAGAAACACAAAAATTCAAATTGTAAAGTTAATCAAATCATCATTAAAGGGAATCCAATTTTCCAAATCATTTCAAATCATAATTCGTTTGATTTATGTGGTGCTATTTCAGGATCAGAAATTATAACTGGTATAATAGATCAACATATCATTAATAGTAAATTAAGATGGCCAAGATTATAAATGTATATCGGCTTAATGAATATAATGACTTACATGACTACACATCAACATAATTTTCATAAACATGTAATCATAAAATTTGTAAATATATCAACTATAAAAAAGCAAAAACACAGCTATCGGTGTCTCATTATAAATTCTTTTGTAAGAAATTAATAATATCATTCGAAATTTCTTCTAAATGAGTTTCTAAAGCAAAATGTCCAGTATCATAAAATTTCAACTCTAAATTCTTAACATCTCTTTTAAAAGCTTCACCTGCATGATATTGGAAAATATCATCATTTTTACCCCAAGCAACTAAAACAGGGACATTAGAATCTCTTAAATATTTTTGGAAAGATGGATATAATTTTTTATTATTTTGATAATCATAAAATAACCCAACTTGGATTTTGGTTTGACCAGGTCTTGTAATGAAATGATAATCTAAAGTACCAGGTAATGGATCAATAACTTCAGGCTTGGAAACACCATCATAATATTGTGACCAAGTATTTTTTGGATCATTAATGAAATCACCTAATGCTTTTTGGAAAAATTCATCATCTGGATTACCTGTAGCCCAATATTTTCTTAATGGAGCCCAGAAATCACTATCTAAACCTTCATCATAAGCATTACCATTTTGTGAAACAATAGCACTGATTCTTTCTGGATGGTTTAAAGCTAATCTAATAGCCACTGGTGAACCATAATCAAAGATATAAACAGCAAATTTATCCAATTTCAAAGATTCAGTGAATTGATCAATTGTTTTAGCTAAATTATCAAAAGTATGAACATAACCTTCTGGTGTTTCAGTGAATCCAAACCCTGGTAAATCTGGTGCAATAACATGGAAATGAGGTGCTAAGATTGGAATCAAATTTCTAAACATATGAGAAGAAGTTGGGAAACCATGTAATAATAAGAATGTTGGTTTTGAAGATGATCCAGCTTCTCTATAAAAGACTTTTGAACCATCTGGGACTTGAACGTATTGAGTTTTAACTGTTGAGGCCATATTGTTGATTGTAATATGTTTGTAGTGATTTATAAATATAGTAGGATTCTGAAAAGTTGAATGATATGGGTTCTTTGATTGTATTTATATCATTTTGATGTATATTTGCCATGAACTTCAAAATCCCCTATATTACGTATATGGGACTCAATCAAATGATCTCCACACTATTAATTAAAATCAACTTTAAAATGATCATTATTACTTCAAAATTCAATATAATTAGACTGTGTGATTCCTCATATCCATTTTTATGGTCTCTAATCAACTATCAGCTAGTTTTAACAATACAAAATGGGTCTAATCTAGTTTTTTTGCTTATTCACTTAATTTGTTCAGCTGTATGGGACTCAATCAAATCTAAATTTTAATTAGAACCCATCGTGAAGGGACACAATATGGTGGAATCTAAACCTAACTATTATTAATGAATTGTAAAGGGAAATGAGTTATAATCATCGGTCTCCTATTGTAATCAAAGATTTCCAAGCTTGTAATTGTATACACAGAAATATATTCAAACTGGTTTCAATTGATGTGCTTCTCATCAAGATTCAGTTTTGGTTACTCGGAGATGTTTTCTACTCATGAAAAATCAAAATCAAAACATCAACAAACGACAATACAGAACAAGTAAAACGAGAACATTAACGAACTCAAAGGATCAATGACAAGTGAAGAACCAGTGATACCTCAGAAACGCTCCATAGAAGACGACAAAGAAGAAAAAGATGAAAAACACGTCTATCAAACAAGATCCACCACTACAACTTCAATACCAAATAATCAACAAGATCAATCAATTACAAAACGTAAAAACATTATAATAAATAAATATAAACCAATAATTTCATATAAACCTATAGATTTTGAAAAATTTAATGCACCTTTATCCAGAGCAAGTTTCAATCCTGAGTTCCATAATATAGAAGATGTCCCATTCAATACAAGACGTGGATTTCAATATAGTCCATGTCGACCAAATCCAATTTTACCAGTGTTGAAATTCAGCTCATCAGATTTACCACCTTATACTCTTTCCTTAAGTTATTTTGATAGAGCAAATGGTACAGCTTTAAGTGAAGATTATAATTCAGTTATTACAGATAGAGGTTGGTTAAGCGCTAGAACTAATACTCCAATACAAGAAGGGAAAGTTTATTTTGAATTCAATATCATAAATTCAAATGAAACAAGTCATGTTAGAATTGGTATTGGTCGTAGAGAAGCTTCCATCGAAGGGCCAATTGGATTTGATGCTTATGGGTATGGACTTAGAGATAAAACAGGACAAAAATTACATTTATCAAGACCTCTTAATTTCATGAAGGAGGGCTTTAAAAGTGGTGATGTTATCGGAATGTTAGTTGAATTACCAAGTGTGGAATTTCAAGATGTTATAAGAGATCAAATTGCTATAAGGTATAGAAATCGTTTATATTTTGAAAAATTTGATTATGGACCAACTTCTAAAATGGAACATTTATTAAATCCAGTTACAGTTTTCGGTGAAAAAGCTATACCTGATCTTAATCCTTTCAAACCAGATTCATTACCTGGTTCAAATATTAAAGTCTATAAAAATGGTGAATTTATTGGAACTGCTTTTGAAGATTTATACGCTTTTTTACCACCATATTCAGAACAAAAAAATAATATAAATAAATTGAATAATAATGGTACTTTAGGATATTATCCAACAATTAGTGTTTTTAAAGGTGGTATTGCACAAATTAATCCAGGTCCTGAATTTAAATTTAAACCACAGGATTTAGATTCTGATGTTAAAGAATTTCATCAATTATATAATGAAAAAATTGCTGATGATATTGTATGGGATATAATTGATGAAATGGAAGCTGAAGAAATTCAATTAGCTATAGATACTTCAAATCAATAAACAATTATTCATCTTCTCAATCTTTTTTCACCAACTGGTAATGGACGTTGTTCTTCATTCATCCAATCAACTTCACAGTTTTCATTTGGACAATTTGACCCTTTTGCTCTAAAATAATGTAATTGACATTCTTTATGAAATTTAATATAACAACTTTCTTCAAAACAACGTAATCCAACTGTAACAATTTCATTACAACCTTTACATAAGTTAATTTGACCATCTGGATTTTTATTACTTCTAACACCATACTGATCAACCAAGAATCTTTTCAATTCTGATAATGTCCTTATTGATAATGAATATCTACCTTTTGAAGAACGATTTAACCAACCTTCATCAACTAATTGTTTGAGGAAATGTTCACTTTCAGATGCTGTAAGTAAAGCAGCTGTTGAACATATTCTAATTGCCTGGGAACTTGATATAACATAACTTTCATCTTCACTTTCAGTTATAATAAAATCAATGATTTTTTTAATGATATCAATTTCTTTTGGTGAATGATTTGTACTAATTTTAGAAGGAGCATCTGAAACTGTATTGACATAAACAAAATATAATTCTCTTGTATCTTGTGATCTTATCTTATCTATTTGATACCCCAATAAATGTAATTTATCATTAATTAAATCAATTGAAGTTTCCAAAGGTCTTTTCAATAATTCATGGTCTTCACCAAGCTCTTCTTCAAAACCTTTCTTTAATTTGTCATGTATCGTCACCAAGACCTCTTCTCTTGCAGTACCCACTGACACTAGGTATTGTACCACTGATCTCTCAATATCTGTATATTCACTCATGATTGTTCTCTTTAGCTTCTTTCAAACTCAGAAGTATCTATTAAAAAAGTCCGGTACGTAATTAATATAAATAAAAATCGCGTCGCGTAAAGTTAATAAAAATAAAAACCGGGTAAAAATGTCAGATCAAAATTTCGCGAATTTCTGATTTTGAACATTTGGCAATTGAAATCAAAAACAAAGAAAATCAGAACAAAATTATAACCGAATAGTAGAATATCAACAACTTCAACAGATCAACCACCAATTATAGAAGGGAATCAACAATGGCTTTCTACCAAAACAACCAGTTTCAAGCACAACCACAGAACCTACAGTTCTATCCAACACAATACGACCAATTCCAGAACTTTGGGAACATTAACAACAACCCGATCCAAGGTTCTATGGATTCAACTTATGCTTCAAATTATGATGTTTCAGGTTCAATGGGTGATCAAACTTTATCTACTGGTATACTGGCAGCCTTTTCCACATCTGGTTACTCGAATGAACCACCATTATTGGAAGAATTGGGGATTAATTTTAATCATATCAAATTGAAAACTCAAGCTGTTTTAAATCCAAGAGGGAAAATAACACCAGATATAATGATTGATTCTGATTTGGCTGGTCCATTATTGTTTTGTTTAATTTTTGGGACTTTCTTATTATTAGCTGGTAAAGTTCATTTCGGTTATATTTATGGGGTTGCATTATTTGGTACTATAGCATTACATTTTTTCTTTAAATTGATGAGTGAAAATTCAATAGATTTCACTAGAACTGCTTCGGTTCTTGGATATTGTTTATTACCATTAGTACCAATAAGTTTTGCTGGTATTTTTTTAGATTTAAATAATTTATTCGGATATGCATTATCTGCTTTTACTATTTTTTGGAGTACATTTTCAGCATCTGGGTTTTTTATTGCTGTGTTGAAATTGGATAATGTTAGACCATTGATTGCTTATCCTTTGGCTATGTTTTATAGTGTTTTTGTCTTGATGGCTATTTTCGTGGAGAAGACTGAATAAGTGTGTTTTATGATGTGGAAAAAAAGAAAGAGTATAGAACAATTTGCATACGAAACCAAAAGACGAGTTTCATAACATTGTAGCTCCTGAACTAAACTAGTGTATTTACTCGAATATTGTATAATATGATAGTATAATCAAGTGCCAATATTACTATAATTTGGGGGACTTTTATAAGCTTAAAAACCCGCGAATTCTCTAGTCATAATATTTTCTATGATTGAATATCAGATCCATCCATAGGAAGTTACGATGATAACTCTATAACCTTGAATATCCACCAGAAAGCGATGCTTAGAAAGTCTTCTGTGGTACCTAGAGCCTTCAAAAGACTCCAGAGTACAAAACCACTCTTCATCTCAACGCCCATTTTCTATCCCAATGCTGGTATGTTCCTAACTTCGACCCTCTGATGGTTGATATACTAACAAATACTTAATAGCTCCACATTTAGGTCATTTATATTCCATGTTACTATCTGATGTTCGTCATAGATGGGAAAAATTATCTTTAAAAGAATCATACTTCAGTACAGGTCTTGATGAACATGGTCTAAAGATTCAAAACGCAGCAGAATTAAAAGGTTTACCACCAAAAGAATTTGTGGATCAATTATCTGTAACTTTTAAAGATTTAACCAAGTTAGCACATATTGATTATGATAGATTTATCAGAACTACTGATGATGATCATATTCAAGCTGTCCAGCATTTTTGGAATGTTTTGAATGAAAGGGGATATATTTATGAAGGTGAACATGGTGGTTGGTATTCAGTGTCTGATGAAACTTTTTATCCAGAAGCTCAAATTTTTGAAAAAGAAGGGAAATATTTCTCTAAGGAAACAGGTACAGAAGTTACGTATAGTACAGAAAAGAATTATTTTTTCAAATTATCAAATTTTAAAGATCAATTAATCAAATTATTAAAAGAAAATCCAAAATGGATAATACCTGAACAAAAACATAAAGATGTCTTGTATGAATTAGAAACAAATGGATTACAAGATCTAAGTATATCACGTCCTTCTTCAAGATTACAATGGGGAATTCCAGTTCCAGGTGATGAATCACAAACGATCTATGTTTGGGTTGATGCTTTAGTTAATTATATCACTTGTGCCAAATATCCAAATTTAACAAACATATGGCCAGGTACACATTTAATTGGTAAAGATATCATTAGATTCCACTGTGTCTATTGGCCATCATTGTTATTAGCTGCTGGTGTTGCGTTACCTAAACAATTCATTGTACATGGACATTGGCTAGCTGATGGTTACAAGATGAGTAAAAGTAGAGGTAATGTTGTTGATCCAATCTTGATGGCTCAATATTATGATACTGATGTTCTTAGATTTTTCTTGTGTGAAAATTCTGTTTTGAATTCTGATAATAATTTTAGTGAAGATAGATTATTTAGTACAAGAGAACAAATTGTTGATAAATTTGGGAACTTAGTTATGAGATGTTGTGGACCAAAATTTGATGCTGAAAGAGCTATTAGGAATTTTGAAGACCATGATGTTTCCATTCTTGATGAATCATTCCAAACTGCTCAAAGAGAACTAGTACAAGATATCAATTTATTACATGAAAAGATGAACTCTAAAATGATTGAATTTAATACTTCGTCTGCTATCCAAGATATTTGGAATGTTTTAATCAAAGCAAATCAATTTTTCCAAAATACTGAACCTTGGAAAAGAACAGATCAAGAAAAAGATATCATTTTATTCACTGCACTCGAAACTGCAAGAGTTTCTGCAATTTTATCATTACCATTCATGCCTGATTTAGCCAAAAAATTCTTGAATAGAATTGGTGTTGATAAATTTGATTTTGAATATGCTAAATATGGTGCTGATTTAACTTATGGGAAGGGGATCAATAGAAAAGGTGATTTCCCAATCAAAAAGATCGAAATGAGAAAATCTGATTAAATGTACCTACATATGTCTAATCAGATCATTGAGATCATTAAATGTAAATAAATACTGTAATTTATATATGTATATAAAACGTTCCTTTTATGAATCTAATGTTATTACTTCACTTTCTAAAGTATCAGTATCCAATATAACAAATTGTCCAGTTTCACTGAATGTTGGAATTGCGATTAATTTCACTTTAGTAGTATTATCCAATTGTAACATTTTTGTTTCATACTTTGGTTGATTCCCCACGAAATAAACATGTGGAGTTTCTGTTAATGAGAAAGGATCTTTATCAGAATATGGATAACACCATAAAGTATCTGGAGCTGTTGGAATGATATTTTGCCAAACCATGGTTGCCTCGATCATATTAATTCTTGAGTCTTGTACTGAATTAGGCACAACATATTTGTAAATATCATTAATATTTTCACCACTTGTACCTAATAAACGTAATTCATCATATTGGATCCATGCAGGATTTGTTATTGTTCTAAAAGTTGATGTATTTAAATATGCTTTAGATTTTTGGAAGAATGCTTTATGTAATGGTTGTTGTGGTAAACTTGTTTCTGCTGGATCTGATTCACCAGGCATCATATCAATGGGTATGGATTGTAATGTATCCGTTAGGAAAGTATCTAGTTGTGTTATGGAGTCTAAACTAAAATTCGATTTGTTTTTAGCACCATATTTATTTTTTTCATCAACTTCTGGTTCACCAGATACTAAAACTGAATTACCTGCAATGATTAATCTTGAAACGGATTTAGAGGTTTCTAGACCTAGCTCCCCTGTTAAATAATCTTTGAGTGCTTCATGTTTTATTGATTCTAGTCCATTAAAATGTAGACCTGAAACAATTGCAACTTTAGATGATGATTTTCTTGTTGGTTTTTGTGCAGATGTGAAAGGATAAACTATATCAACAACTTGGAAGACACCAGGTCTTGATTCCATTCCAAGAATACCCACGACTGTACCAGTTACTAATATTGTGTTTTTAACTAGGTCACCTTCTAATGCAACTCTACCTGATTCATCTTCAAGCATGATTTGATCTAAATCTGGATCTGTATATGTCTTGATACTTGTATCTGCACCTTGAATCCCACTAGATACCTCATCAAGAATGTTTGGCTTATATTTCATATCACAAAATATAGTTCCCACGACCCAACTTGGTTCATCACTATGAATATCGAGGACTTTTTCCTTCTTGACAACTTTTTTACCATTAACCACTTCTTCACCCCATTTCTTTTTGGCATTGTGTAGCACTCTTGGTCTTAAATGCGCTAAACGTGTGGCATAGATAGATGCATATTGCTTCCCATATGGTCTATCATTGAACTCCAGACTATACAAGTCTTTATTTTTAAAATCTGATGGAACGTTGATGGTTGATCTTGTGCTTTGTTCACCATGGGAAGGTCCACTATATATATTGTTAGTTATCTTTCTCTAAACCCAAAAGAGAGAAGGCCACACTCACTCATAATCCACTAAAAAATCAGTCATATCCTCAGAAATACTAGGCATCGTTTCTGGATGTGTTCAAATATACTGAAGTTTAGCTTCCAATTGTTGTTATTATATGGCTTAATTTTAGAAGACGCGTAATATATTAAAAAAATATACGGTACACGCGAACGCTCAAGCTCGCGACCGCGTTTTGTAATTTCCTGTTCTTTAAAAACATGACAATATCAAACAGTTGAACACGCTACATCAAGTTCAATAATGAATATATATATAATTTGCAAATTCATGAATATTTTGTATAGGTAAGAAGAACTAGAATCTCTCAAAACTATAAGACTATTATATTTAAAGCGAATGTATATCTTATCTATCTCCTCTATAAATATTCTTCTTCATCTTCTTCACCCAATTCTTCATCAGAATTAACATTTAGATGAAGTAACTCCCATGGATGATCATTATCACCAGCAGTAATTGATCTAGTGATTTTCAATTAAGCTTCATCAGACTTCTCATCGAAATCGCTTGAATAGGAGTTACTATTGAATATCTCAACAAGAAACACAAATTATGAATTTTAGTGAGTCGGAATTGGTTTAAGTTGATCCTCGCTCAAACCAGACAAGAAAAACCCGCCACCACCACCACCTAGAAAAAACAGAAGATCACATACTAAGCATCAAAAGGAAACAACAACAGTGTGACTATGACAATTATTTCAAGCGAACCATACTTTGCTAAATATTGAAGCTATCATAAACAACAACAGTCAAACCCCGCGATCAACCATTTCCGAGAGCTTCGCGAATTTTTTCATCTTTGTGTTAACTACTATAGCTATGAATTATTCCCAACTCCTGGTAGTTAAGAGATTATTCCCAACTCCTGGTAACTAACAAATGATTCCCAACTCCTGGTAGTTAAGAGATTATTCCCAAAATTATTCCTATCTTCTGGTAGTATAGTTTAAGAGAATTTATAGCGCATCAATCAGAATTCGTATTCTACATCTAATTCAATAATAAGTATTTAATTTGCAAATTTATGAATATTCTGTATGTAAATAAGAACTAGAATCTCTTAGAATTAGTGTCAAATTTAAAGGGAATGTATCTTATTTATCTCATCTAATCTTCTTCATCATCTTCTTCATCCAATTCTTCGTCAGAGTTAACATTTAAATGAAGTAACTCCCATGGATGATCATTATCACCACCAGTAATTGTTCTAATAATTTTCAATTTAGCTTCATCAGATTTCTCATCAAAATCAACTCTTGCTCTTTGAAATTCTGGAATATCAGTCTTATGACCAACAGACATTCCAACTCGAACTAAAGTTTCAATACAATCATTTGAATTTCCCACGAGATCAGAATCAAATTCCATTGAACCTTTTGTGAAAAGTGTCAATATAGTAGAACCACCAAACTTAAAATATCCTAGTTCATCTGCTCTATTAATATCATCACCTTTTCCCACTGTCAAAACAGTTGAACCAACCATCATTGCACCAACAGCAATCACTATAACTTTCCCAAACTGTTCAGTTTCAATTGGGACAATAACACGAACATTTTCTCCGAAAACATCTAAATCTGATCTAATGGCCATTGGATTGACTGTATAGTATTCACCTTGAATATAAACAGGTTCACCAATTACACCATTAACTGGTGAATGAAATCTATGATAATCTTGAGGAGCTAATCTGAAAACTGCAATTGAACAATCCTCAAATGATTCCAAATCATTTTTGAATTCTTCACCTAATAATTTAGCAATAGAAAAACTTCTACTTTTGATCCATACTTTTGTTGCACTTGAAACATTATTAAAAGCAGTACAGCGAGAATCTGCAGGAGAAACCACAATTTTTTCATCATTAGATTCTGGTGGTCTTGAGCCTTGACGTAATTTCCTATAAAAAAAATCATTAAAAGTTTTGAAATCTTTGGATTCACATTCTGATAAATCTAGTCCATGGAACTTTATAAATGAATCAATATCTTTGACAGAACTTGGTGAATCAAATCTAGCTCCTTGTCTTACCGATAAATTTTTCAATAATGTTTTAATACGTCTTGAATCTGCACCTTTACCTTTATAGAGTAATCTAATACCTAATCTAACATAAAGTGCCATTTTTTCTTCAATAATGAACCCAGTTAATCTATCTTGAACCAAAATATTTGCATTATTTTTCCCAAATGCATATTTCCCATACGCAAATTTGATTAAAACTTTTGAATACCATCTTTTAGATGCCAACCCTGCAGATGCAAAACTTTTTAACTTATCACCTTTAGCAGAACATATAGCAACATGTGTAATCATATCATTTTGTTTCCTTTTACCACACAGGGGACATCTTTCAATTTGAACGTTAAAATGTTGTAGTACTTTAATTATTTCTGGGATTGTTAAGACATCTGACATTGTTTTATCATTGATTTTATAAAATGAAATCAATTCTTCATTTATGTTCAAATTATCTAAAAACATATCTAGTTGAATGATATCCAATGTTTCCCCATATTTTGAAAGGACAGATTGCCATAAAGCGTCTTTTAAGCCCGAATAGTTTTTATACTTGATTCTAAATTTTAATGAGGGATGATAATCCAAATCCTCTTTAAATAATGTTAATGGTAAATCAAAACTTCTAAAATCAGATTCTTCTTCAATCCCACTCAAAGATATTGAACCAAATGCAACTTTATCATGGAATGATATATGATCTTTATCCAAGATATTGAAAACTAAATCATAATGACGTTCATTTGTCAATACTTCAAATGCTAATGTTTGATTCCATACAGGTGTTAGCGTATGTTTCCTCCATGAAGTTCTAAAAGTTTTTTTACCAAACGATATAACAACAAATGGATCCATATCAAACCCTTTTTGAATAAATCTTTTGAAAGGTGGTAATCCATCTGCACTTTCAATTTCCAAAAATACAACACCGGCAATTGATGAACCAGATTTTAAATGATGTGATGTTCGTTTTCTTGCTAGGGATTGTACAGAAGGCTGTATTATTTGTTGATTGTTATCAGACATTGAAAAATCACTTGAATAATATGAATCATAATTTGAATTGGAAGCTGTTGACCCTGAAACTGGAGGTGGTTGTAAATACATTGGTTTGGGGGTAAGTAAACCATTCCCAGAAGATGTTGCAGAATTTGTAGTTGCTGTAGATAACAAATTTGATGTTTGAGATTTTGTCGATGTTGAAGTTGTTGTTGAACTTGATGGTGGTGCAGAATTTGAATGTTGTGTTAAAGAAGAATCTGGATATGGTGAACTTGAACGAGATGTGATTTGACTCAATAACTGGGGTTCAGGTGTTGATGGTGTAGTGAATGAATCTGAGCTTAAGTTTATATCTTTAAATCCATCAATAGCATCTCTAGGTTCATCCACCAGAAGAGATTCAACATCAGTATCAGTATCTGAATAATAATCTTGGTCATTTAATTTAATTGATTTATCACGATTAACCAACGAAGTTTGCCAAATCTTGAAATTCTTAACAATATCACTTTTGGCTTTCAATTCAAACCCAACTTTTATTGATCCAGTAACAAAAGTTTCTTGAGTCTTGGATGAATGTAATCTATACCATTTTGGTGGAATTATAGTACGCGTTAAACCACGTTCATTATCTTCAAAAAGATCAATAATATTAAGCCTTAACTCTCCTAAATAAATTGAATATCTTCTATGTTTATCAAATATCCCAATGTGTAAGATAGGACCCCCTAGATTGTAGCCTGAAAGACGTAATTGAAGTGATGTGTTGAATGTTGGATTAGCCGTATGTTTAATTTTATGGGTTCTTTTAGTTTGTCCATTGAATGCAAGACCTGCAACCTTTAAATTCACTAATGTTAGCACTAGTCATACTCAGGAAGACTCTATTTCATTTATACTCACGATGTTACAAGATTTGGGGCTGGTCAAGACTAGATCTTTCCCCTGTTTTCAAACTCCTGTTAGTAATTCAGCCCTATACTTGGAGTTAGACGCTTTGAAAACTTACCTCTATTATGTTGACTTTCAAGTCAATTCTTTTCTTGACATTCCTGCTCTTCTTCCTCTTGGGTATTATCTTCATTATGGTGTTCTTTTGATGCTTGAATGGGATATGTAACTCTGGTGTGTGGTGGATTTGACAGAATGTTTGCTTATTTGATAGATCTCAATTCTCAAATTTGATGAGATGAATTAACCGATAATTTTCAGCCTGATTTCGAGAATGACTAGGCTGATAAAAGTGGATCAATGGCAATGGGAAGACGTAATCTGTGTAATAATAGCACCTGTTTGTGCTTCCAATGTGTAACGAACTCTCAAAATAGTAGAACCAACCACTTGTTTGTAGGCTGAGATGAGAGCATAATAGTGACATACACATTGATGTCTGGGCTGAGAAGCGGCCGGTTGGGACCACTCTGTTCTCCTCGCGAATGTGTTGATGGCTTCTTTTGTTGAGAATAAGAACCAGAGCATTCAAAGGGTTCTTCAAAAAGAAAGGAACGAGATATATCCAGAGAACAAGGTTTGAGATGATTGACCAGTTCGTGATATTCACCCCGTCAGGGCTTGTGCTATATCGCCATGCTCCTAGAAAGATACCAGACTCTGTAATCAATTCATTGATCAGTAATGTCTTCATTTCTGATAATGCCAGATCACTTGATGATGATGCACAAGTGGATACTTATAATACCGGGAACTCTACAATCAAGTACAAGAGTGTGAACAACCCAAATATAGTGGTTGCCACAGTATATCCTTCATTGACTCCATTGAAATATTCAGAAGAATTGGTTGATGTGGGTGTTAAATTATTTGTTGAATTATTGGGTGATGGTATAGTGGAAAATATTGGGAATCAAAAACATCCATTGTATCAATTAGAAGAAGAACGTGTTAAATTTGATAGATATTTGAAATCTAAATTAAGTGATTTTGAATTACAAAGTCAAAATTCAAATGCTGAATCATCACCATCATTGGGTGATAAAGAATTAGACAGTGGAGCATCAACACCAAATAAAAAGACTAATGGTGGTAAATCCACCAGTAAAAACACTAAGAAGTTCCGTAAATGGGGTGCTGATGGTATGGTTGAAGAAGATTCAGATTTCCAATTAGATTTTTCTTCTGGTGATATTCAACAAAACTCAAATTCAGCTCAAACTGAAAGTTCATTAGCATCACAAATCGATACTGAAAATTATGGTAATAAAGATAGTAAAACAGGTGCATTTTTAGTTAAAGATTTAAATGATGAAATTGAAGCTATTTTAAACAGCTCTAAGAAAAAACAACAAGAAACTAAAGAACCATTTGGATTTTTGAAAAAATTTACTGGTGGTAAAACTATAACTTCTGAAGATATTAAATCAACTTTATCAGAATTACAAAATCATTTAATTAGAAAAAATGTTGCACCAGAAGTTGCACAACATTTAACACATAATGTTGAAAAAGCCCTTGTTGGTTCTAAGACTAAAAATTGGACTAGTATACAACAAACTGCAAAAGAAGCATTAGCAAACGCATTAACTAAAATCCTTACCCCAGGTACCTCAGTTAACCTTTTACAAGATATTAGAGCCAACAAGAAACCATATGTTATTTCAGTTGTTGGTGTTAATGGTGTTGGTAAATCAACAAATTTATCCAAATTAGCATTTTGGTTATTACAAAATGATTTTAAAGTTCTTATTGTTGCATGTGATACGTTTAGATCAGGTGCTGTGGAGCAATTACGTGTTCATGTTAATAATCTTAAAAGATCAAATGAAGATCAAATTGAATTATTCGAAGGTGGTTATGGTGGTTCTGATTTAGTTGCCAAAATTGCTAAAAATGCTATAGAATATGCTAAAAAGCAAGAATTTGATATAATATTGATGGATACAGCTGGTAGAAGACATAACGATGCAAGATTAATGGCACCATTAGCATCATTTGCCAAAGCTGCTAATCCAAATAAGATTATTATGGTTGGTGAAGCTCTTGTAGGGACTGATTCTGTTCAACAAGCTAAAAATTTTAATAATGCATTTGGTGCTGGTCGTACCTTGGATTTCTTTATCATAAGTAAATGTGATACTGTGGGTGATTTGATTGGGACAATGGTTAATATGGTTTATGCTACCAATATTCCAATTTTATTTGTTGGTGTGGGTCAAACTTATACTGATTTACGTACTTTAAGTGTTGAATGGGCTGTTAATATCTTGATGAGCTAAAAACTCTCAATATATCAGCTCTACATACACCTGTTTTCATTCACTTGATTTTCTTTTCATTCGGTATATAATTTTGTTTTAATAATTTTGAATTTAATATCTATATTTGTATATTTGTATTTTTGTATTAACATTACCCAATCGGGAAGTCAACATTGTCGCGAAAACGCGAAAGTTTTAAATCACCAAAAATTGTAAAAAATCCATTGTGCACGAAAATTGAAAATTCAACTTTGGATTTTGGATCAAAAGAGCGGAAAGCGCTGGAAATAACAAGTGAAGATTAGAAAATTGGCGTGAGAAGCTGAACATCAATTGCACAGATCATTGCAGCGGTTAAGATACAACAGCTACCATTTGCTACTTTAGATTCAGCAGATTATAGACATTAATTGCTTGTGTTTGTGTTTGCTTTAAACCAGGGATAATTACACACACTGTATTGTTATATAGGTGAAAGTACGTACAGAAAGTGTCAATTTTGGAGATATACAAGAAAAAGATATACAATTTGTTCAAATCTTATTCCAAACAAAACAAATCAATTATCATAAAACAACATCGTGTCATTGATATAACAGGATTCAAAACACGTTCAGTTTTTTGCCTTCAAAATTAGTCAAGTTTCAATCAATTTGTCAAGATTACTTCACAATTTATAGTTTCATTCAAATATAGCACCGATAATATGGGTCGTCCAACGAGGGCTCATAAAGGGTTGCCAGAATCTGATCAAGATGACGAAGAAGATATTTCACTTTATTCAAGACGTAAGAAACAAAGAATTAATTATGCAGAAGTTGAAAATGGATATGATCAACTCTCAGAATCTGATGATGAAGATATCAAGAAACCTGCAAGGAGATCTAAACCTGAACCTGAACCTGAGTCTCAAGAAGATGAAGATATAATAGACTCAACTCAACCTAAAGATGAAGAAGATGATGATGATGATTTCACATTAGGTGGTGGTGGTGGTAGAAGCCGCAATTCAAGAACTTCAAATAGAAATAGTAGGTCTTCAAGATCTAAAGTACGTGATGATGACGATGAATTCAAAGAAAGTGACGAATATAATAGTGAATATATCAGTGATGAAGATTTATCAGATACTAAAAATGAAGATCAAAGAAGAATGAGAAATTTCATTTCAAAAGATGATGATGAAACAGATGATGGTGAATATTATGATAAACCAAAGAGAAGAAGAAATAAGAAACTTCAACGTGGACGCAGTCGTGGTAATAATCGCTCTCGTAACTCAAGACATTCAAGACGTTTACCTAAGGATGAAGGTGATGATGATGAATCAGAAGATGAAGAAGAAGTTACATTACCAAATGATGATGAACCTACACTTAATGATGAAGAAGGTAACAATACACTGCAGCAAGAACTGGAGGATTTGAAGAATGATTCTGATAATCCAAGAAGAACAAGAAGAGGCCGTGCACTAGCTGATTCTGATAATTCACCTGCACCAAGATCTTTACGTGAACGTAAAACTGCAGTCAACTATACAATACCTCCACCATTAACAGATCCTGCTTTAGAATTACAATTTTCCAACGTTCAACCTTCAACACCAAGAAGAAGAGCAGGTGCTGCTGCTGGTCCAATAAGGAGATTGTTCCCAACAGGTGGTCCATTTGGTGGTGGTGATGTTACTTCAATTTTTGGTAAAAACTTAACTCATTTCAATGCAGGTGCTGCAACTGGTAGTACTGGTGGTAATTTATTAGGTGGTGCGGATTCTGATTCTTCAGACGATGAAATTATACCCGTTGGTGGTGCTTCTGCTAAAAGAAACTCAATAAGTGCTCCAGTTGGTATGAAAAATAATAATACTAAGAAACAGAATGCTGAAATAGATCCATTAGGTGTTGACATGAATATAGATTTCACAGCTATTGGTGGGCTAGATAACTATATTAGTCAATTGAAAGAAATGGTTGCGTTACCATTGTTATATCCAGAAGTTTACCAAAGATTCGGTATAACACCACCAAGAGGTGTCTTATTCCATGGTCCCCCAGGTACTGGTAAAACTTTAATGGCAAGAGCATTAGCTGCAAGTTGTTCATCTCAAGGACGTAATATCACTTTCTTCATGCGTAAAGGTGCTGATTGTTTATCCAAATGGGTTGGTGAAGCTGAAAGACAATTACGTTTATTATTTGAAGAAGCAAGAAAACAACAACCAAGTATTATCTTTTTTGATGAAATTGATGGGCTGGCTCCTGTTAGATCTTCAAAACAAGAACAAATCCATGCTAGTATTGTTTCTACAATGTTGGCATTAATGGATGGTATGGATAATAGAGGTCAAGTTATTGTTATTGGTGCTACAAATCGACCAGATGCTGTTGATCCAGCTTTACGTCGTCCAGGTAGATTTGATCGTGAATTTTATTTCCCATTGCCTGATATTAAAGCTAGAGAGCAAATTTTAAAAATTCATACTAAAAAGTGGGATCCTCCATTACAACCAGAATTCACTGATAAAGTTGCTCATATGACAAAAGGATACGGTGGTGCTGATTTAAGAGCCTTATGCACTGAAGCTGCTTTGAATAGTATACAGAGAAGATATCCTCAAATTTATTCTTCAGATGACAAATTAAAGATTGATCCTTCTACAATTCAAGTTGCTGCTAGAGATTTCATGAAGGCTTTGGATAAAATTGTTCCATCTTCTGCTCGTTCAACTTCAAGTGGTTCAGCTCCTTTACCGGAACATTTAAGCTCTCTATTGAGTCAACCTTTGGAAACTATTACGCACAAATTAGATAAGATCATTCCAAGGGTCAAAAAACTTTCTGTATTGGAAGAAGCACAATTTATTGATCCAACTGAAAATGATCATGATGGTGGTTTTGGTAAACATGAATTGATTAAGCGTTTAGAATCATCAAGAGTTTTCCGTCCTAGATTGTTAATCTCTGGGGATGCAGGAAATGGTCAATCCTATTTAGGTGCGGCTGTTTTGAACCATTTAGAAGGTTTTAATGTCCAATCTCTGGATCTAGGTGCGTTATTTGGTGACTCAACAAGAACTCCTGAAACTGCAATTATTCAAAGTTTCATTGAAGCACGCCGTCACCAACCATCAATTATATTTATTCCAAATGTTGATATTTGGTATTATGCTGTCTCAGACTCTTCAAAAGCTACACTTTCAGGATTGTTAAGATCTGTCAGTTCAAATGAAAAAATTTTATTACTTGGATTATCAGAAACACCTTTTGAAGAACTTGACTTGGGTTTAAAGAACTTATTTGGTCTTGCTGAAGCCAATCACATCAATTTAGGTAAATCTAATGAAGAACAACGTGAAAAGTTCTTTGAATCGTTATGGATAGCATTAAAGATGAAGCCAACTGAATTTTTAGATTCAAGAAAAAAGAGAAAACTCGAAAAATTAGAAAAAATAGAACCTGAAGTTAAAGAAGAAAAACTTACATTAAAATCATTTGAGAAATCAGATATGAAGTTAAAAAATACATTGAAAATTAAGTTATCTGGTTTAATGGATCTATTCAAAAATCGTTATAGAAAATTCAAAAAACCAATAATTGATGATCATCTATTAATTCATTTATTTGAACCAGAAGACGAAAATGCTCCATTACGTCCATATTCTAAAGATGGTGATATGATTGTGGAAAATGCTACAGGTCGTCGTTATTTCAATATGGATCTTGATATTGCAGAAGAGAGATTATGGAATGGTTATTATTCTGAACCAAAACAATTTTTGAAAGATATTGAAATGATTTATAAAGATTCTGTTACATTGGGTGACCGTGAAAGATTGATTAAAGCATCTGAAATGTTTGCAAATGCTCAAGTTGGTGTTGAAGAAATCGCTACACCAGAGTTTGCAACTGAATGTAAAGCTATGCGTGCTAGAGAAGCTGAAAGACAACGTCAACATGAAGAAGAATTGCTCAAGATCAAACAGATTGAAGAGGCTCATAATCAACTTGTTGTTAATGATGAAGGTGTTAATGGTAAGGATTTCGCTAATGAAGACGTTATTGAAACTGAAGATCCATCAACAGCACAAACTCAAACTCAAATTCAAACTCAGGCTCAATTAGTTCCGGAAGGTGATGAATTAGTTAATGATGCTGTTGATCAATCAGTTATTTCCGTTGGGGATGTTACAATTAATGATGCTGATCCACAACCTGTTGAAGCTACAATTAATGGTAATGGTAATAGTAACAAAGAAATTGAAGAAAGTGGTGCTGATGATGGTGATATTACCATGTCTCCAAAACATCCATTGAATGATGTGGTTTTAGAAACTAAAGAGGATTTAGTAAATGGTGAAGTTAAGGATGAATCAACACCTGTTCGAGAGGAAAAAATTGAAGAAATAGATGAAGCTATAGCTGAACCCGAACCGGAATCTGAATCTGAACCCGAACCTGAAGAACCTGAACCACCTTTCGAACTTGATGATTCAAGACTAGAAAAACTTCAAAAGACCTTAATTGATGAAACTGATGAATTGACAGTTGAACATCTAGAACAAGTCAATGCAAGATTAATGGATATAATATGGGAAGACCACCATACTTGGAATAGAAATGAAACATTGAGTAAGCTTTCCAAAGAGCTAGCAATAATATCTACAGAATTGTAAAAGTATAAGTTTTTAATGATTTAATTGATTTAATGTATGTACATGAAAACTGTAGTCTATGCTCTATATATATATATTATTAAATCTTATTCAATTCTTTCAAATGTTTAGCAACTTCTAAAACCTTTTTATCGTCACCATATTGACCAATAATTTGTATACCAACAGGATTACCAGAAGTTGATTCCCAAGGAACCGAAATAGCAGGAAGTCCACAAAGAGAAGCTGGGGTAACGAACATATCATTCGCATAAGCTTCAATGGATGATTCACTCATATATTTCTTCAAAGTTGGTGGTGTAGACATTGAGACTGGTGCGATTAAAATGTCAACACCATTTTTAGGAGCTGATGAATTGGTTAAACTATTTGGTAGAGCAAATATTGAATTGAATTGTGATTTCATGGCTAATCTAACATTTTGAGCTTTCAAAAATGAGTTTTTGAAAGAATCAGCGTTTAAATTGAAATTACCTAACGTTATTCTTGTTTTAACTTCTTTACCAAATCCTTCAGTACGTGTCTTAGCATAGTTATTTTTATCATCATCTGATCTATATCCATACCGTATCCCGTCAAATCTTGATAAATTTGATGCAGCTTCAGCAGGTGCTAAGGTGTAATAAGCAGGTAGAGCATATTTCAATATTGGAATTGATACTGGGATTAAATGATGATGATCTTGAACAGTACTCAACATCTTTTGCCAAATTTCTTTAACATCTGGTGAAAGGTCATTAGCACCTAATTGATTGATCAGACCAATTCTTAGTTTATCTATACTTCTATCTCTCAAATGTGTGGAATCTTCAATTTTGTTTCTGATTTCTTGACTTAATGAAGTTGGATCTTTTGAATCATATTGATTCAATACATCATAAACATTTCTAACCAAATCAACGTCTTTAGCTAAAATACCCACTGTATCTAAACTTTGAGCATATGCCACCACACCCCATCTTGAGATTCTACCATAACTTGGCTTGAAACCGAAAACACCAGTATAAGCACCAGGTACTCTGACCGATCCACCAGTATCTGTCCCCAATGCAAAATCAGCTGTATCAGCAGCAATAGCAGCAGCTGAACCACCAGAAGAACCTCCAGCTGTATATGGTTCAACAGCATTCTTTATGGTGGGGTTTATAGTGGATCCAAAGTAAGAATTTGTAGTACCACCTCCCATACCAAACTCATCAAGATTTGTTTTACCAATCGTTATAGCACCAGCTTTATTTAACAATGTCATTACTGTAGCTTCATATGGAGACGTATACTTTGCTAGCATCTTGGATGAGCATGTTGTAGGTTCTTCTATAGTGGCAATGTTATCTTTAATAGCAGCAATTTTATTAGAAAGTAATTGTGAACTATTTGAAATTTTGGGTATGGTTATTTGATCTTGCGATCTTATTGAAGTGTAGATGTTGTACTTCTCATTCTGGGCGATAGCATGCTTCAAGATCTCTGGAATCCTGGAAGCAATTGTGCTCATCCTTTTAGCCTATAATTCTATCTGACTCTAGTCTTTTGAAGTGGTTGAAGTTGGAATTTGAGCTTCTCTTATCAAGCAATTGAAATCTCTGACTTTATATAACTTGCCAGAAATTTTACAAGAACTCGCGAGTCGCGACCACTTTTTATTGTTTATGTTTGGCTTTCAAAACATCAACAAAGAACAATTGAGTACGTTTGATAAGTTCAATTGGTGGTGAAAAGTTTATGAAAATGTCAAGATTTGATGATTTGAGTGACATTGTGAGTAATAAACTGTATTTTCATGTCTTTTCAGCGAATTCTAACAATAATGTTTGCAGGATTTGGATTCCCAGGAGGTTTATGAGACTTCAGATGTTGAAGAAACATTTGATCTCCATGAAGAGAAGCTAGAAAGAAGGGATTCTATTGTTGAAGGTGCTGTTGATGTTGATAAGAGTATGTCGGTGTTTGAGAAGAAGATGGTGGACTCACACGTCACAGATTTTAGTGATCGCATAGATAGATTGGATCATACCTATGAAACTTATGAAGTTAAAGAGACTCTAGCTAATAAGATTAGTAGAATAAGGAAAGAATTGGAAGAATTAGAAGATGAAATAGAAAAAGAGGATTTAGTGAATGAAAAGGAAGAAGTGGCAAAATTACAGGAAGTTTTCCAAAAACTTAATACTAGAACTAAAGATAAGAAGATAGTAAAACTAGATGATGCTTTGCAAATAGATTCAAGTGAGCCATCAGCACCTTTACAGATCCAACAAGCAATTGAAGATCCATTCAAGATAGAAGAATATGACAAGAGACTCAATAAACTTGAAAAGGCCATTGGTGAAGAGAGAATGGATAAATCAATTCAAACACTTATAAATGATCTATTCAGGAAATTCAAACTTTTATCAAATGATGAAGATTCACTCGAAAAAATCAAAGAAATTATAGATCAAGTTAATCATAAATTTGAAAAATCTATTACAACAAGAAGATCATTAGATCCCTCTATTCAACATGTCTTGGATGAAGATGCTAAGATTAATGAAATTTATACCAAATTTACACAAACTCAAGAGTTTAGTAATGATTTACCATTCTTAATCAAACGTCTCGAATCATTAAATGAATTACATTTGAAAGTTAATAATTCTGTACAAACTGTTGATTCTATGGAGCATGATTTAGATAAATTCACCAAAGATTTAGAATCATGGGATGAAAATTTAATAAAATTAGAATCAAAATTGGATACATTAAATGAATCATTTGAACTAACGAAAACAAAACATAATCTATAAATAACGCTATATAATTTAATATCCTAATGAATGATGCTATACATCCACATCTATATAAGGGGCGAATTCCTTTTTATTCTTATCTATTGTTTTGGACATTTCATTTGCATCTAACCAAACATTCCCCAAGTAATTATAATTGAAACTTTCTTGTTCGTTAACTTTAATAACAGTTCCATGACGTTCTTTCCCATTTGATTCAATAACAGGACTAACTGCACAATACGTATATCCGGAACACATCGCCATATTATACCAACCTTGAATCCTTTGTTCATGATCTAAATGTTGTTCCTCAGAGGACCAGCCCAAGTATAAATCATCAACTTGAGGTGGAACAATAACAGCACTAACATTTATACCACCTCTATAACGTTCCATTAATGTATCTAAAGTATATCCAGGATAATGTTTCAAATCTCTACCAGCACCACCATTTTTACAAAATTTAAAACCTGAATTTATCCAAAGTATAGTATCATTATAAACATGAACTGGTTGATTTGAACAAATTTTCTCCTGTGTACCATTAACTATAATTTCACCTATAGCACCTGCCCCATGTTTATTAAAGGCAAAATTTTCAGTCCCGCTGATTGCCTGTGATAACCAAAATAATTCTTTATCACCCCAAACTCTCTTTGTTGCAGTATTCCAAAGGACTAATTGTAATGCATGAAGTAAACCTGGGAAATGTGTTGATCTATCCATTAATACAACACCAGCTTCTACCAAATGCGTAAAACCATGGAAATATCGATTATCTAAAGTTTGTGAAGTTGCACTTGGGGTACCAAAGTTGGAAGATTCATATTTTGTTGGCATTAATTTTTCCCAAAAAATCTTGTCCTGGTCTGATGATCTATTTATTAGTTCACGATCTCTGAAAAAAAAGGCACCTTTTTCTTGAAACTCTGGAATTTTCAATAGGTCTTGAGGAGATTTAAATAAAATGATATCTGCATCCATAAATATGGCTTTTTGGAATGTAGTAAATAAAGTTGCTAATAATTTATTTGAATACATTTTAAAATCTTTTGAGTGACTTTTACTTATTGTTGGTTGAATGTTTAAAAATGAAACATCTAATTTTGGATAATCTGAATATTTTAATTCAGTTTGATTATATTCATTTTGTAAAGTTAATGGTTCAATAATCGTACTATTTTGTTCTTCAACCAAAGTTTTAAGATCCAATCTTGCTAATCTTATCAATTGAGATCTTCTTGATTTTGTTATATCATCTCTATGAACAATTTGAATTGGTAAAGTGTTATTAAGAATCCTTAGTGTAGTGAATAATGAAACTAATTGTTGATAATGTGAATTTTTAGCACTTATAACTATACCTTCACCCTTTTGTTGTTTGAAAATTTGTTGTAAAAAACACCCGCCACTAATAGAATATTCAGTTTCAACACCGTCATATCTTGTCAACTTTGGTGATTTGAAAGTTAACCATGGGAACAGTTTTTCTTGAACAAATTTACAATGATCATCTTTAATTATATGTTCAGGTCTTAGGAAGCAATTACCAAAAGTTCTTGTATCAATAGTTTGATTAATTAAATTTGATTCAATTTCTAAATAAGAATTTCTATGATCCTTATGATCTTGAGTCCATGATTTAATTTGTTGTGGTGAATAATTTGGGAATTTTTTAATTTGTTTATTAATAAATTCATCAATTGAATCTTCAAACACATAATTTGATGGTTTATAACCAATAGTTTGATCATTCATCATATAATGGTTGAAAAATTCTGTACATGACTGTTCATTATATCCCAATACAGCATTGTTATCATTCTGTATTTTATTTTTGGAAAATTTAGTTATGAAATGAGTTATTGGTACTATTTGATCTGATGTGAATGATATTTGTGGTATATAAAAAAAAATGGAGAATAGCACAATAAGCAGCAATAGTGCTTTGATCCTTGAATGTCTCATAGCAATTCAGCACCAGTAACAGTGCTTTTGATTAGCAAATTTGTTTATTAATTCAAAAATGATCTTGTTCTACAAGATTAAATTGAAGTTTTAATGTTTTTGTCTCAATGCCTGGAGATCAATTTTTATTTCATCACTAGCGAAAAATTACACAGCCGGCGATGAACTAAAATTTATAAACGCATTTTATTAGTAACAGAGCACGTTTATAACACCTGTGAGTGTTACCAGTCGATTCAGCGTATCCTTTTACCCCTTAAATGAAGATATAATTACCTTTTATTCCATTACAAGTCGAACTAAATCAGTCGTAGATTAAATCATGATTTGACGTTTAGGAAATTGAAGATACAGATC